GTCAACAATTAATGTCTTTCTTTTGCCTCTTTCCCGCGCCGCAACACTTTTCGCCGCTCAAATGTTTTGTCCCGACATTTTCTTTTGGGAAACTTACAGAGCTTCCGAGGATGTCCGGGGCTGGACAATTAATTGGTAAGCGAGATTCACAGAATCGTTAACTCGATAGATGAACTCGGTCATCTGACCAAATGACTATCCACGACCCAGCGCGTTGGTACCCAAGCAGAGTTGCATATACATATCATTGGATAGTTACCGTACCATTCCTCGTCATTTTTGCCTCCTGCTGCAGCAGTACCAAGAATCACCTAATCCATAAGCCTCATCATCACCTATACCTAACTAACTCCCTACAACAGACGAACCTCTTTCAAGATCATCTACCAAACATCATTACGCACTCCTCTACAGGCTACCAGACTTTCATCTTCTGACTCACACTCCAACCCTTCCTATCCAATCACCCAACATATCTCCCTACTCAGCCGCACTATCTCAGGGGAAACAACTCCAGTAGAACCGAATTCCAGGGCTGTTCACAGTCTTAGTTACGGGTTTGGATAGGTTGGAATTACGAAGTCTTTACTGCCTGTGAAGGTTGGTACATGTGATTCTGCCATTTCTTGTGCTGGAATAGGTAATCCATGTCCTCCTTTGAGTACTTCAATGTGTTGTTTGAAGGCTATGCTCTGTATTTTGCCTGTGAGATAGAGTCACGGCGGTTTGTATTCAGATAAATGTTGATCACGCGCTCAGATATGTTGAGAACAAGACTCATGGTGAGTACAGAAGCAAAAGCAGCGTTGAGCGTGTAGGTGGTTTATGCTCTTCACCGAGATTGCTTCTGGTTTGTGGACTGAAAATTGTAATGCTTCCGGAATAATTTGAGAAGGATGGAATGGAGTGGAATGAGTCATTTCTGGTTGAAGGGCTGGGAAGAATGATGGTAAGTTCTTTTTGGCAGCTAAGGTGTAGAAATTTGCCTTGAAATTGAATATATCGTAGTAATACAATATACAATTAGTCTTCTTCACGTCTTATCTCAAATAAAATACCAAGTCAGAATTACTAACACTTTTCCCTTTTTTACTCAAAGCCCAGTCCAATCAACGGATCTACCTAATCAAGCATAACATACCTACCTACACTATCAGACAATCTCTACCTCACCACCACATAAACGCTCCACACCTCGCTATCCCTTTCCACTTAACATCACCATCCAAACACTTACCCACACCCCTCTTTCCATCCAATCAACCTCTTCTTCCCTCCTTCTCCATACAATTTTGACACCCCTTTCCACCGCCCTCACCATCACGAATCCTGCCTCATCTCTTTCTCGCAGATACTCACATCCGAGATAATATCTCCAGTAATCCGCTCCCTCTGACATCACGCATTCGATACGGAAGAGCAGTGGCGTTTAGGTATTTGAAGCGGGTTTACGGTCAAGGGGGAATGGGGAATTGGGTGGTAAGGAAGTATACGTATGACTGGATAAGACTGATGGGGTTATTGTTTCTACGGTGTGCTTAGAGAATCATGTTGTCCTGATACGACTGTTATTCATGTAAGAGAGTAGGTCTTTTTCATCGCAATGAGGTTGTTAATCGACAAAGGGTCTTGACTTCTTCTGGACTATTGACACAACCACGTTGTCATGATGCAGTCTAAAATAGCATATGGTTCCACAGATTCATCACCACGAGTCACGTCTACAATGAGAGTCTAAATCGACAGGGCGCTTTAAGTTCGTTTAGACACTTGATGACATGGTGAGATTTTATTTGGTTTAGGTAGTTAGTTTTTAGAGTAGCAGTGATTAATCAGTGTGTCCTGTTTGAAAAGCAGATAGTGAAGGAATATTAGAAGTTTACAAAATCCATTTTAGTTAGAACATTTACATTTCAAACTCGTAATTCTTATCTTGACTTTTTCTACTTTCGTTTTATTGTAACAAATTAGTAATAGTTATTCTTATAAGTATAACTTAAATTTCAAGAAATACTCTTGTTCTATTTTTTATAAATAATGTTAAGTATAGAAATATAAATACCTACTCTTCTATATTTCAAAATTAGCTATTACTACTTATCTAACGAGAAACTAATATTAAGAACTCGTCTATCTATATTTTTATAAATATTTTCGTTAAAAAGAAAAAGCTTAGTCTACTATCTCTTAATTTAATTCTACTATTTATTATATTATAATTATCCTTAATATACTTTTAACCTATTTTAAACTTACCTCTTCATAATCGTACTCTTACATTTCCCCTAAAATTTTTTATATTTTTTCTCTTTTCTACTCTTAAAGTAATACGGCCTAACTTCTATATAAGATAGAAGGTAAGGACTAACGCCGGCTATACTCCTTTTTTTTTGAAATTCTTCTTCTTTTCTAGTCTCTAAGCAAGAGGGTGAATGCTGTAGCAGAAAGACGGTTACGACTTACTTATCATACCGTCCAACGATAAACCCCTTGTTTTTATATGCTTTGATCAAAAGCTCTGAACGAGGATGGATGAGGTTCTTTTTAGGACGCATTGCATATTCGCCCTGTTCGTTAAAATATAGGTCGAACATGCCGGGCGTATAATGCTTAGGGTAGGGTCGTATTCGATACTGGACCTTACGGAATTCGGGTATCGTAGACCAACTTGCCCACTCTAATTTGAAGTCTAAGTCTGATATGCGGGAGACTGACTCTCGCCAAAGAACTGGAGTTTCGCCGGGTTTCTCGACGTACACCCAGCAATTCGCTTGGTCATTATAGGAGATGCATTCGGGTTTGGCGTTGTGAATGTCTGGGAGAGGCGGTAGTCCGCGAACGACATCAGGTTGACTGTTAGTGACAGGCTTAGTGTCTATTAGAGGTTCCTTTCCTTTCGGAGATTGACAGTCAGATGGATTGTCTATCAAAGTTTTCTATTCACTCTTATCGTCCTCAGACTTCTCTCTGTAAAGCAAGTCCTTAATTACTTGCTTTGCCCCCTTTATTATAGCGCTTATTCTATCTCAAAGTATATTATAATACTTAAGAGTAATAGTAAGTAGATAACTCTTATAAAAAATATATCTGTAAAGAAAAAACTACAACTTAAGACTACTTAGTCTAACTTTGTTTTTATCTATTCTTTATACTTTTAATTCTAAATTCTTTTTGTTCTTAGTATAATATATTTATTATAGGTAATACTGTTTATAATACTTAGGCTATCAACAAAGTAGTACTTTAAAATTTAAGTATAAGGACAAAGAACTTTTGTCTTATAACTTTCCATTATCACGAAAGTGTCTTTGTTCAGAAAGCAGTCAGACTACTCAAAGAAGAGTGACTCGTTCTATGTCAAACATGCCAAAAAAGCCGAGAGAAACAAAGAACAAAATCAAGAGTTTCTTAAACGAGACAAGGTATTTTCTCATCCGCCAGCCAGAAGTTTATCTGGTTCGGGGAAACAGCATGAAAATCGCATCTATACGTGTTGGAGAGGAAGAGTGGCCACTCGTCTAGATTTCTTGTATGGCTATCCCTTCCACCTCCAAATGGTATCTTTACGCTCGTGCCTCCTAGGAACTCTCGTATAAGTAATTTGATCGTCTAATAGCGACCGATTAGTAGTTAATTAACGCAATCGACGTACGTGCACAGGGTTCTTGATTCTCATTAACATAGATATTTTGATCTAACACCGAAGAGCCAGGCAATATTAAGCAGTATAAAAAACGTTGAGTACTACACATCTATCCACTTCCAGAGATGCGAGCAGCGATCATCAGTCAGTGTATTAAATGAGTTGAGTTGAGTTTGAGTTGTACCCGCAACTCAACTCAACTCAACTCAACTCACGCAACTCATGATTTGTTTGAGGTGTTCTTTAATTTAAACTGCGAGCTTAAAAGTACAATTTGGAGATGGAATGGATACAAGAAACCCCAATAAACTCGATTTTATATTCAGACCCCTAACCGAACCACCTCCTACAACTCACACAAACGATCTACACATCTCCATTCTTCCCTCCACCATTCCAAGTCGTTCCCCCATCTTTTCCCAAATTCTCGCCAGCCTTTTCCTAGACCCCAACCGACTCAACAACAACCACAAAACCATCTCCATCCAGAACATCCCACACAACCAGCACACTGATCACTTTCCCATCTTGTCCACCCACTCAAATAAACAATCTCCTTCCCTACACCTCAATCCAATCACGGATTTAACACCACGCAACTTATCACAACGACTTCCTTCTGTCCACGAATGCCAACACGCCCCAGCTCCCAAGTAACCCTCGCTTAATTCGAAAGGAGAGATGTCAGGTCTTTGCAGCCAAACCTTCCCTGCTGATTAGGGCACGAGATAATGGAATATAAAACGTAATCCAGATGGATATGAGGGGGAGAAGGTAGTAAAGGTAGTTCCTTGTTTGCGTGACGGCTGTGTTGATTTAAGAGGTGCGTCTTAGTTGTGTGTTGATTTTTGATGTTGATGGACTGAGAGGGGGGTGAGTGTCAGGTATTGGATACATCTGGGTAGATGTTATGTGTTGTGACTTTTGGATGGGTTATCGGGGAGTTATTAGTGTTAAGGGTTTTTGCTTTGTTTTGGTGAAGTTGGGGGTTTGGGATGGTTGTGATGTTGTATGAGGTGGGAGTCGAGTTAATGTTCATCATTTGTCTGTAAACAGTGTAAAGAGGAATGCGTTTTCTTTAAAGAAGATGAGTCGATTTTCAGTAAAAGAACGACTTCGAAATACTGTTGTATTTAAGCAGCTATTTTCCAGCTCCAGAGCTGTATTGTAAGTAGCTAGATAGGAAGCAGTTCAGGTTTCCACTCGATTTGCCTAATAGTTCACACTATGAAGGTCTGAAGGGACAAAACATGACCTATTAAACCAGCTCATCAAAGCACAGCACGAATGATAAAATAAAGTTTTATACTATCTACTCAATACCATCCCTTTCAAACCCTCAAATCTCTCCCAAAACTCAATACCCCCTCCTCCGATCAACCAAATTCCACAATCCCTCCCCCCTCTCAATCCTCCCCAAGTTCCCCTCCAAAATCTCAAAACTACGATCAAAATAGGCCGTGCCAATCCCACTCACATGCGGCGTCACACTCACATTCTCCAGATCCCACAACTCACTCTCCTTAGGCAACGGTTCCGGCTCCGTGACATCGAGCGCCGCGCCCCTCAAATCGCCGTTCTTCAGCGCTGAAATAAGAGCATCGTGGTCGACGATCGGGCCGCGGGCGATGTTAATGACGAACGCTTTTTGCGAAGATAGGATGCTGAATTCGGAGGTGGAGAGGAAGTGTCTGGTCTGTGGTGTTAGGGGTACGGAGATTAGGAGGATGTCGATGGATTGGGAGAGGAAATTGTGGAGCTCTGATTTGGTGAGGCCGGAGTACCAAGCACTGGGGATGAGACCCTCTGGGTCGCCGGTGCCGGGGACGGTGTAGTCAGTGTACTTTTTACTCTCTGGAGTCTTACGTGGGCTGGCGGTGTATGCTATTACGTCCATTCCCATGGCTTTTGCTACTTTGGCGGCTAGATAGTTGTTAATATATAATTTTTAGAATAGACAATATGGAGAAGAATTACCTTGTCGTCCGATGGCGCCGTAACCGAGTACACCTAGTCTTTGACCTACACTATCTTTGACCGCTCCAATATCTGCGTGAGAACCCCACACATGCTTCTTTTGCAGCTCTAAAAGGAGTTTTTGCTTGTGAGCATTGGAAAGGATTTGCATGACGACCCATTCTGATATCTGGGGTGCGTGGACGCCCGAGGAGTTGGTGAAAGGGATGTTGGTTTCTTTCCACTTGAAGATTGTCAGTTTAGATGATCGGTACAAATAAAGAGGAAAGCAAATTGAACGGTAGATTGTCATGAGATGATATGTTAAGCTGACGCTGAGAAGATCACGACATCTCAATTCAAAGCATGAAATACACAAAACTCACAATAGGCGTCTGACTGGCCCAATCCACACCCGCAGAAAACAGATGAATCAACCTAAGATTCTTCGCCAGCTGCGGTGTTGGTATATATCCCAAGGTGACTAGAATAGTTGCTTTCTCAACCTCATCTATTGTAGTACAACATGGATTAGTCAACAAACTTATATCAAACTGTCATAGACTTCTTACCTTCGGGGATATCTTCCTTGTTTATAATACGAGTGCCTTTTTGGTATGAGAATTGCTTGTAGACGATTTCGACATTTGGATGTTTCTTGATTATACTATCGAGAATAGGTTGGTTGTTTGGAAAAGGTAGAAGACACAAGATGTGCTCTTTGGAGGGTGGCGCTTCTCCCATTTTTTAAGAGTGGGATATCTGAGACTTTGAGGGAAATATTCTGTCGCCACTTGAGATGTTGAATTGGAGATGGAGGCGAATTCGAGGTGGAGGTGGCTTTATAGATCAGAAACACTTTCACAGTCAGTGAAATATATAAGCAATCCAGCCTACAATAGAAGCGGGAAGCCCACTTTGTACGGTCATAACTCGCTTCGATTTCTACTTTGAGCCATACAAGGGTGTTTTATCGCTTTCGCCAGACTCGCAGGGATGACGAGACCTTCCGCCGACTGATTGAGAAGACAGATGAACCGCCACCAGCTAGTACAGGATCTATATGAATGATTATTACAAAATTCTTTATTGGTTATGACCCGAACACCGATTCAAAAAGCAATTATTCTAAATGTTTCCCGCAGTGGGCTGCTTTCTAGCCATCTCGTCGTGTTCATCAATATCTGCAGCTTCCCATGGGTAGCAGATCCATACATCTTCGACAGTACGCGCAGCAAGGTATCTATTCTCGTCCAACATATCTTCTGGTAGGCGACCCTTCTTCTCCTTGTTCTTGTTCTAGTAGCACAAAATTTATTAGCGGGGTTCTGCAGGTACGGGACGAGGCTGGCTTAGGGAGCTCACATGTAAAACGAATATCGAGAATTTGGTTGGCTCGCCCTCATATCCCAACTTCTTGCGCGCGATTTCGACATCCTTCTCTAACTCCTTGACAGCGTATTCCAGGGTTGTGCGGGTATCATCGACCTCATCCACGATCAAAATCCTCTTTCCAACCAAATTCTCCATCTCGCCCAAGCTCGTCAAATCAAGCCATTGAGTTCGCGTAACTTTGGTGCCGGGTTGTTCGACTTCTCCAGGAGTACTCGACGAAGAGGGATGTGTGGAAGGAAGTTGTTCGTAGAGCGAGAGTCCAATTGCCTGGATGGGAATATTTGGAGAGCCCGGTTGCTTGAGAAATGATCGCAAGATGCGCGCTGGAACGTAGCCTCCTCCGCCGATCGCAATCATCAGCTGAGGTTGGAAGTCTTCGAGAATTCTAGGTGCGGCCTCCTGGCATAGCTTATGGACCTATTCAGACGGCTGTCAGATTTTGCGCCTGCCTTCCGCGGGGTATTTCGAAGGATCGCAAACGTACCTGGTTATACGTTACATATTCTTTAACAACCATTTTGAAATACAATGCAAGTGCAATAGAGAATGAGGGTAGGTATCCAAAAGCTCCTGGGTGAGTTATAGAAATTTTTGGGGGAGTGGTAAAGTCCAAGAAGAATTAAAAAAATCTAGGCCCACCAGCCAGCTAAATGGAGTACCTTTTCTGACTCCACGGGCTTCGCCTATTTAGGTGACTATTTGCACCACTCCACATGGATAGATTGCTTCCTCTTCCTAGCGACAGGCCTTTGCTATTTGGCTCAGGGGGTGAAGTTAAAACCAGGGAGTCGTCTCTGTATCACCCCACTTTGTGAGAATACCCAGCCTTGCCCCTCCACCTCCGAGGTACATTTTTATATTTTCAGATATCACCATCTTCACCAGGACTATACTTCACTCGATCGCAAAAGATTTCTATTATGTTTTGAAGGTTACAGAACAGTAAAGCAAATCTCATGGTCTTTCACGTTCCATTGAGTTGATGTCTGACGTCATGGACGAAAGACCCCTCAATACCTACCCCTCCATCCGGAGGAGTGGACTAGAGCTCCAAGTATTTTCAACGGCTTCTCATGTTTCAAATAGCTTTCATGTTTCATGTTTTATAAGACATAGGTTTGATATAACTCCGATCTGCTTGCTTATATCTCAATTGCTATTTACATATTTATCAAACATATATTCAAACACCAAGCATCAAAAATGGCACAAGCACATCACCCACCAGACCTCAAAATCCCCTCCTCTGATGCCACAGTCCGCGTTCGAATTATCGACACAACCTCCCGAATCTCAGGCATACCCATCGATGGCTTCATGCGACCCTCAATCAAAGGCTTCGAATACCTAAATTGCCCTGCCTTCTCCTTCCTAATCGAACACCCCTCCTCCAGGAACCTCCTTTTCGACCTCGGAGTCCGCAAAGACATCGAGAACTTCTCCCCTCGAATCATCAACCGCATCAAAGAAGGCGGCTGGAAAGTAACCGTCGAAAAGTCTGTCCGCGACCAACTCTCCGACAACAACGTCAAGCCCTCAAGCATTGAAGCTATAATCTGGAGCCACTGGCATTGGGACCACACCGGCGACCCCTCCACGTTCCCTCCCTCCACAACCCTCATCGCCGGCCCCGGCTTCAAGCAGAACTTCCTTCCAGGCTACCCCTCCAATCCCGAATCCCCCATCAAAGAAACCGACTACGCCGACCGCGAACTGCGCGAGATATCCTTCTCCGACCTCAAAATCGGCCGCTTCAACGCCTTCGACTATTTCGGCGACGGTTCCTTCTACCTCCTCGACTCCCCGGGCCACGCAATCGGCCATATGTGCGGTCTCGCACGCGTAACCTCTAACCCACCATCCTTCATCTTCATGGGCGGCGACGCATGCCACCACGGCGGTGAATTCCGACCCTCGAAATACCTTCCCCTACCCTCGAGAATCGTTCCAAATCCGCTCAAAAAGCGCGGTTCGCAGCCATGTCCAGGCTCCTTATTCGAGCCTATCCTCCGTGATGGCGATCGTACGAAGCCGTTTTTCGAAATTCCAGAGGGGCGCGTGGCGCATGATACGGAGGAGGCGAGGAGGACGGTAGAGAAGGTTATGGAGGCTGATGCGAGGGAGGAGGTGTTTGTGGTTATGGCGCATGATGATACGGTGGGGGAGGTGGTGGATTTGTTTCCGGGGTATGCGGATGGGTTTGCTAGGAAAGGGTGGGTGGGGGATTCTCGGTGGTTGTTTTTGAGGGACTTTGAAGAAGCAGTGGAAGGGCGTAAGGAAGCTTAGCGAGATGTATAGAGATTTGTGTGTAAGAGAGAGTGTTGGTCGTTCATCGGTAACGTATGCTGCTCAAATTTGGGAAGAGGATGTGAGTGTACAGTAAGCGAGCTGTACGATGGATGTGAGTTGTACACGAGAGTTGTACCACCTATGAGTCTTGTACTATGTATGACAGTATTTGGACAGCCTATTGTATATGTTGGATATGTACACTAGTTGATAATTAGACTAAAGATACTATAAATATCAGAAAAATACCCACATACTACTAAGTATACAAACTATCATATCATCAAATCATAATCCATCACCCCTGCAACACCTAAGTGGAACTCGTTCTTCACTCCTCCTTAACCCTCATCTCCTCCTCCTCAACACAATCCTTAAACCCCTCACCTCTCAACCCACTAACACCCTTCCTCACAACGCCACTCCGCAAACTCCTCGCGTCCCGTTCATAAACCACATTAATAACCATCAGACTACACACAAACAACCACACATCCCCGCCCCGAACCCCGCGCCACCAACCCCTCTTCCGTCCCACCTTCCAAAGCGAATCGATACTGGCACGTGCACTCTGCAAAAACTCTCCTCTCGCCTGTCTCCTCACGATAAAGCCCCACAGACCACCTAACATGCCGCCCAGGAAGAATCGTTGCGTAGCGAGGAAGTGTCGCGGTAAGAGCTGCTGGAAGAAACAGATGGCGCCCCAGGACGTGCCGATGGAGCCGGCGACGAAGGAGGAGTAAAGGAGGATGCGGGAGGCGAGGTTGTTGAGGGTGGTGATGGGGGCGCGGTAGAAGCGTTTGTAGGAGGGGAGCGAGAGGACGAGGAAGACGGCGGTGAAGAAGCGGGTTAGAGAGGGGAAGACGCGGAGCCAGTAGGTGAGGTAGGTGCGGAGACAGGACGGGTCCGAGGGGTGAAGGGTTGCGCAGGTGAGGGAGGCTATTAGGGGGTGCGCGGGGGAGGTTATTGGGGAGATGCTGACGAGGGAGGCGGGGAGGGTGGTGCTGTTTGGGAAGAGGATTGGGGAGATGAAGGGGCTGGAGAGGTTAGAATGCCTGACACTTAAAAAGGGGGGTCGTGACTTACGGATAGTTGAGACGGGCGACTTCCGCGAGGTTATCAACCACTTTGCGTGTGCTCGGCCATGGAAGACTTGCTGGGTAGTCTTCCGGCCTGGTTTGAACATACTGAGGGGAGTATTTGAGGATGAAGTCACCGTATGCCTAATACATTTAGTTAAGCACTAAACGGACGAGAACTTTACTTACCGTAGGAAAGCAATCCTTGTCAAAGACAAAAGCATGTAACAATTGCCCACAAGTCAACGGATACAGCAACCAACTACCCCACCACCAAGGTCTCTCCCACCGACTCCCCTCCTTCCCCCATATCCACCCCTCATCCTCCGCGTGATTATACGCAAATTCCGCCGCTCGACTAAGTGCATATATCGATATACTCACTCTAAGCTGATCCGCAGGATACACCGCAAGCATGAACCCAGCCAGACTAGCACCCACAGCCGGAGCAAGTGTTGATGTGAGAGTCCGACTCGTCCTTTTATTCCTCTGACGGAAAGGTCTCGCTTCGGGGGTGAGAAGATGTGCTCTCAATCGCGTGAAGAAGCGAAAGAGTATGCGATGGAGCAGCAAAATCGCCGAAAGGGATAAGGACAGTCGGAAGTTTGGAGATTTCCACAACGAAGCTTTTCTGCCACTACAAAACCGAATCAGCTTTACTTTCTCGAAAAAATTCATTGACCTAAACATACCGCAACTTATCCCCACCAAGAAACCTCTCCTTAATAGCCCCCCAAGCCTTCAAAGCCGCACCCGTCGCAAGGAACACCCTCAAACTAGCCCTCACAGCCGCCGCATTATAATCATCGCGTCCCGGTCTATCAAGGAGTTTCTCAACTCGCGCAACCGTAGGCGCGTTTCTCTGGAGGACCTTCGAGCGCGAGATGATAAATTTATGAAGGGTCTCGTATTCTTTCGGGGATATGGTATAGCGCAATGCGTTTCGAAGTATAGGATCCGCGGTGGATTTGGCGGATACGCGGTCGCGTGATGGCTTTGGCCCTTCGTCAGAAGTTGAAGCCATTATGTTGGCGATCTCACGGTGGCATGGAGAACGTTGTTGATGTTGTGAAGCATAATGATGTTTGACTTGTAAGGAGCCGCATGTGAACCTCGGTCTGGTATAGGTCACGTGCAGGTCAACATATGGGTTCATCTAATTTCCGGAGAGTATTTGGAATTTTGGGTCCATATTGCTTAGAGTTCTTTGAGAGTAATTAATATTATCATTATATAACGTACTGTACAAGGTATATCTGCTGAGGTGTACAAAGCTCCAATTATTTCCCATCACAATTCAACGCCAGCAAACATCTGAGTAATTTCAAAACTGACAAGAAACGACACCTGGAAGCGCACGTCACTCTAGTCAACATCTGTACTAGTATCATTGGTCGGAATTCGATCTCTCAACCACGCGAGCGTAGTTTCAGTTCCTTTCTCCAAGATGGTGTACTTCGGCACTCGGAATCGATTACCACTAACATTCAAAGTATGGAGGCCACCAGGCCCACCAAGAAGACCGATGCGAGCATTCAGACTGTTGATATCATTACTGCTGCAATCTAGTATTCTAAGACCTCTGACTGCTTCTGGTGAAAGCTCTCGAATCGTATTGTGTGAGGCGAAGACATTAATTAGCTTGGGGAAATGTTGGCGCAAGATGGGAAGTGAGGTAAGACGATTAAAACTAATATCGAGTCTCTCCAGCTCCGGTGCTTTCAGATACTGAAACAGAGGCTGTAAAGAGTTAAAAGTATTGGAGCTCAAATTCAGCTCTTTCAGGGCAGGTAACTCAAGGTCGTCTTTCATGAACATGTCCCCTGTCAGTTCGTTGTGAGCAAGGTTCAGCGATGTGAGAGTGCTCGCGAAGAAAGCAATCGAGTTCGGTATCATTTCGAATTTGTTGTGATGCAATTCGAGAGATTTGATGTTGTTGTTAGAGGCAATCTGGGCTGCTGCGACCGGATTTAAAGAATGTGATTGCGTGTTTGACCTGTCCAGGGTAGTTCCACCTATCACCGGCCAATCGGATGATGTTGGGCGTGGTGACAATGGGGAGTTTGGCGCAGAATAAAAAGCACCCTCAAGATCTGGATCCTTCTCTGTATTCTCAGTTGACGATGTTTCTGTGGATGGAGCCATCCTTGACTTCAGAGCACGCTTGAGATCGTCCGTAGGCATACTCGCGAATTTCTTTTCCCGCAACGGATTGCCACTAATACGGAACATGTATAGGCTAGCCATGCCTCCAATCTCGTCATCCAAGACCTTGAGATTATTGCCGTTCAGATCAACGTTTCTCACTCTAGGTAATTGCGTAAAGCCAGTTGGCAACGAAGATATGTTGTTATCCTCCGCCGCAATTGTGAGAAGGCTGACCCAAGATGTGAGATCCGGGAGGCTAGTCAGCCGATTCGCTGAACAATCAAGTTGGTGAAGGGAAGGCAGTCGAAGCACCCCTCCAGTGAGACTCAGAAGTGAGTTACAGGAGACATCCAAAACTTGTAGATGCTCAAGCTCTTCAACTTTATCAGATATGAGAGCCCCGGAGAGTCTGTTCTTTGAGGCAAGTACTTCTACAAGTGGTAGTCGGTGTAAGCTATCGAAAGGAAGAGCATTTAGCTTATTCTCTCTGACATTCAGCACTCGAAGGCTGACAAGGTTAGATAACTCATCGGGAAGTTGTGTTAGCGCATTACGCTGTACGTCTAGGACCTCTAAATTCTTAAGATTGGCTATCCGAGTATCTAGCAACCCAGAAAGATCGTTGCTACCCATTTTAAGATCACGGAGCGAAAACAGTTGACAGATTATGTCAAATGTATCGTTGCCCAATTTATTGCTAGACTAAAACTTGTTAGCGTATGTGACGCAATAGATTTAAGATCAACTTACTAGGTTCACCGTCGTCAGCAGCTCGAGCCTCCTCAGTCCGACTGGGAGCGCCTTCAACATATTGCCGTGCAAGTCAAGGGTCTCCAAACCTCCGAATTGATTGCCCTTCCCATCCTCGTCGTTCATGCTGTCTCTAGGATCCAAGTCCGGGAAGATGTCATCCTGAATTACCTCCAACTCATTATCAGCTGCAATCAGCCTCGTCAGGTCGACAGATTCAGCCCATGAACCCCCGTTAGCCCCCACGACGTCTAGATTGTACATGTTCATGACTTCGTCGGGTATCTCTTTGAAGCCCATACCAGCAATGTTCAGACGTCCATCCGTACGTGCCGCATCAATACGCTTTCGAAGAAGGCCTTTGGCTCCGTTATCATTTTCGCCTTGGTTGAATGGGTTGCTGGGCAAACCGAAATCAAATGTACCACTCGCTATTACTGGGACCTCATCGTCTTGGGATATGGTGTTGATTGTTGTATTTTTCGCTGCTGCGGCGCGCTTCGCAGCTTTTGCTTTGGATATTTGATCACGAAGCGCAGAGGAAGATTTTCTCGGAGTAGTGTCGCCGTTTCCATTAGATACAGTCGTTTTGCTCGTGACGGACGAGATTCTTGAGGTTGTAGAAGTTGCTTCTGACGATGTATTTGAAAGCGTTGCGGTTTTCTTTTTTTGTCCAAATCCTATCCGGTCGATATCACTAACTTGATCCAAACTAGACATTGATGGCTTCCGGAAAAGTCCATTAACTGAAGCCCGTGGCTTCAACGTCCGTGAAGAAAGAGTTTTACTTCCCGCTTTTGGTGTAGGAGCCTTCATATTTGGTTTTGCGGGGCTGGGAGAGCGTTCTCGCGGGGAGACACTGAATATTGGAGACGGAAGCTTTGATATCGGCGCATTTGGCGTTTGAGGAAGGTTACTCTGGATATTTGACGGCTTTCTGACAAGCCTCCCTACACCAGATCGCCCGGGTTGGCCATGGGTTGAGAAAATTCCCTGCGTTGGATTCGTTTGATATGTGTTTGTAGAGGCACGGAAGTCATGTTGGGAATTATTCTGGAACTGGCCTGCTCTTGATGTTGGCCTTGAAGACGTCTGTGAGGGAGGCCGCATGGATGTATCCATCTGCTGGCGGGAACCTGGCCTAGATGTGACTCTGCCGCTTGAAGTTGGTCGCATCGGGTTTTCGGTACTGTAGAAGCTGGATCCTCTTCGCCTCACAGCAGGAGAAGAGGGGATTCTTTGGAGGGTTTCCATTGTCCGTTCTGAGAGCGAGGGTCTGGGTTTCCGAGAACGCTTGCCTAGATCTGGCTCTTCAGGGTCTTCATTTGAAGCGGTATCCTCCATTGCAGACTCATCATTATCCTTGTCTCCTCTTCCACCTGGCGTTTCGGCAAAGAATGGCTGAGATGGCTTTTGGTATAATGTGTTATAGCTCGTCCTTCGCGAGAGCGATTGCAGAATTGGCGTAAGGCTACCTGTTGAGGCATCACGATCTCGAGGGAGTGCGGATATAGAATCGCGGCTTCTGACTGGCGTCGATGGTATGCGAGGTCTGATGGTCGTCGATGAAGCCAGCTGATCTCGTGAGGGAGCGGCCCTTAGGCGGGGGTTTATGATACCTGTCGGTTTTTGAGCCTGCTGTAGGTTTTCTCGAGACGGTGCAGTTCGGAGTGATGAGCGAGGTACAGGAAGCCTCGAAATTCGCGGGATCCCGGATGGTTTTGAGGAGCTGGGCGAGTGCTCCATGGTTGCTAATGTCCGGTCTTGATAGCTTGGTGCTGCGAAAGGGGGGTGCTTTAAATACTGAGGGTGTTCATAGTGTGGTGTTGACAAGGGACAAGGTCACAGTCCAGTTGTTGTTGGAAGTTCTGTGGTGATCTTGCAAGGAGGAACAAGTGAAAATGGGTTGCAGCACAAGCAAGGCTTCTTTACTTCATCATTCAAAGTCCGCGATTCATAGAAACACTTCTAGTGTGCCGTCTCAATTGGGAATTATTAATTCCGCGATGGCAGCCACCACCCCAGTCAGCAAATATTTACATCCACCTTAAATTCGCGATTAGACCCTGCCCAGGTGGGCCAATAAACGCGACCATCCGAGCTGCCTGGCCCATTCGAGACCGAACGCTGTCACGTCACATGATGATAAGAGATATCAGCTAAATTTGGTCTGTATTATGTTTCATGGTATTTTGATGCTGGATGTGGAGACTATATGGAGTATATATGCACAAGATGCATATAAGGTTAGTCGATCCCAGATCATCTTCAAAGATGAAAAACTCCACTGGATGACAACTTTGAGGATGACAACTTTGAGGATGACAACTTTGAGGATGACATTATTCGTGCTCCTATTGTTCTTGTTCAACTTCAAAGTGTGACTAAGCCTTGTGAATGCCCACCTGGGCAGGTGGTTGCGTAGCAACGAACTTGAACATCCCGCCTCTTGGATTTTACACACCCGATGTCCGCGTCGTAAGGCTACCCACCTCCGATATTCGAGACCAGTTGCGCAGCTCTCCTTAGCAATTGTGTATTGAATATATCCTTTCCGTCGTTAGGTTTCTGTTCTTGCGAGCTGAACTCCCGGTTGCATTGTCACGATAGACGCGTTCGGTATTCCATCGTCACCTCTCTAGCTCTATCTACCATTTGGCACCGAACCCGCCCTTGGACAACACAGACGCCCACTCAACACACAGGATAGTAGCTGTCGCAAGTTTCCGCTCGGCCCAATTCTCATCTCGCATAATCGACCTGAAAGCTACCTGCAATTGAATACTGTGAAGGCTGGATAAGCGCCAGGATGAGTTCTCAAGCTTCCTTGGACGACGTTTCTACACCTGGCGACCCATCTACGCCCCTAAACCCCGACATTGAAGCTCCTGTTAGACAAAGATTATCCCGTCCTGCTTCACCCAATACATCAATGATGGTGGCACCGGCGACATCTTCGATGACCCCCCCGCCTTCGTCCCAGAATCCTCACGGCCGAAATGCAAACTTGGCTCCATCTCGGCTCTCGCGCACTCCAGACCCAGGAGCGATTCTTTCCTCGCCCCCACCAACAGTTGCGAATGGCATCAAAAGAGACGCGTCGACGAGCTCGCTCATAAAGCCCACGCCTCAACAGATTGCGAATGCTTCGATCGACGCGTTGCGCGAGATTGCCGCGGCACTTTTGGCTGAGAACGTGAAACTAGACGTCCAGGCCCGCGAAGCTCGGATGTCTGCAGCACATTACAAGCTCCAGCACAATCTCCTCACCATTGAAAGTGAGGAGGCCGTAAAACATCTGGAAGTCGAGCATGATATGACACTCCGTGAGGTGGAACTTCTTCAGGCGCGCGTTCAAGATGCCCAAGATCCTCCTGAATTGGAGCACTATCGAAGACGAACCAAGATACTTGAGGAGGAATTGCGCAAAGAAAGGGAAAGTCTTCGGAAAGCCAAAAAGATCATCATTTCCAAAGAAGACGATATCATTGATCTACAAATCGATGTGAAGCAACTTCGAGAGAGAATCCGTATCAATCGGGTTCATGTCAATGAAATGCGAAGCCCAGGTGGAATCTACCATAATCCTAGCCTCCACACCTCACCTACAACACCTCAGTTCTATCGCTCAACTCCTAAACACACACCAATGACCAACAGGTCTATGCGACAAGGTCATCAGAGCCAGGAGGAGCCGCCTTTCGCTGCACTTTTGCTTGCTGATGCAGTCTTGAGAGAAGGCAATAACAGTGCACCATCCACTCCTATCGTTGACCGGAGACCAGCTCAGCGGACTCCCAACAGGCATAGCCGTGGCGTTCAGTCATTGTCGTCGTTGCCTACTACCCCTGGTTCTGCTCGACAAAAGTCCGGTCATTCAACTCTCTTACCTTCGGCCCAGTTCTCAGCTCAAGCAGAAGCTCGTGTAGCTACTACGCTCAGTGGCGGTCTTCAACATCCCCGGGAGCGACGCAGAAAATCTCGTGACAGCACCATCTCTGCGTCTGACACTGAAGAAATTGAACGTGCTGCTGCCGGTTACCGTGAGGAGAGCCAAGAAGTGACCGAAAGTCAAGCTAGCCAAAGTGCCACAGAAATGCTTCGCCGAGATCCTCGAGAGTCTTTTGAAGTCGCCGCGTCTCGCACATCCACACCTACACCGGGCGGTACCAAACCTCTTCACCAGTCGAAGATATTTGGCACAGTCACCAAGCCGACTGTTGAGAAGAGAAAGCGTGGTGATGACGAGTACGATTATGTTGCTGCAAAGAAACATCGAACCCCAGCGCCTGTTGGCTTGGGCATTGACAGGACATTTTGAGAGCATTTGTTGGGGTAATTCAAGTCACCCCTTATATTTTCGACGATTCAATTAGCTTCGCAGTGCTGCATACGACGACATGATGTTATTGAACTTCTCTTCTCATAATTTTAGGTATTAGCCTTCTGACACGAAGTCAGGCTAGGCAGTATCTGTATTCCATTTACGGCAGTAGCAGCTGTATAGTAAAAAGATGTTTGTAGGCGGGCTGGTACGGTACTTACTTTGGGATGGACATCGGTGTGGAATAAGGACCTGGGTGGGAATGGACTGTGTCTTAATGGCGTGAGACCAAGGCTTTGGCTGCAGGATCTGTGCTAGGTACCTGGCTAGTCTTGAGTTATTGTGGAAAGCCAGAGAATTGATCATTAAACAAAGAAAGGTTGATTGCTTCGAATGTCTGCAACATAATCTAACCTGCTTCGAGTAACCTCGAGCACTTAATTCCACTGGCTTAAGTGGTTGTTCACTTCACTCGCTGCCTAGCGGCCTCGCATCGCGTGATATAACAAGTTTATTGCCAGAAAGTGATTCAGCTATCAGAAAGAATTTTGACAGCTCAGTTTACTCTGACAGCTTGAGTGCACTTCACAGATGTGGATTAGGGGGAGCGTCAGATTTGCGGAGTGAGGGTCATAGAGTGTAAAGCTCTAGACAAATTCTAGAGGGTGTATCCTTACTGACAAGTATTAAAACATTATGTCTGCTAATACAATTCGTTAAGGTAGTTGTCTTGTGGACTACCCAGTGTTGATGTGGGTGATGTAGCGTATACGATTTCATAGACAATAGACCAGGAATCATTTATAGCATGCGCGGATCAAAAAGGCTCGTCTAAATACCACTCACTACCTAACTGCAATAATCGACAATCGTAACACCTGCGTATTGCGTTTCATTGACTGCGAGCAAGCCAATCAATTCAACGGTTATACGCATCCATCGTCCAACTAGTTGTGGCTGTCCGCAGTCTTTTGGTGACGCCAAGAGATCTGTTGAGGCTTTGCACGGTATACACATACGACGTGACGAATAACTTCGGCCACGAACGCCGACAAGCACGATTACTTATGCGAACGTCATAACCCTTATATCTAAATCAGGACTGACAAAGCATTAACACCATCATCATTGCAGGTTGAAATTGACGGATTAGGAGAAACGCGACGTGGGTAAGGCTGAATCGAAAAGAACCGCTTATTCGTCCCATCCTGGCCCCATCTTCGTACCTTATTTTCCACCTTGGGAATCGAGCTACCTAGACCTGTCAGTCAGCCCGCCCGCTCACAATCGATGTCCCCAGCCCAAAAGATCGCGCGGCTCTCGTGGTAGCTTTCGACTCTCTGCATTCTGCATCGGCGTCTGGGGCCCTCAATAATTTCCGCGCACGCGGAGAGGAAGGCAGCTCCATCAAGGTAACATGGCTGCTGTTCAGCCGCAAGACGAGAATTCGTCAGAAGACGGAATGCGTGCTCATTCTACCGATGCGATGGTGTCGTTAAATACAGAGGGGGGGTCTGCAAATGTGTTTCAGTCCTCATCGAGAAGTGCGCTGTCGACGGAAGAGCAGAAGAAGCTTTTTGAAAGTGTGATTGAGCATTTGAAAATTAAGTCTGTGGATGAAGATAGCGTGATGGCGCAGAACGATGATGTTGAGATGGAGTTTGACCTAGAGGACCAGAGGGCGAAGATTGAGACATTGAGAGAAGTCTTTCAATCAGTCTCACAGCTCTGGTGGTCGGGGAGTCAACAGATGGATTTGGTGGTGGAGAATCTGGCTGACAAAAGTCGAGATCGTGAGTCTAATTATCCTATTTCATTTATCGAACCATTTCTTAAGACATTTCGAGAGAATAGCAATTCTCATGATACAAGAACCAAATATCCCACCGTTCGTTACGAGACAACTAACCGTATACTCCATTCACTAATTGCTTTCAGCTCGATGGAGAATACCACTCGGAGATTCTGGAATGCTTGATTTCTTTCTTCAAGTTCTCAATACCAATCCACCGTCTCATTCTCTTCAGATACACATGCTCAGGTTGATTGGTAACTCATGCGCCGATACTGGTAAGATGACTTCTCATGGCTTTGCTGTTCGAAACCTAGATTCCTAATTTTGATAGATGAGAATCGAGCGCGAGTCATTTCGTCTGGGTCCCTAAGACCAATAATCCACCTCTTGGAGGATACTTCTCTGTTGCCATTTACCATTCCCGTTCTGTATAATATATGTGTAGACTATGGTAAGTATCGCTCTATTCATTCTAGACAGCAAGCTAATCCTGCTAGAACCGGCGCAGCAACAAGCATCCGATCTTTTCCTTAGCAAAGAGTTGGTTCAGCTTATATCTAGTCCTTCATTTAATGATAGTAGATCGTTTTTAAACTATATTTGTCAAATTTTGGACCTCTTAGCCACAAGACGTAAGTTATGGAGAGTCGAACTGATATTGGATTCAACTAACACATTATGCAGCTTCAGAACTCGAAGTAGCGCCAGAAAATATTGCTGTTGTGCTTCTTATGCTTGCCATAGACCGCGAATTTCCATGCGATTCTGAAGACTATCTTGCGCTCGTTAACACTGCCATCGCATATATGAAGCATGAGAAATTTCAAAAAGCCCTCATCACACTAGGCGGTTTAGATACTACACTTACAGTTTTGATCGAGTCTTACACCCGCTTCGACGCACAAGTCACGCTTGGCTCAGCTCAACCTGATGAAGAAGATGCTAAGCTTCTTTCGCAAATGCGAACAAATTTTAATCAAGTTCTTTCAGACGTGTCGGCATTACCAGAATTTAAGGAGGCTTGCCCAGTCGTATCACCGTTCACAAGTTCTCTACGTCGATGGCTCTCGAGTCCGCAATTACAACTTCAAGTATGCGCCTGCATCATGCTCGGTAATTTGGCTCGTTCGGATGAAGCTTGTGTGGAATTCGTCCATACTTCTCAAGTCCACAAGCCGCTTATTGCTATTTTAAAGGACGCAAACGACTCACAACTTCTCCATGCTGCTCTCGGCTTTTTGAAAAATCTAGCTCTTCCCGACAAAAACAAAGATGAGATTGGAAATGCCGGTATCATTCCAATACTACCTCGCCTGTGGCATCTTGACACTTTACAGGATATCCAATTCTCTTCCATATCATTAGCTCGACAACTTATAATCAACAGCTTCATGAATGTACGCAGAATATGCAAAAGACTCAGCGACGACGAAGACTCCCCAGCCAACAGCCGAACATATTTATCATTCCTCATCGGCCTCTTCGAGCGCACCGACGTCGAACCCATCAAAATGGAAATCTCCCGCCTCGTAACAGCCCTCTGCCGCGTCTTCGAAACCTACAAGGGAAAAGAACTCAGCAACCTAGCGAGTGTCCGCGCCAGATTCTTTAGCATGCACCCCGACATCGGCAGACCCCTCAGCTTCATGGTCTCTCAAAACAAGTGGCCCGTCGTCCGCTCCGAAGGCTGGTTTGTCTTCGCCCTCATGGCCCGCTACCCTGAAGGCGCACAATGCATCAGCGATCTCCTAAACGACGTCGCCGTCTTCCAACCCCTCATGGAGTTGCTCACCGGCAAGGACCTCATCGACCCCAAGTCCTCCACCCTCCAACCAACACCCGCATCCCCGGCTTCTCTGGCCATCGAAGGCCTCACGCCAGGTCAGTCATCCGACACCCCGCAACCGCATTCGCAAGCCGCGCAGATGGCGCGTCTGGATCGCGAGAATGCGCTGGTGCTTGTGAGTGAGATGCTGAAGAATCGCGGGAGTGACATGGCTGTCATGCGTCGCGCGATGTTTGAGGATTTGTTGAAGGGGGGTGGCGAGATCGTCTTGGCGGCCAAGGAGGGGGGAACGGTGGCGCCCAGGACGAGTAGGGGTGCGGATGAGATTTTGAGGGAGTTGATGGGTTGATTGGGAATGGGAATCGTGGGTTTGGTTTTGGGGTTGCGAATAGATTGGGGGTTGGGATAGAGGGTGTTGGGTTGGGAGTTTGTGAAGATAAATTCCATTCGCTTAGCAAGGACTGCCTTGGGCTTCCTATTTCACTTCATGGGTCTTGCTTTTAGTAGATGGAATTCTCGCCGTAGAAGATAAAATAAAAGGTATCTTAGATAATACACGAAGTGCAGCCTGAGATGTACTTCTATCAGTGCAACTACCTTGTATCATGATTCACCTGTTTCACGAGCATGGGATCTATTTACTTGATGGCCAGCCACCAGTCTAGGGAGTCCTTACCTAAAACTATCAAAACCATAAATTATTTTAAAAATCAATGAGAGGAGACAGGTTCTAAGTGTGAATAAATCCTGAATTGAACAACTTGAGTATAAATATTTGAGAATTTGTGAAATAAGTATTGAGGAACTGAGTCTGAAATACATATGCCCCTCGATACAAATATTTATTCTGTGTCTTTTTTGTCGTATTCCGTGTGTTTTCCGTCGCTCTTTCCTCCCTGTCCCTTTCAAACAAAAGAAACGAGGTAACATTTCCGTTGGAGCTGTATCAATACGATCCCCGGTTGGATGTTACTGTTCTTTCCTGTCCCTCATATTCTACGACGTGCAGAGCTTGAACAGCATCATCATTTTGTTGTGCTGGAAGTGGCTTGAAGGAACACCATGAGCACCGCCGCGTATCTGTGACATGTGAGCATAAATCTATTTACCGAGAGATTCCACATACCCTGCCTGCAGCTGAGGCAAAACTCTCGAACAGTTTTGCTGTCGTCGCCATGGCGACTAAGAGGTAGAAGACCACAACAAGTACGGTGATGAGTATCAGTTTGTTCATCGTAGATGAAGAGGCCATGCTGACTCCCAGTATCCAAAGAGGGATGATCAACAAAGCTAGTCCCAGCATAGACACCAAGGCTGTTACTTTCTCCTGAATTTTATTGTCGTAGACCCATCTCAACTCAGCACATTTGGCTTCCGGATCCGTACCACTTCCTCCACATAGTAAGCCTCTGATTTTGAACAGAAACTTCTTGCAGTTGACTATGTACTTGATTTTGAATCGGAAGGAGTTCGTCATTACTGGTCGAACGGTGATCAAGTCTCGCTTATGGCCGAGAAAGCTCGTTTCCTTATCGTAGATGGCATTCGGATAATCTTCTAAAAAAGCTTTGATGCCGCACATATCGGATGAGGTGACAGCTGGTCGATCCGACAATTTATGATAACCATTGATGAAATTATCTAAAAACATGTCAGCAGATGAACCCACTGGCAAGTAATGGCAGGACTTCTTTGTTCATTGGTGAAATCGAAAACTGACCATAGCTAATCAAGGCAACTTGGATTTTTTCCAGAATCTTGATTCGGTCTGGGTTCGAATCTCGAAGAAAGGATCTGTTCTCATAAACTCCAGGATCAGATCCGGCTGGGTGAGAGGCGTCCTCAGTTTCTTCAAGTTGCAATTCCAAACTCTGAAGGCTGTTCTGTAACTTCAAGATAATCCGAGCATGCAAAGATGCAAATTGCCGTACCACCAGAAAGCTTTTGTCTGCGCAAGCCAAGTATGTAAGATCCTCATAGCCAACGTGTGTATTCGTTTGTGTTTCGTGGGATCGCTGGAGTTGTGGCTGAAATTGGCCTGTTGTCAATATGGGAAAGCTCGAGTTGGCGCCTACTGGACCTGGAAGGTCAGCTGCTGTTGACGGTGCAGAAGCCATTGAGATTGTCGAAGGTTTTTGTTTTCTCAGAACGATGTGCGTTGGTGAGGAGTATTATCAGAGTCTGTGGGAGAAGGGGTGGGTTTTGCTGTTGTATGAATTCGAGCTGACGAAGCTGTTGCATGCTTCCCGAGACAAATTCCGTTTGCAACCCATTGAGGCATAGCAAAGATCGAGCCACCAACCGGGAAGTCAAGAACCATTCGTCTCAAATGCAAAGCTTAGATCATCAGACTCCCGTGTCTCTCCTCTCGGCTCCTGTCTCCATGTTGAATTCCAGCTTGACTCACAGTTCAACTGCGCTCCATTCGATACAAGTCATTTCGACGGCTAGTTGCAGACTAGTAATATCAAGATGCCCAAGCACACTGAAACTATACGATTCCTCTCTTATCATGGACCCAGATACCCATGAAATGTAGCTGAGACATACGATTATGCTCATACTCAGGTATCCAATGCCAACACTCACCTTATTCTTATTAGTTTGGAAGTTTGGAAAGTACGCCTTGAGTTGGCGGGTTCAGCTTTCAAGGAGGAAAGTAGTGGCTCTTTCGGTCTAGTTTCCTTCACCAGATAAATATCTAGAAGTTGAGTGGAAAAATGCGTTGTACTTCAGAGACATCCTTATTCTCTTGTTATCTTCATCTCTGTGGTCCCTTTTCTTTAATTTCTCAGCTTTTTACAGCTATTGAGTGTAGAATCAATGGCTCCTCTTTGAATGCTTTGTTGGTTTCTAAACAATGACCTTTTAGCAATAATGAAATCCTGGAAATCCAGTTACAGGTATTTTAGGTCTAAAAATAACAACATTAACATTTGTTAGCAAAATGTCTAGTTTTTTAGTAAAGATTTAGAGTTAGTAGTATTAAAATAAACAATATAATCTAATAAATAAAACTATAGTATTACTATTTAGGACTTTGTTAAATAAGAATTACAATATACTTTTAGATATAATAAAGGAGTTCTTTATTCTTACACTTAAATATCTAAGTACTAATCTAGTAAAAGCTAAATAGTATAAAGAATAATGTCTAGAACAAACACCTTATATAAAGAACAGGAAAATTTAAAATCAAAGTTAGCGAAATAGGTAAAAACAGAGTTAGATTAAGTAGTCTTAACTTATAGTTTATTCTTTAATAAATATATCTTCTATAATAACTATCAGTTTACCTTTACTACTCTCAAGTACTAAAACACACTTTAAAATAGAAGAAAGTCGTGAGATGAAGGGAGTTAAGCAAACGATTAAGGACATACTTCACAGGGAGAAGTCTGACTTTGATAAGAGTGAATACCAACGTTTGATAGATGATTTACCTGAGAATGAATCTACGATAGAAGATCATTCTCTGACAGATGATCTACCTAAATACGGAGCCTTTAATGCCAAAGAACACGAGTTTGAAGAGCTCAAGGCCTACCTTAATGGGTACAAACCTCTAAGGGGCAATGACCTTGTCACTCAAGGTCTCGCTAAATTTGTTCGCCCAATACCGCTTCCCCTCGATACTCTTAGCATCACAGGGGAAGATGGTTCTTTCACTACCGATATTGATTACTGGGCTTATGTTCCCCGCCTAGGACATATGCCACTTCTCTGGCGAGACCGCGTCACAGACTGGTCGAGTTGGTCGACGATATCCGAAGCTCGTAAGACGCGCTATAGAATACCAGAGCGCAGATACCCTGGGGGGCCGTTGGGTCATATTTTCGAGCTGTATTACAACGAAAAAGGCGATCATGAATATCGTCCTACACCGAAACCCTTTAAAGACCGTTGGGGAGATGAGATCAAATTACTTAGAGCCGAGGGCTTCATTATTGAGCCTGATAAAGGACCTAATAAGTTGTTAACCAGTTCCGAGTATAACATTTACCCTTCTCGCTTAGACGACAAGCCAAAAAAGAGTAATAGGTAGAGTTGGTCATTGACGTCTTCTACCTATAGTATTCACCTTATAGCTTGGAAACTAGAAAAGAGGAAGAATTTAAAAAAAGGAGTATAGCCTGCCTCAATTTTGCTGTCATGGAGGTGTCTTGTCTAACTGAGCTAGCTGAACCTTGGAGTGACGGAGCAAGTAACAAACCATTAATGATCGGGTAAGTCAACTAACATAACTCCTGAAACCAGCATTTTCGTCCAATATACCATCACGAACACTTCCAGATGCCCTCAACTCACCAACATAAACCTAGCTCCAAGGCCCACTTCCCAAATTCTTAATCTCAGAAAGTGCAACCTGCTACCTACCCACCCTTCTTACTCCTGTTACATCCCATCACCTTTATTAATCTTTCACGCATTATCACTTTCTAAAAACCTCCTGCCTCCCTCATCTACCACAATATCAAGTGACCAAAACTAGGAAGCAATCGACCCCTTTTATGTATCATATTTATTACTCTCAAGTTCCTCGTTCCAAGGTCTAGTGCGTAGAGTAGTGGATAAAACTGTTTCATAATGATCTTTCTCCTTTCGAGGCTGAGCGAGATTTAGCGAGGGGTATACGGGGATGGGGTTGAGAGATAGTGCTGTTTGCGGAGTGGAGGAAAGGTTCGTTTTGGTAATGAGCTTGTAGGAATAATTCGGGACGTGTTGAGGTGCTTCCTTGGGGTAGGAATGACAATGAAGTACTTGATACGCTGGTGGTTGGGCTGGCTTTGATGGGGATATTGTTGTTACTAATCTAGATGTTAAGTGTTTGGTATGATTGAGACATGACTGAGATATGCAGTTATATAGTTGTTACAATATATATAGATTAAGTTGACTGTGAGTTAAAGAGGATGTTTCTGAACACTTCCTCATAATGAGGGTTGGAAATGAGGTGAAAGAAGAGACACCATTTTCACATACCTACTACCATACAAAAATCCAAATATCATGACAGGAAACCACAACACACCTCACTTATTCAAACAACAGCTCACATGAATCCGAGTCAAACTAAGCAATCATTCCATATACCCTACCCGACTAACATATCCATCGTCACTCAGCAAAACCAAAGGTAATCTTCACATTAGTATTTAAGTTGAAACTTATCATACGTACACGACTGACGTGGAGAGTGGTGGTATACCTTTCAATAAATGAATTGAAGAGGTTGATGAAGTGAAACTATCCATTTATCACCAAAGAACTTATCATCAAATTAGTCGGTAAAAATTATTTCAGTAACCAAACACATCCTAATCCAATCCCCTATGTAATCATTCTTCCCACCAAACCAGCCTTAGCCAACCTTCCACTTAAACCTGCTCTTCCTCCCTATGCTCCGCCCTAACCTCCACAGCCCCCTTCTCACTCTCCCTCATTCCGCCAATAGGATGATGAATCTTAACATTCCCAGCCTCAATATCCTTCTGCAACTGATCCAGTCTCGAGCCCTTGGGCACAGCTTTCCAAGCCGGGAGACCGCTGTCGAAGACCTCGTCCATTTCTTCTAGGGTCTTGCCTTTGGTCTCGGGTGCGGTGAGGAACATGTGGATGAAGGCTGCGCCGTTGAACGTTGCGAAGATCATGTCTGTGGGGTGTGAGATGAGACAAAAAGAGGGGAGGGGCAAAGGGGAAGGGGGAAGGGAAGAAGGGGACTTACACATTTTCCAGTTTATGTTCCAGAGGAGGGGTGGGACTGCGAATGCGAGGATGCAATTCCAGAACCTTGCAGATGTTAGGCAACCTTTCGAACGTTATGGGTTTCACTTACCAGTTAGAAGCAGTAGCCAGAGAAACAGCTTTCGCTCGAATCTTAGTCGGGAATATCTCAGACGGATAAGTCCAGGATGTAGGACCCCAGGTCGTAGCAAAAGTACAAACAAAGAGGTAGGTCATCGCTACGATAGCTTTTGAAACGGGTTTGTTGTCGTGAATAATCCAAGAAATGTCAGAATTGGTAGAGTCTTTGAGGTCTCCGACATTAGGAACTCCATATGAAGCTTGGAGAGCACCGACGACGAAGAGGTAAGACATCATGAGGAAGGAACCGATAAGCATAGCTGGTCGACGACCGAACTTATCGAGGTATAGGATTGCGGGTAGGGTCAGTGCTACGTTGAGAATGTATTGGATTGAGGCGGTAAGAAGTGGTGAAGCGATATTGGCGCCCTCCATGATATCTAGGGGTCATTAGAAGTAGCCAGATTTTCGGGCAAAATTTACTTACATACGACATAATACATCATGACCTAGAATCTGATTAGCTAGTGTACACTGCATACAACTCTAAGCAGAGAACTTACGTTCATTCCACACAATTGACTCCACATCTGAATCGACATGCCTAGAAGGACGCGCTTCAACATTCGGGGAGCAACCAGCTGCTTGTAACTGTTCACTGCTTCTTCACGCTCAAAGCGCAAAGCCTCTTCGATTTCCTGATACTCAGCTAAGACTTTTGGATGATTGACATCTCCGCCACCATGGAGCGCAGCCATAACCTGGATAGCTTCTTCCCAGCGGTCCTTCGAAGCAAGCCAACGAGGAGATTTTGGCAGGAAGAACATGCCAAAGAATAGAATCACCGCTGGCACGATTTGGACTCCCCACGGAATGCGGAAGGCAGAAGTCGGTTGGCTTGGATTCTCAGGTCCTCCGCCTACCCATGAAGCGCCGTACTGAATGAAGTACTGAATCAAGATACCCCAAGTTATGGCCCATTGTTGTAGGGAAACGACTCGACCACGGATCTCTTTGGGTGCAATTTCTGCTTGGTAGACTGGACAGATAGAAGAAGCGATGCCAACGCAGATTCCGGCTATGACGCGACCAACAACCAACATACCGATATTGACTGAAGCGCATTGAATGCTTTAACTTGTTAGCCAGTGGCGACTGTTACGATCTGAACGACTGCTCACATCGAACCAACGACCCAGAAGATAGATGCAATCTGAATACTGGATCTACGCGAGTATCTGTCCGCGATATAAGATGAGGCAAGAGCTCCTACTAATGACCCAAATGGCATTGCGCAGGTAATTCCGCCCTGTCGATACGACTTGGGACCGCCAAAGTACCGTTTGTACGCAGCTGTTCCCAAAACGCCAGACATACTAGATATGTCAAAACCGAAGAGCCCACCACCTAATATGATCAGCAATCTCGACGACATCTTGACATCGGCAAAACTGTGGATGAAAAACGAAAACCTACCGATGGCAGCGAACGAGCAAATGAAATAGACATTGCTTGCTTGATACATGATGAAGAGAGTTTCGACTCCTCGACTCGTCGTCTCAGAAAAGTTACCATGAATATCCAAAACGATGACTTGAGAAGATTTCAGAAAACAGAACTTCGAGTCTACGAACAGTGCTCCGTTACACGAGCTGGAACATCACACCCCGAGCGTATAAGGAGAGGGGTAGTTTTTATATTGGAGGGTTATGCCCGCTACTAGGGGGGACCTGATCCGGGAGAAAGTGCAGAAGCTGGCATGTCCATACAGCGACATTACAATTGTGGGATATGGGCATGGCAGTGCTCTGATCCTTGGAACTGTGCAAAACTGCAAGACGCTGTCCAAGTCAACCCGCAGGCCAGACAATTACAAGCTCAGGTAGAATGTCGGTATGTGGTTACACCAACACCTGATTTTGTCGATCAGATATCACGTCTCATTGATAGGGAAGCTCGGTTGTCTGACCTTGGGGCATTGATCTTTCCGAAACGTAGATGCGAGAGAGTCGGCGAAAAGCTTATGCTATACCCTTGCTATACAGCAGACTAAGCGTTAGATAAGTTTAGCTCGTTCTTCAGCTATTGAGAACAGTATTGATAAGTTCGCGAGCCCTACACCCCTATGGAACGACGTAAGATATACATCGTAAATCAGTTTCTAGGGTAGTATTCTTCTGTCGACTTATGATTGCCGCCGAAGCAGCACCGAATCCTAGCCAGGCATTCGCCAGTCCCAGCACTTGCAGACTTTTCAAATGAGAAAGATCTCCTGTCGCTTCGAAGTGATCTTTTCTCAGCTTGATTCCCGAACATAATCCTGTGTACCGTAAGACAACACTAATACATACGGAGGCATACAATTGCAAAGTGCTGTGGGCATGGGGTAATTTATCCGGGGAAGAATGAAGTGCCGACCTTCAGATCGAGAAGAATAACTGATCCAACCAGAGTATTCAGATGACGAGATACCGCTCTGGCACCTTTTCGGCCTTGTATTGGTGCAACATACCAACAACAGTTGTGCATCTGAGACCTCATGATCGTTAGGGTAGGGATGGAGCAAGACAGTTGCATTTACTGTGGGAGCTCCCCGAACAACTGCAGGTGGGGTATCATCATCACCGGCAAAACTTCGAATATGGCTGCGACTGATGCATCCCAAGGTCGTGCTATCTTCTGCCGAAGGTGCAAGGATAACGAAATGTTCTGTCGTGGAGCTCAATATGGTTATTGCCATCTAGAGCTACAACCTCTTTCTGCTTGTGTAACTGACACAAGGCAGCCCCAAGATCCCATTCACGTTCAGAGTGCTACAGTAAACAGAATGAGTGGCGCGCATGTAGGCAACAATTTTGATGTTCTGAAGATTTTTGCTCACATGAATACCTGTGAGTTCCAGTTTCGCAGTACATTTTTGATATTTACTATTTGATATTGGTTTTCGTTCGATGCCGGATATCGTCCATAATTGCCTCTAAGACTTGGCGTCGGGTTTGGACGTTCTAGGAGATAACTGGTCGATAATATTCTCTGGGTGTTTCCAGGCAAGAGCGACATATCTAAATTGATTCAGTATTTGCTAGAGAAGCCAGTGACGGCCCCATGCCACCTACTTGGTGTGGCTGCCTCTCGCAGCAATATCTCCTTTGCTATTCGTAAATGAGATTGAAGTGTATGCTAAGGTCTTGCCAAATTTGTCGCAAGTGACTACAGCTTTTAAGACATCGCCGACCTGCCCACCAGAATTCAAATATGTAACTTTACGCCAAGTCAGCTCTGCTGTTAGGATGTGGTATCTACATACCGTTAAGGTCTGTCGACACGCCTGTCGCATATAGTCCTCTAGAAGCTACTGCAAGGGAGCCACCAAGATCGACTAAGAGTGTAGATATCAGTAAGTCTTCGCCTTCTGTACAAGGATTCCTTCAGTTACCCATGCTTGCAATTGTTCCTCCATGTATGATGTTCAACCTATTAGTGTGCTCCTTCTTTATATCGAGTTCAAACTCAACCCGTCCAGGGTCTGCTGCAGTGACTCGAAGCTGCGTTGGTTACAATTGATACCACAAAGGAAGTGATAGTGCTTCGGCGACTATGCTAGGTGGGTATACTTACATTTTCTCCGAAGAGCCTGGATTCCAGTCAGTATGAACGAGGACTCATGTCCCAGAATACCTAAGGTGATGATCGGAGGAACTAGCTGGAAATGAAGATTCTGTCTGGCAGATGAAAAATGTTGAGTAGTTCCCGATAATTATCTTAAGAGCTGGCGAAACAAGAATGATTTCCTGCCTGGACGGACCATCAGGACTGTTGAATGAACAGTCTGTCCAAGCAACAAATGTCGAGAGCTGCACAGCTACACAGCTACACAGCTACATAGCTACATAAGTTTGGTGATCGAGTTGAATTGAACACCTTATATGTGCTCTATCTTTTCAACTCATTGATAGGATGATTTTCTTCACGATTTTCCAATAGAAGACAATATTGGAATTTCGAAGGACTCACCTCGGCTCTAATCCACTCTCTGCTTGAAAGGATTTCAACACCTGCCACGAGTGAGTCTTAAGATAAGAAGCATTTCCAGGTATCCGACTTACAGATCTAACAAATCTCACAGCCGCCATTTTGAGAAATTGATGCGCACAAATTTGATTAGTGAAGTGATGTTCATTGTATCTTGAAGCTCGAACTCCGGGACTTGATATGTAGACCCACTTAAACGCGCCAAGACATTTGTGATGGCCCAAGCTCCTCATTACCACGATATTTTGGTCAGGCTGCAAGCCAGCCTTGGTCCATCGATGAAGAAGAATGTGGGCAATGTTGAAGCTTCAGCTTGGATGACACGACCTTGCCATTATCTTTCTTGACCCCGTCCCACACTGTCTTGAAGATGGCTTCAGCCGTGTCCAACCTGGCCTCTTTTGAGTACCTAGAGAAGCTTCCTGGTATAACATTCAGAAAACTCTACCTCGAGCCCTCGACAGCGTTGGCTATTTTCCGGCGCATGCTTCCACATCTGGGTATGTCTGCTCCGAGCACTTCCTGAGCATTCTGTTGATTCCAGACAGCAAAGGCGTTTGTAATGGCCTTGCTATACATGGATAAACCATTTCTTTTGACTGATCTGGACCAATGGGTTCAGTCAAATGCGAAAAGGTAGTTCACCCCAGTCAATCCCAGGTACGCATGCTGACCGGATGAAAGACAGAGAGACGAAGCTCTATCTACGCTATCGAGGCTACATATTGTAACCATCTCGGCCCCCAGCAGGCAGGAACCTCAAGTGGTCTCCTTAACGGATGCATTTAGAGTCTCCCTTCGGCTTGCCTTAACTGGCGGTGGCAATCATCAATCTTTTGGCGTACCGTCCAGCGATGCAAAATCAGCCGGCATAGAACTTGAGTTCCTCGATGAATATGGAAGAACACAATGGGAGGGCATTCTACATTACGTAGTGAGCACAGGACGCTCTGGTGCACAGCCAACTGCTGCAGTGCAGCAACTGCTTGAGGCAGGGAATCTGGTATCGCGTGGGAGGCGTTCGACTGAAATAACTCAAGCCGGGTTCTCATTTCTTCTGCAGGAGGTTAACGCGCAGGTCTGGACGCTGCTACTGCTGTGGCTGCACCATGCAAAAGAGGTAGGATTTTATCACAGCCAGCGTGGAAATGCTAATTTCTTTTTAGCTGGGTATGGATCATGTCGAGATTCTTTCTTTCTTCTTCATGCTTGGATCTCTTGAACTTGGAAAGGCGTACAGTATCAAAACACTTAAACCGACTCAAAAGTCTATGCTGGAAAACTTGGTGGACTTCGGTCTCGTGTATATTCCTCCCTCGGTGAAAGACCAATTCTTCCCGACTCGACTAGCTACGACACTTACATCCGACGCCAGTGCACTACGCAGCATTACTGCTGGATTCGAAAGCGCGCTGTCGACCGGGTCAGGTACCGCGGGCTTCATCATTATCGAGACAAACTATCGTCTGTATGCATATACAGATTCGCCTTTACAGATTGCCGTTCTTGCACTGTTCACAAAGCTTACTACTAGGTATCCAAATATGGTAACTGGCCGTGTAACACGAGAATCGGTTTATCGAGCGGTCTCTTCTGGAATCAGTTCGGATCAAATCATCACCTACTTGTCCACGCATGCCCACCCAGAATTACTGAAGGCTTCAGCTGCTAAGGGGGGAGGCCCGGTACTACCCCCGACAGTCGTTGATCAGATCAGGCTTTGGCAGATCGAGAATGAGCGTATGAAAACGACTTATGGCTTTCTTTTTAAGGACTTTGAGAGTACTGATGAATACAAGAAGCTTCTCAAGTATGCAGACGAAATTGGAGTCTTGACTTGGGCTTCGAAAACGGAGGAAAAGTTCTTTGTCAGCAAGGTTGAACAGTTGAAGGACTATATGAAGAGCTTGAAGGCCAAGTGACCAAGCTCTGTAGGTTGGCTATTGATTCAAAAGGCGTATTGAGGATTTTGCATAGCGCGGCGTTGGGGATACGGGGATTTGGCATCTCAATGGCATAAGAAACGCTGGGCTTTAAAAGTAAGCCACTTCAGCAGTAACTAGTTTGGTGGTTTCATGATATATCTGGGCTCATGGTTGCAAAGCTAGGTCTGGGAAGAAGGAAATGGTGGAATTTCCCTCGGTAATGATTTGGTCGAATCCCATGAATTAACTATGGAACATTTAGTGCGGCTTTAATCTCAAGCAATCAGCTTCGTACTTGTCTATCTCTTCACATGGCAATTGTTTCTCAACGGACATACCGAATGCCGGACCCAACCAACAATTTAAGCACAGTCCTTGTTAAAACGGGCCACTACCTCGACAAGACCCATAAACTCCTTCAGTGAGTTAGATTTCCGTCTTGAATGCCCAATATATGGTTCGAGTTGATTGAAATCCGACATGGAACTGCTCCCAGGTGCCCAAAATGCTTTTTGTCAGCCCCTGTCTTTGGGCTCTGGCAAGCGCTTGGTCGTGAAATTTGATTTGATCAATAATAATCCACGGATGGCAGAACAAAAGCGGTGATTAAGCTTCCCTAATTATCCCCTGTCATGCCGTATAAATGATTGTACGTCATCGAGGCGGGAGATTCATCGTGCATGTCGGAGAAATCCCGAATTCCTTCACTTTGCTGTAAATAGGCCATTTCGTAGATTAAAAGTTGCGATAGAAAGACGAAGACAGAGTCTTTGAACAAGAGACTTTCATGCCAATTCTTACTAAAATAAAACTTACCTGATTTTTTTGTGCTGGTGATTCCAAAATGTCTTAATCGTTCTACCAGAGGATGCCATCGGGTAGCAAGTGCCCAATGATAGAAGGGCTCAACCTTGTAAACCCTGGCCCAAAGCCGGTTTGGCATCTCCCTTCAAACCCATCACCTTCATCTTCACCGCGTGGATAAATCTCTTCTCCAACCTCCCTATTATCTCACATCTACGACCTCACGACTTAAACGCTTTCTTACCCTTCGCAAATATCGTGTCACCGTGATCCTCCCAACATTTTTAAGGAATACGATACGGATCAGAGGAATCAGTTGGGTAGCGGGGTATAGCCTCCTGTCGCAAACTCAGCCCACCTACTCGAATAGGACAACTACTCGAAAACTTTTAAGGATATTCATATTCATCATTTCGTCGAAAATAATTGCCCAGAACTGACAGAAAAGTCACTCTCTCAACATGTCTCAATATCGCTCATCCGTTGATCATTTGGCGTACGGGCCCGGCCCGGAGCGGTGGGATAGCGAAAGGTTCAACCAAGAACGCGATCGCGATCGATTTGGACGAGGTGACGGCGGACGCTACGACCAGCGTGATACGAAAATATCTATCAATCGTACGAATGAACGCGGAGGACCTGGCCGACCACGAGAGCGTTCTGTTGATGAAATTTACGAGCGAGACCGCAGAGGTCCACGAGGATACGAAGATGACTTTTACGAGCGACGACATTATCACGAAGATGAACCGCGACTCGAACGTGAGCGACCGATTGGCAGGAACCGCGGCCAGAGTATCACATTGGAAAGAGAGCGGGAGCGATTTGACGAGCCTCCAGTTCGCCGTGGTAGCAACAGACCAGCGTTCCTGCGACGACAATCTAGCTTGGATACCTTTGACCGAAAGCCGCTCACCCGATTCAATGACCGCGAGCGATTAGACGATTATGGACCACCTGCCAGATTCGAACGTGAAGAGTATGGCCCTCCTGCTCGCTATGAGAGAAGAGAGGAGATGCGACCACCTGCTCTCACACCAATTCCTTTGCCAGTACGAAAGGCTCTTGGACCGCCACCAAGAAGATACGAGGAGCGGGAATACTACGAAGATATCAAAGTCGCCGAGCCCGATTTCTATGGCGATGAAGAGTTTAGAGGATATCCTGAACGAGTTCGCGAGAGAGAGATCATCAGACGACGTAGACGCAGCAGAAGCAAGGAGAGCCGGGCTGGTCGTAGTGTGAGAGGAGGAGGGAGCGTAAGAAGCAGTAGCCGAAGCTCCTCGAGCAGTAGCGGAAGCTTCGAGACGGTCAGAAATGAGTTCCCTAAGAAGGGGAAGACGAGAATGCCGGCCAGACTCGTCAGCAAGAAGGCAATCATCGATCTTGGTTATCCATTCGAAGAAGAGGTAAAGTTTAAAATCATCTATTGGGAAATCAAATGCTAATAAGAATTCAGGGTGATACTATCATCATCATGAAAGCTCTTGGGAGAGAGAATATCGACGAAGTTATCAAACTAAGTGAAGATTACAAGTCTGAAAGTGAGTGCCCTCCAATGTCGTCAATTTGAATTTCCTTATACCGATTCAGCAAATGGAGACGAGTGTCAAAAAACACTTCGCTAACTGTCCGCTACCTAATAGAACATTCTCCATCCGGCAACGTTGTTTTCGAAGAAAGTCGCACAACAGAGGTTATCACTGTACCTAGCCCGGCTCCTCCACCTCCACCTCCAGTATTCGCTGCACCTCCAGTATTTGCTCCACCACCTCCGATGCCAGCGCACGAACATGTGACGGAAGTCATCAAGGACACCAGAATTGTTGATGTACACCGCGATCCATCACCAGCCTATTCGCACAGATCCCACTCCCGTCACTCGCACCACCATCACGGCAGTCATGGAAGCCCGATCATCATGAATGCAGGACCTCGAGAGGAGAGTACTTTCATTGAGAAGAAAAGAGAGGTTATTGAAAGATCTGATCCAATGCCCGTCGGACCGCTCGCTCTAGCACTACCCAACGACCGTCGGCGAGTTCCAGACGAAAGGTCAATCCGTGCTGAGATCAAAGCACTAGAAGCAGAGAAAGAAGCGCTCAAAGCTCAAAGACGAGCAGACCGAGAGATTCGTCGTGCAGACCGGTACCGTGGCGAAGGCCGTCACTCCGAATCCGAATTGGTTGTCTACGACCGGGAACGCTACGATACTTATGGCGACGAAGTTACGATGGTCCGAACAGAGAGATTCGTGGAGCCTGAGGGCGGCGTCAAGATTCAGAAGGACAAAAAAGGTAGGATGAGCATCAGCGTGCCGAAATATATCTGAAAAGATGTCGTTCGGCTTCCTTTGGTGGGTTACTTTTCCCTTATGGGAGGTTTTATGATTCACTTGCTGACTTGTGCTTTTTCGCAGCCCCACCACCTGCTTTGGTTAGAGCTATGCTCAAGACGCTCACCTAGAGGATCGTGTCATCGCCCTATTCTCGTTACGAGTGCGGTAGGGTGAGTCTTGCGAAGGATTTCAGCGTGTGGAGTTTATTTCATGGATGGCTTGGAATATGCCGGAGGATATTTGGTTTCGGGTATAGAATGTATAGCAGCATCTGGTGAGGCTTTTCAGTTAGGGTTAGGGACATAATATCGGTTAGTTGGGGTGCACTTATCTGTCGTGGTTAACGATCTCATGTTTATAGGATAAATTATGATCTTTTGAATTTCATTGCGTCTGCTTACCATTCATCGCTTCGGAAATTGTTTATCGTTGTGAACGTTTCGACGACTGATTTGCAACCCCTTATCTGGGAGCTATCCTCCTTCGAGGTTCTAGACATGCGACAGCACAATAACTGCTAAAGAGAAGTATACTGCATGAATTTCCCCTCTCAAAACATGGCCGCGACTCCCTCTTTATATACCGCCAGACGTCGCCCATAAAATAAGCGAGGAAACCATTACCCCCCCTTATTCACCTAATTCCCGCACAAAATCGTCAAAAGATCAAGAATAGTCGATCACATATCCTTCCCTCCCGTTTCAAAAACTACATATGGTTTAGGCTTCCATGTTCTTCCACCGGCACCTCCCACCTCCGAGCTTGGTGTTCTGTGTTCCTGTCATTTTTGCGGGAAATGTGAGGAGATCTGGATCTGAGCATCGGAGTTATCCGATGAGAGGGAATTGTACCCTTTGAAGAGTATGGATCTTTTTGGTTGAGTATTTGGGTAGGGGAGGTGGTGTATACGGAGATCGAGATAGTTGATGAGACTGGGAGCTTTAGTTGTACGTTGTCGTGTCTGAGATCTTGTGAGGTGCGAAGCGTCATTAGTGGTTGTGTCTAAGGCGGGATGTGAGGCTGGCTGGGATTGTCTGGACGATTTGACATGATGGTTTGTGTTCAATATGAAAGCAGCAGGTCGAAAGTGTGAGAGTTTTGATGGGGTATAGGGAGTCACTTGATTGTTCTTGGGGAGATGGGAGGATTCGGACAAGGACGAGTCTTCTTCGAAGATCGCCGGCGTCATTATGTTCTTTTTCATCATGGCGGGCTTTTTGAAACCGTTAGAGCTCAGTCAAGTTCAGACCAAGTTCTAGATACCAAAAGCCTGTTAGTGAGCAAGATTGACGTTGCTCGTGTCCTCTCATTCCCCCAAGATCACAGTAAGTTTATCTCTCGCTTGTCACCAGCCATGTCTCCCACTTCCCCTGACGATCTTGCGCCCTGGATACCAGTGCCGACAGATCGCCCTCACACAGCATATTTCCTCCCAAGTACCGAGCTCCTGTTCAAGACTCGCTTAGATCTACATTTATGCGAACGTATGGGGGTTCTAATTGTTGGCAGACGACATCTGTTTATGATAGATCATCACATCACCTAGACTTATCGACAGACACGCTCGTATTTTCGGCACAGTGTTGAATCAAAATCGAAATCGAAATCGAAAACTCGCGGAGGTGGACTGTGTATTAAACATCGTCATCATCGGTACACCAGGTGAGATTCGTATTGAGACTTCAAGTGACTTTGTCATAATTCGAACACCGTGGGGAGAGCCACTGATGGAAGAAGGACGATATGGCTCCGCTAACTGTTGTCTGCAGCTAGTCTACCAAAGCTTTCGCTTACAGAATGCAGGAAAACCTGATTCCCATCATCATACAATGACTATTCCCTCGGCTTCAATCCAACCCGTACTCTTACAAACCCATCAGCAGCTCGAAAAGCCGGGGATCTTTGACACATCTCCCGCCAAAGGAGTCTAAATGTTATCAGCAAAGTATTCACAAGAGAGGAGATGTACTCGCAAAACCACTCAAATCTCATTCTCGACGCAGAAACACCGTCGCATTAGACGGCTGAGGGAATATCCCTCACATCAACACATCTCTTGACCATACTCACACAACACAACGATCCCTCCCATCACCCACCAACACCACGATCAGCGAACCTACTCTCCAATCTCCGACGACGAGAAGTATATAACCATCTCTTCATCCAACCCAGAATCCTTCTTTCTCCATCCACAACAATAATCAGCAATCTTCACTACACTCCTCTTCCAACTTTCTTATCTGTCTAAGCACCTAATTCCCAGCTTTTCTTTCCAAAGCAAAAAAAACACTTCAATAAAAATGCATTTCTCAACTTCCTTCATCGCCGCCGCAGCCCTCGCTTTCTCCACCTCCGTCACCGCGGCCCCAACAGCCGGAACCGCAATCGCCCAAGGCGTCTGGTCCGATGCATTCCCAAAGTACATCCCCTTCCCCTCCCCTCCCCCCCTTTCACTCTCAACTAACACACCCGGCAGTCCCCTCGCAACCTTCAACGTCTACTGGTACAACCTCAAAGTCCCCGGCTTCTACATGGACACCTGGGGCAACTACAACACCTGCTACAACTTTGCGGCCGACGCTCCCTACACCCAAGGCGTGGGCTCCATCGCCGTCGACGGCACCCAGACCCAGGGCTGCCGCGCCTATCCCAACGCAGATTGCCAGGGCGATTCCACCCAGATCTTGCCACCTGGAAACAGCTTGTACACCGGTCATGTGAAGAGCTTTTACTGTGCTCCTCCTAAGACCGCATAAATGGATGCAGAGGAATAGGGGGATAAGGGATGGGATGGGATGGGATGGGATGGGATGGGATGGGATGGGATGGGTGTTTAGGATTTCTTTTGTCAGGAGTTCGAGGTTTTTGCGCTTAATTCTTCTTCTTTTCCTTACAAGTCAAAGCACCACGTACTGCAAGCCTGGAAGAGGGGTGGAGTGTGGGTTGTTGGATGGGTCCGAGTTCTCTTTTCTCTTTTGGTTGTTTGTCGTGGGGTTTGACTGTGTCGGGGATCTTGTTTCTCTTGCTTTGGATTTGATTGGGTTTTCTTCGATTCTAGCTTCCTATTTAACAATATAACTTTGGGCTTTCCACTCACGGGAGTCTTTGACTGAGAAGTGTGTAATAATTCAAGTAAATTGGATAAGGGTCAGGTACCTCCTGAAATATCTCGCTTTGTACTATACACCACTCGACATCCATCACACTAAACTTGCAATGAACGTCACAACAACAGAAATCAAGTACAGAAGTCAGCGACAAGTGACAGTAAATAGTGCGTAGCCATAATAATGACAGTATTCGACCCCTAAATGACAATATATACAAGAACATTAACCCACCTAAGCGCTCAAAATCGCTCACAACGAATCCTTACCCACACAAATTCACTTTTTACAACAATCAGCCTCCCCAGGAGCAATAACCAATTTCGACATCTTATCCGCAGCATTAGTCACCATACTCTTAGAAGCAATCTGACTAGGGGTACTGCAATAGCTGGGTGGTACATCGAGTGCTGGATTTCTGACAAAGAAGTTTCGTGGTCGAAGCAGCAGGGTCATTGGTTCAGCTGGCATGATTGGGAAATCTTCTGGAGCGGGGAAATGAGTGAGGCCAAAGGTATGCCAGAGGACTACATCGGTGTTGTCGATTGAGGCTTCACCATCGGCTATCCATTCTGGAATACCTCTTGATGGTTCACCTGATGTTTGAGGGACGTGACGTCCTGCTGGATATAGCTGCTCATCATCATCTGCAAAGAAATATTAGCTATGCCAGGGTAATAAATAAGATCTGCTTACATTTGGTGACATGAACAGCATGTCTCGCGAAACCCGCTCTCTTCCATACCAGAGACCCTTCTTTTGGAAGCAAGCCAGGTACTTCACGGCTCACGAGCTTGTAGCTTACAGGTTTGTGGCTGTGAGGGTTGAGCTTATTGGTGTTACACATATCCCAAGTTCTCGAAGTGGCGCCGTTATAATCACTAGTTGCTTCTTTCACGGTAGAGTACTTTGTTCGCTTCGCGTAGAAGGCATTACCGAAAGGATTCTCCTTGCTGCCAACTTCTCCGGCACCCTGAGTCGCATCAACCTGAAAGACTGTGTTATTGGGTCCATCGATATTTGGATCGATTCGTAAACAGAACAGATGTTGGTGGTTGTGTGCATTGACACCGGGGTAGACCTCCGTCCCCCAACCTTTCGTGTCCTCTCCAGGGTTCATGGCATATGTGTTTAGGATACCGGTGAGCTTAATCTCCAGCTGAACAGTACCATCTTGGTGGAAGATCCAGTACACGCAATATTCGTAGTTTGCAGCAGTAAAAATGTGCGAGATGATTAGCTTACGGCCTCTGGTGACCACGACCGAGTCGTCACGGAAGTCGGTATGCTTGAACAAGATACCCGCATCTTCTTCGTGGATACAAATAGCATTCTTGATTGTTGTACTGTCTCCAGCCTTGTTGACAAAAGCGGCCTATAATGTCTTATTAGCTTTATGCTCAGCAGGTAAATGGTCAAATAAGAATCAAGGGCGGCTTTTCTCCGCTCTTAAGTCATCAAAAGGGCGATTAACTTACATCCATGTAATGAATCGCACCTTTGCAGTCACATCCCAACGACAGACTGTTGGTCATATATCCACCGCCATACTCTCCAAGATCAAAGGCATGCTTCCTCTGATGTGGATGTTCCGGGTTACCATATGGCACAACCATCTCCGCAAGCGAAAGCCTGTAAAAGATGGGTCTTTCAGTTCCCTTGTCGTTGTATGTAATGTTATTGAGCACAATTCCTTCCTTATAGTTAAAACCAACATGAACCTTCCAGTTTTGCCAGTCAATGACTCGTCCTTCCACCTTGAAGGAAACGCCTTCTGGTTGTGTGATATTTATTGGTTTAATATCGGTTCTGTAACCTCCCTCCTTCTCAATCGCATCGACATGGTAATTGTTAGGTTTCGCCTTGTTGACAGGCCGACGTATTTCTGGGATATCGATGTGAATGATTTCTTGTTTGGCAGCGTCGAAGATAGGGCAGAAGTCGAGTGGGAAGGAGTATTGGCTGTCATCCATGTGTGGTCGGTAATACATAAGGGCCTGTTGTAATCGAACATTGCTTCCAAAACGATGATCGTAGCCAATTGTCCAAGCTGCTTATGGTGAGTAAGGGAACGATCACAGAACAAGGGATCCAACTTACGATCACAATAGACTTTGTGCATATCTTCTGCTGGAATACCACTAATCGCACATTGTTCGATGACCTTTGGATCTTTCCTGCAAACATGCTCAACAGCCTGTAGATCCTCCATGGTAATCTATTCTGATGTTAGCCAATTTGCCATTCTTGGTTATTCCACACGACTTACCAAAGGTTGCACACCCTCTAGAGAAAGCCATTTGGTGACCTTCCCTGCCTTCAAGTCCACCCATCCCTCAATGACCTTTCCACCGGGCGCAACGACGACGACATCCGCTATCCGCACCGGTCGAGGTATACTTGGATTTTCCAGCCATCTCAGCATCTCCTTTTTCAAAGGTTCCTTCAGAGTAATGGCATTGTAATGTAACTGGCCATATTGCTGCCGTATAATCTGGACCGCAGCCTCAATTTCCGCATTGCTGAGGGGATCGAAAGGGTGAGGAGGGGGGAGTGTGCCGGTGACATGTTGGGCAACGGACTTGAGTCTGTCGAGTGCCATTTTGTAATTGGGTGTATACGGTATTAAACTTGTAAATTATCGCGGAAATACCCTATATAAATGAAGTGATAGTGATTGAGGATTAGCCAAACGAGAGGAGCTCTGATTGATATAGCAAAGAAGGAGGGACTTGGTGTATCAATTGGGAAAGAACCCAGTAGTGGGATAACCCGAGTATTGAATCCATTATGTGAAGCTTTGGCTGCCGGCCACTAAGCTAGAACCCCTCCAAAGCTTCGAATACTGGTCGATTGAGCATCCGCGTGCTTGTGGTGTCTGGATAGTTCTTGGGTTGGCTGGATAAGGTGCTGATAAGCCCCACGACTGAGTACCGCCGGGTTAGATGACCAGATTGGGTCTAGCGGATTATGGATCCCAACTTCAATTCTCTGGCGTGAGCAAACATCAAGATGTATTTGCAGTGTGTCCGATTTGAGTATTGCTGTCCTGGAGGTTCAATGAAAATGCTGACTACTCAAATTCGGTCGCCTAACTAACTTCACCATCTGTCCATACCTTGAGCTATCGTGAAAAATGTGTGAGCTCTTGGATAGTAAGGTTTTACAACACTTGACTAGAGAAAGAAAAAAGATAAATAAACCGGAGGATGAGTTTGACATGAGCTTTAGGTGTGTCCAAGTATTGTAACTCCAAAATCCAAGAAGGAAGAAATTCGCTGAGCGCGCGGTTCCAATATCACACCCTTCCCGCTAAAAACACCGCTGTTGCACAAATATACTCCTCACAACGCTGGCAGCTTATCCATCTTCCCTCTTTCTCATTGCTTTCGGAATCTCGCTTGCCTGGATATTTCCCTCTTCAACCAAAGTATCGGAGCTTCGATCATCGGTAACTTCCTCCATCATCACCATATTGCCACCGCGACCCCCAGCGACCTCTTCGTCCTTCACAACACTCTCTCCGCCCTCTCCAACTTCCTCATTTCCACCCTTGCGCTTCTTTCCCCAGCCACCACTCCAACCAACCCATCCTTTCTCCCACGGTCCTCTTGAGATCGCAACACAAATAGCGACAGCCACAAAACCCATACTACAGCCGCCACTAGCTCTCCATCCGCCAATTGCATAGACTTTATTTCCAACTGCCGTACCTGTGAGCTGACCACAGAAGACAGCAACCATAAAGACTGTGTTGACACGATTTCGTGCTTTGGGTGCGATCTTGTATATGGAGGTCCTGTTTGCAATTTGCGATGTTTGGATGCCCAGGTCCAGAAGGAAGGCAGTCATTATTGGGCCAGAAATGCTGATAAGTTGTTAGTGAAAGAACTTTTGGGGAATATTCCACACTGGATGGAGCTGTACCTGAATGTTCCAATGAATGTTCCAAGTGTAAGACCGATGAGTATGTAGACGAGACCCAGAACGACTGACCACAATGGAGGGAAGCGATCGATCATCATGCGAGCTAGCCACTATTAGTACTTGTTTGGTAATGGTCCAGGTCATGTGAGTATTACAATAAAACGGTCCAAATGCCATGGCCGCAATGCCTATTAATGCGAATAATCCAATGATGAGTGGCGTGTAGTTATACGGTTCTCCAGCAAGCAGGAAAGTTAAAGTTGTCCAAAATGAGGTAAAAGTAGTGCTGGTCAAAAATCCAACAACACAAGCTTGAACCAGAATTGGCTCACTCCATAACATCGTTATCATAGACCAAAGCATGCTGAAATAATTCAAGCCACCAGGATTCGTAGAGGGATAGTCGGGCATGAACAGCCAGAGGAGAATAAAGATTACGTATTGGAGGCCGAGGGAAAGAAAGTATATGCTGCGCCAAGAAGTGTACTGAGTAAGAACGCCAGAGAGAAGTCGGGCGAGAAGCATTCCAAGAAGGAGGCCTGAGACCACGATTGATAAAGCGGTTGCGCGTCTGTGTGGAGGTGCGAGATCACCAACGAGTGGTAGCATAAGTTGAGGTGTTACTGTAGAGACAGCGGTGATGAACGAGAGTGCTAGAAATAGAGGAAATGAAGATGTGATACAAAGGCCAAGCCACTGTTACTTGTCAGCTAAGCATGGCTAGAGAATATGAATTAGCTCTTACAACTGTTGCTGTGAAGAAAACCAGGATAAGTACGAAGGGTCGGCGGTGGAATATATCTCCAAGAGGGCAAAGAAATAGAAGACCAGCTAGTGTAACATTGTAAGCAATATTTCTAATGATCAACGGAGGGAAATATCATACCTGCGTAGCCAGCTTGCATCATTGTGGGAACCAAAGATGCTCGCTCATCTGATACATGAAACTCTTTGGCTAGAATGTTCAGAATTGGATGATTGTAATAAAGATTGGCAACTGTGAACGTCGCCGCCTGTTGGAGTTAGCCATTGAGACTAAAGCCCAGAGTACTAAGGTTCTTTGACGGAAAATCAACGAGCATTTCTTCGTCAATAAGAAAGACACTTATAAACCAATGAACAGTTGTAACGGATGTCGAAATATGATGTTTCGTCGTACGATGCAAGATCCGAGAGCTTGGCAATGACTGTACAGTTGCTTCCGACGTCCAGCGCTGATGGGACACCGAAAGTTCCAATTCAAGCACGTATCTCACTCGTTTTTTTCATAAAGAGATACCGCAAAGGTCGCAGAAATTGTCCACGAAAACCAGAAGAACTTACAAATCCAAAAAGAAGATTCAACCCCCTGTTGAACTTAGGAGGATCTGCCGGGTCCCATCTACACCGTCTGGGGGTCCACGTTACAACCTTCCACAAAGTCTGTACCACCCCATTTCTACCACTTGACGACGATGAACGCCTCTCGACAACCTGATCGTTGGTGGAGAGATCTTTCGATTCAAGATCTCTGCTCCCCTGGCCGGAGCCATTCGCCGAGGGCAATTGTGAAGGACTGATTCCCAAATCCGTCTGGGTTTCCCTCTCAGATGCCATAATGTCTCGAATTGGCTATGGTTCCATGGTACGACACCGAAATAGATGCAATCAGCCCAGAGTGAACAGTAGGGCTGTAAACATGACAATTTGTGAATAACATTGGAACAGAAAAAACATCAAGGAAGTGATGGTTAATACGGATTTGGCAAGTGTCAGTCGATATGCGGGTATCGGTGATAGGACATTGTCGACATCACCACTTGTGGTTGGTAGACGGCTCCATCTTTCCGTCGCAAAGGTGGACTGCAGGCAAAGCATATCCCGGACCTCCTATTACGATGATCTTGTTGCAACTCCAATGTTCCAGACCAACATGCCAAGCTTTGGTACGTGATTGTTGAATTTCGAGAAGGAGCAAAGGATGTAAAGATGAGGAAGGCGGGACAACGGGAGCTTGCACGTCGCCTTCATATCATGTGACCAAAAAATCACGTGTACCACTAATCATCCCCATAGACGCAAGGCGGTAGCTACCATACAATAAGATCTGAAATAACATTCTAGAACTTACGTACCTAGTCATCGTCTTTAAATGGAAGTTGAGCCATTCCTGTTGGAAACATTCTGTTTTACCCGGACAGGCCATTTCTCGATTCGTGGACGCTAAAATCGCACAACTGCTTATTGCTCCAGTTCAGAACAGGTAATGGACTTAAAAAGGTGTGTCTAGGGCTACAGCCTCTGCATATATGTATAATTATTTATTAGAATAAGAGAGTAGCTTATGTATAGAGAAACCTGAAAGAATACAGCGAGGAAACAAGACAAATAAAATCACTTGACTACTTTATATAAAATAAGGGTTTTAAAGCAAGGTTTCTTTATCTAAGTAGAATGACTGGAAAAGCTGGTTACTAAAAGTAAAGATGTTTTCTCTAAAGTGTGTTTTCCCCCAGTCTTTTACTAGTTAAGTGAGAAGACATTCGCGGATGATCGTCTACAGAGAAGGTCAGTTGTTGAATTTCCCCCTCGCATTATCTTTGTCCTCGCTATCCCGTGCCGTTTCAGACGACAAACTCGACAATTTTCTCTTTCGCGGAAAAAATCTTCTCTTCGGTGCTCTCATCTCCCAGAAAAAATCAAGAGTCTTGATATTACCTTTATATTGAGGCGTTTTCAGGACTTCCAGATTTTGCTCTATGTAGTTGATAAATTTGAGCCCATTTTCCATTATAAATGCCCATCCCATGAAACTGACCGGAAGCCACATGCAATGCTCGAAATCTATTACACAAACTGGGCTAGTATCATCGTTCGATGGAATTATGAAGTTTGAGGGGAAGGGATAGCAGTGACATAATATGAGATCCTTTTCTTGGAGGTTAGGTGTATCTGGCCCATTTAGCGAGTTCTGGTCTTCAGTCAGCTCAACAAAGGTTGTGATCAAACTATAAGAAGCTTACGACTTCCTTGTTGATATAGGTCTGGATTTCCTCTACAGATTCAAAGGCTTCCGGTGCCCGCCCGGTTTCGTATTCCCGGAATCTGCTAAACAATGGATGTTCGATCCTGCGGCCACCGACAAAACCTGGTCTCTGATCTGGCTCTGGTCGAATCTCAGTCAACGCGTCAAGAGCCTTGACCGCCCTGTCCCAAACACGAATCTTCTTTTCCTCATCCGCATTGCCTTTCAGTGCTTCCGTGATTGTTAGTCCAGAGATGTACTCTATCACGATAACTCCAAGAAATTCAGGAACTTCTAGATCCCTCCCATCAATAAACAGGTATACTTCCGGTACACGAATTCGATCACGGAGATAAGGCTGCTGAGCTATACTGTCGTAGATAAACTCTTGCGTATCCGCCTCTGCCGCGAGGTCTGATATTTGACACCCGTACTTGAGCCACGCAGCTGGCCGTCCATCCTGTATTAACGGTAGACGGCGGGTCAGAGGACGCTCATTGATGTTTGGTAACCTGCTCTGCTCCTCTTGATGTTTTTTTACTGCTGCGGTTATTTCCTCGTCAGATGGGAGATGGGGTATCGGAGACATGTTTGCCAGTTGTAGATTGCTGGTTTTGCGAGAATTGATGATGGAATGAACGAGATGGAAGGGTTGTTGAAAGGTAACCGGACTTGTTGTGGGGTGACATGCTGGTTGGCCCACGGGGAGAAAATCACGAGGCTGCAGTTGGAGAAGTGGAAGTTGACAAATATTGAATGTATATTTTCACTATAGTCGTGCAAATCAGGAGAATACAGGCTATAAAACCGGCCACGTTAAAAGCCCCCATCAAAGCCGAGAATACAGATGTCTAACGTTTTCTCTAGCTAACACTCACCATAGCTCAACGAGAAAGCTTCCAAAAAGACCTGAGTTGATTTTGGATTTCATTGGCATAAAATCTCTCATCTATATCATACACACGTTGCAGTGTGGCCTATTCCACAGCGCTTCTATGCGTTTCCAAAAAATATCTACAAGAAAATAGCGCACTTCATAGCACGTCCAACCATCCACCTTTTCACTCTTCAACCCATCAAGGAGAAAGCGTACCAGCACAAGTTTGCGCGAACGCATCTAAATTTGGATTCTTCAACAAACTAGAGAATCCAGGTCCGCCCTTGAAAGAGCAATTCGCATCAGTAGCAGCTTGACGTTTCTTCGTTGCCGAGTTGTCATTATATTCAATATGAAATACCGGTTTTCCAGCCGTGATAAAAGGAGCGAGTCTATCGCACTCGTTAAACTGCATACAAGATTCATTGACTTGGAAGTCCATGATATCAAGTAACTGCGGAACCATTTCAACGCCGTTCTTGAGACCCATAGCCATACCCCGTGCATGTGCTTCGGTAGCGAGGAAGGTTAGATAGTCGATTGATTGCGCCTCAGTGATGCCCAGGCCGTTGGCGTTGTGATATACGTCCACGTTATCAGGGTCAACGGCATCGCAACCTTTGGATTTCGCGAGGTCAAGACGGGCTTTCATGATGGTGCGGACGTTGGCTGAGTTGGTGTTTAACCACCATTCGTTGTCCCAACCTTCGAGAGCTGCGCCTTTGTCAGACGCCTGGAAGGAGGATGCATCGGGTCGCCAGGACTCGAATGATCCAGCTGAAAAGTAACAGATTACTTTTTTGTTGTTGGCGTGGAGGGTGGAGATCATTTCGGCGGAGGATTCAACATAGTCAATGTCGTAGACGTCGACGGGGATATTGAGATCTGTCACTTGCCCGGCGAGTTGGATTTGCCAGCTTAGTCCAGCGGCGGGTTTCCAGTATGCACCAGAAACTAGGGTGTTCGTGACAGATGTGACAGGAGGTGCTTGACTAGTGGTCGAGGTGGCTGCTGTAGGTGCAGGAATTGGAAGTACCGTCTTGGTTGCGACTGGCGCGCTGCTTTCAGTGGTTTGGTCGCTGTCGGTTGGGAGAACTGGAGGTGAAGAATAGATCTCTGTCTCAACTGGTACCGATTGGGTAGTTTCGGTCTCCTCGGACGTTGTGGTAGCTGCTACTGCTACTAGGGTGGTTGATGTCGCAGATACAGCATAGCTAGTTGATTGAGAAACGGTGCTCTGGACGGTAGATGACTCTGGTAGGTCAGTTTCGGCCTCGTCTTCATCATCTCCATCGTCACCGTCGTCTCCTCCAGGGACCGTTGGGGTCGGCTCGGCATTGCCAGTAGTAAGAACAATTGTTGGAGTCAGACTAGTGCCTGCTGGTCGAGTAGCAGTTGCAGTTATTGTTTTGCTTTTACATCTTCGATGACGGCAACGACCGATGTGTCGAGCTTCAAGTCCATTGACTTCGACTTTTGGAATTGCTACGGCTGATGTGGCTTCAATACATAAAAGGCCAAAGGCAACACCGACGCTGAGATTGAGACGCATACTGGCTAGTTCTGAGGCTCTAATTCGCTTCAATTTCTTGCTCGAGGGAGGTGATTTGGTCAACCGGGATGAAGTAAAGGAGCGGAATATAGAAACGAATTCTAGATGACGAAAACGATGATGAGATTCGAAAGAAAGTAATGACAACGAGTTGGCTTTCCAGAAAGGAGTGTATGTGTCTTGTTCTAAAAGAATGTATCGTGAATGGTAATTTATATTGCCCAAAAGGAATGTGGTGCGTGTTGCAAGCAAACCAGCGCAGGTGAGGTGAAAGAAACAGAAACAAAGGGATACTCAACTCATATACTATTTGCCGTCTTGCCCAGACGTCGATTACGCATGTACTGTGAGGCACAAAAATGGCTTCGAATATTGTTGTAGGTGAGGCACAGCGCATCTAGTCCTCGCTTATGCATGATATTTTCGAATTAAATCGTTCTCGTCTGTTTCAGGAGCTGAGGTGAGCTCGATATGCAGGGGAAGGGGAAACGATGTTGGTCCCCTCGGAAATGACCATCATTATTGGATATGTTCTGCAGACTACCAGCGGGATCTAAAGCCACGAACGGGTTGCTGGGTACGTACCCAGATCCCTTCTGGAAGATCGATAGGAAGCGATTGTGGGAACTATTAACGGTCAACGACCCTATTTCAGGCCTCTCAAAGACTGATAATGAGGACGAATAAGTGATGTTGCGATTTCTCAAAGAATCCTAAAATTCTTCTCGTCAACAACTTCTGCCCAGACTCTTCCTCATTTCCAACCGCAGTTCGAAACGCACAGAGCCCAGAGTCTTTTTCTAGCCGTGCAATCTAGATTTTGACGCAGGTCCCAGGCAGGATTTCCTCGTGCTGCAGCAAGGCAACCCGCAAGTGGGGAATCATGAAGTCCGTCGATCTGGGGTAATTTGATAGGGTCGGGCTCATGGCCATCTCACCAACTGTGGAGCTGCGGGTTCCTGTTTGTGAAATGACAGAAAGTAATGGATGGGTCAGAATTCAGACCAAGACTCTACAAGTTGCTGATATGTTTCGATAGAAAAAATTCACGCGGTGTAAAAGGGGAACGTCTAGCGGCAGAATCTGTGTTAGGCTAAGCGGTGTGGCTATCCTTTCCCGTGTTCCATCGAGGAAAACCCGTCAACATTGAACATCCAAGCAATCCCACCACATAAAAGCTATCACACACCTCACACAATCGATAAGTCCAATCCACCTGCATGTCCACATCTATCGCACACAAAAATCGCGCGCGACGCTTTTAGCCGGCTTCCCAAATTGCATACCCCTTCTTGGCACATAATTTGTCTTTGATTGTGGATTGTGGCGCTAGCAAAACGAATCCCTACTTTTCATTTTGTGCCGCCGGAAACTTGAAACGAGCGACAGAAGACAGCTAATATCGTGGAAAAGCGCCTATTGTGGGATGGTGTAAGTTTTACGTCAGTAATTAGTTGTTGACTCGTTATTTTGTTATTTTCGTTCGTCATTATGGTCAGATCTGAGTGAAGTTGGAGCACGTTGCTATTTTCATTGGCATCGAGGCGTTGAATTTTTTTTAGGAAAACAAGTCGCTATGGTATGACAAAATTGATACCCCCGAAGTATCAGACGGAAAGAAACAGTCCCGAAAGCCAATTGCCTTTGCTTCAACATGAAAGATGACCTGCCCAGACCACAGATTCCGATGCCGCTACATGGCATTTTCATTTTGAGAGCGTCTGTCCCACCCTCGTCAGAAATCGGTACATTGAGAAGAGGCAGGTTCGGTGCGATGATGTTTAAATTGGTGTACTACCAACAAGACCAAAGTGGAAAAGATTCATCAATCAGAAAGTTTTTGGTATCAAGACTCTCCACTGGTTTCTAGCCCCGGAAACATCATCCAGACCCCAGGTTTGAGAACATCACCAAATATTCGAAATGGAAGAAGACCAGATGCCACGAATTCCCCAGTAGGTTGAGGGCAATCATCTTTCCTGTTGAAGCTTGCCGCTCACTCCTTCACATCACTGCTCTGGTCGGGTCCGCTGCCGCTGCCGTTTGGATCTGGACCCGCCATTTCAGCGTAGATAACAGCGTTATCGAGCATACTTGAAATATCAATCGATCCGATATCACCACCGGACTTTGCAGTCGCCGCTGAAGTTGACGATTGGCATAACCCAGCATTAACACAATCTCTATAAGCAGTATACAGGTAAATCGCAAAAGCCTGACCTTCGGGCGAACCCTCATAGTAAGGCTCAGTATCCTTCCAACTATATGGATTGGCAGCTGGAGTAAAAACACCATCAGGTCTCTGTCTTCCAGAAATCGCAGCCCGATTCCGATCAGCCCAGTCAACATACTTGTCTCCAAACATCTCAGGATCATTGACAGCCATTCGATACGCACAAGCGGTGAGCAATGCCGTACCAGATATCTCTCCAAACGAGCTGGTATCATGAAGGTAATTAGGCAGTAAACCATCAACATAAGGTGACTGCGTAGCACCGTCTAATATCTCTCGAATCCAGCTCTTCAGCTCCTCAGCTTGGGAACTCATAAGTGCTGATCCAGGCCAGTTCTGCAACGTATGCAATACTCGCACCATCCCAAAGCAAGCCCATCCATTACCGGTCGACCAGAATCCAGGATCTTTGGGCTCTACACCAATGATATGCTGCCAGTTTAGACTCGCGCTAGTCTGGAGCACAGCTCGGTACAATCTACATTGCGTTACCATTTCTTCCATCAACGTCACGTTCTTCTGTTGAACTGCTAGATAAGCCACTGAATTGCCCACGTATTAGCACAGATTCACCTACCATCTTAAGATCTACTCACAAAAAGGCATCGACATTGCCACATTATCAGCCCAAAGTTCCATCTCTTCCCTCCGATGCGAAATTGCACCGTTTCCCCACCTCGGCGCTTGAGTAAGTATATATTCCGCCTGCCTCTCCGCAGCTCTCAAATAAACCTCATCCGTCTGTCCTAGCAGTATACACGCCACGCCCAGGGACGCTGGATCACCGACCGTCGGATCAGGAAACAATGTCTGGGCGTTGGTATGTATATACTGTTTTGCGTAGGCTAGAGCGCCGGTGGATTGAGAGACGGATGGGATGAGGTTGTGGGGGAACGCGGTGGGACTGAACACCGAAAGACTCGGATTGTGGAGTTCGAGAAAGGCTTCGGATATGGTTCCGTATTCCCAGGACTTTTTAGCCAGTTGCAACATTGACTGGATGGTTGTGGTGATGTTGTAGCCGGGATCGATATCTGCAGCTGCAGACATGGACAACAAAAGGTAGTATAGCGCCTGGTGGGTGAGCAACATGGTGTCGGTCTTATCTAGGAGTTCCCAACGAAGAATGCACGGTCGTAGAAACAATTATCAAACAACGAACCTCGCTCACCAACTATTGCCGTTCAAGAGGCAGAAGTAACCAAACGCTGGTTTTAACGCTAAAAGAAACATTTATAGCCAAGACTGATAAAATCATCTAGTCTGTCCATCAACATATCACCTAGGTGTTGAAAACTATAATCTTATCACCATAAGTCGTGAAATCGCAAAGTTGGTGTAGACGAGGATCTTCATGACGTCCGAATTATTAACTGAAGCGAGGTGTAAGCACATGACCTGTTAGATATTTACATTCTACATTTCAGCTCTCCGCACCGCCCGTTAGTATTCGGAATTTCTCCTATACCTCATATCTGAGGATAATATGGGTTACGACACGGGTATCAATCTCCAAAGTCATGTCCTAACGACATCGCTTCCTCACTATATACGAATTGCATAACCTTCACTCCTTGACATTGTACGTATAGAAATAGAGCGGAAATCAAGTGTGACATGGTCGTATATCGTCTCTCGTATATCTCATCTCCATCGCAGCAAACCCGCTGTATATGTAGGTCTACACAATCCCTCGCATGTAAAACTACGAGTTAAGTATTTGTTGTTGAATCGTTGGGTTGTGTTTCATGGTGTGTTGGGTGAGAGGTTTAAAATTTATTTAGTAAGGTATAGGGTATTATCTTTAAGTGAGATAATAGTGTTCGTGTTTGGTAGATCTGGGAATACGGTATTACTTAGGGGTACTGGGGAGGGGTTGGTTCTTGTAGGTTCTTAGGCATGTATGAGAGGTTTGTATGAATGATGTTGTAGATGAGCTGTTTTGGAATGAAGTAGTTTCGGAGGTACGAAGGGCGGTAGCAGCTGAGTCTGATGATATCAGGGCCGATGCATAAACAGTGACTTCATGTGTTAGATTACCCATTTGATGGTGTTGACGTTGGGATCGTACTGAACTGTATCAAGGCTCACATCTTTCCTTGTCGATCACGCAAGTGAACTTAATGCATATTTCAAAATTCATATTTTCGCTAGAAAAAAAATCATAACGCCGCTCAATCGAATCCTCGAGAGCTTCCCCGACACCGAACATGCAAAACACCACCTCCACAGCGAATTTCACACCCCATCCTCCCGACTAAACCCCCTCACCAACCCCATCGCCGCCCCCGCCGCCACACTCCCCACAAACACCATCTGCACACCCCCCCAACAGCCCTCCCTCACATTCCGTCGTCCCTCCCACCCCACAACCGCACACGTCTTGCCATACCCAAACGCGAATAACGCCGTGACCATCACCCCGATACTAATATACAATCCCCGATACACCTGATCGACACCGACAAAGAAATACGGGATCAGCGGGAGCAATCCCCCGAGAAAATAAGCGAGCGCGATCGTGGCCGCGGACGTGAAAGCCCGCGATGAAGCGGGCTCTTCGAGACAGTGTGAGAATTTCATGATGAAGTCGACGAGATGCGGGGATTGGGAGAGGGAGGCTGTGATTTCTGAGAGGGGGCGGGAGGGGATGTTGTAAGGGACGAAGATCTGGGTTAGCGTTGTGGTTACGGCGTGAGGGTCTGTTGCGACTAGGAGTTGCACTTCTTCTTTTTGGGCTTTGTATGATGCGCTTGCCACTTTGTCAGTCAAATGTGTAGGTATGTGATGAGAGAGGGGACGTACGATTCACTCTTCGCGCCTAGATACCCTCCTACGCCCATGGATATCGCACCGGCGATGAGCTCGGCAAAGCCGCCATAGATGACGAATTTGGTGTTGCCCAGCGCTGAGAGGCCGGCTGTGAGGGCGAAGGGAACGGTGAGGCCGTCTGAGAGGCCGATAGTAGCGTCTGAGATGACGCGGGCGTCGATGCGGAAGCCTTTGGACTTGGGTTTTGAGGGTTGAGATGAGATGGGGTGTTGAGATTCTAAGTCGCCGTGTTTGAATGATTCCGGAGGACGAGGTGAGCGGTCGGTGGGCGAGAGTAATGGTTCTGAGGCGTTGGTCCAGGAGGTGTTTGATCTTGGGCGCGGGAGAGGTGTGATTGTTTTTCCGTAGAAGAGGTTTTTGAGAGCGACGAGAGACATAGTTTGTATGTGAGGCGTCGAGACCGTTGTCGATGTGCGATACGATACTTATGAAATTCGCTAACGAATCCTTCAATAAATGAAACTTGCTGTCCCGGATCTCAGAAATATCTACAAACTCCAATTTCTCAATTAAATATACTGCAAAACCTCGAGGACGTCGTCATGGCCACTATTATATCTGGCCCAGATCCTACGTTCGATTGCGGCGAACAAAGGCAAGTTTGCATGCTGACCATCAAACAACGCTGATTGGCCAAACAGCGCTACACGTGTATTCTCGCTTGCGGGGCCAATCCATTTCCAGAACCATCTTCCTTCACCGTGCAAAATTGTAACACGCTTGATCGAAAAGATGAATAATGTCTGGATGATGATTTGACGGGAATGTATGCGGTGCATTGGTCTGCATGCAACGAGAAAGCCGCAAAGCTTGTTCTGAGGTATAAACAGTCAGTTGCTGTGTTGCTGTATCCCCGCACGTCGGTATTGTGGAGATTGTCCGGAGATTTGTGGACGTTGGAATCTAGACCTTTTCTCTTTACGCCCACGACCTCGGAGTCGCGGTACTAAGAGAAGAGGTAAGCTTATGCCGATATGATTAGTGATATGAGGTTGACTAGGTCGTCAATCCATCCATCTTTGCACACATAACCGCATGGATTGACGAGAGTGGGTTTCGGTCTTACATTCTCTAGTGCACGTGTACTTGTTCGTACATGGAAACCAGGTGCCCAGGTGCTCTCCTTGACTTATAGAAGGGAGGAACAGAAGTTGAACTGGTTTCTGTAGAAGGTTAGACTTGAACCCGCTCTCATCAATCAATACGCTATTACTGACCTTATGCCTTACGTACCTAACCACAGAACTTCTGGGCTCCAGGGTCTTCTACTACTTACCCAACGCACGTAATACACTTTCATGCTCTGTACCCTCAAAGCTCGTTTTAAATGCAGTCCAAGATCGAGCAGTCGACTAGCAAATGTCTACTACTATCCAAACGTCAATTACCGTGTCAAACAGCTTCGATTCCCAGGAAACCGAAGTTTGAAGGTAAGACGAACCCATCTATCTCATGAACAGGACGCTAGATCGTTCTTCAACATCGTTTTCACCCGTACGATCACTCACCTATGTCACGCCAAAAAAATCCTCAAAAGGCCTAACTAATGCTTCAGATCTTCTTTAAACTTTATGAGTCTCCCATATATACAACTCCCACATCCATCCATATACATCCCCCCCCCTCCTCCATTCCACCCTCAAACCCTAACAAACACCAGGAGGCCCCTCCAGATCCCTCCCCACCCCCCACGCCACAACCTCTTGCATGGCACTCGTCGGATGCAGACTATTCAACCAGAAATACTGATTGACCGGCACGCCACAACTTTCTATGAACGTATCCTGTTTCGGCGTACCACTATTCACAATCAGCCTCCTCTCCTCTCACTCCCTCCACCCTCGCCTCAATTCCAAGACAGAAAAAATAGATATCACTTACTTCTGATAATCCGCACAATACCCCGTCGTATTCCTCAACCCCCTCGTCTGACTATACACTCCCGGATCATCCAACACCTTATTAAAAAGCGCATTCGTATCCGTAACCCACACATTAGCCTCCCCATGCTCCGTCTTCAACTGCGCTGCCATCTCCCCCAATTTCCGATTCCACACCCCAATCGCGTCCCTCTCCGTAGCGATACTCCACGCATCATTCGCACTAGCAAGCGGACTCCTCTCCACGGGCGGCGTATTCAAAAACGCAAAGTTCCGCGCGCCATCCACATACAACTCCTCCACCAGTTTCTTATACACCTCAAAGATCTTCGTATACAAACTCTCTACATCCATCCACCAAGAGTTGCCTACATCATTCACGCCGTCCCAGAACAAGAACACGCTATCGCTGCCCTTCCAGAACGGTTTGCCGGCGTACGCGGGTTTCCAGAGGGTGCGTACTTGGTCGGAGACAGACAAGACGGAGGGCTGGTAGGGCGCGACGAGGGAGGCGTCGATGGTTGCGCCGCCGTAGGCGAGGTTGTAGGTTAGCAGGGTGGAGCGGTTGTAGGTGGTTGTGAGGTAGTCGATCCAGTTTGGGCCGTTGGAGGAGGTCCAGCCTGGGTAGGGCGGGTTGCCCATGGGGTTGGAGGGGGAGGGCGGGGTGAGGGTGGTGTTGAAGCCTGTTTGGGTGTAGGAGTCGCCGCTGGGTGGGTTAGCTAGGTTGAGATTAAGAGAGGGTTGGTGATATAGTTGTATATGTATACGTACAAAACGAATGCGTGTTTGATATTAGAAAAGCCCGGCCAGGAGCAGGTTGGTTTGCATGTTGAATTGGTGATTGACCGCGCGAAGACGGGGGTTAGTGAGGTGAGGAGGAGGAGGAAATGCATTTTGAAATCTTTCAATTGAACGAATTGAAAATAACAGAATCCCAAAACATGGCACCTACACACATCTATATACAAAAAATTCAGCCTCATCCACAACCCCGTGCATCATCCCCTCCTCATCACGAGGAAATCCATAGTACAAGCTTCGGAAGAAGGGACTCCGCACGATGAATGTGGGGAAGGCCACTTTTTAACCGCATGCTATAAAGTGCATGTGTACCTTAATATGCCCTTCTCCTAAGAAAAGTTGCGGTCGCTAATGCATTTGTTCTATATTAACCTCCCGAAGACCCGAGGATTTTCCCTTGGTGGAAATTTCCACGCGAGCAGAAATAAGATCGGCAAGCGGAGATGGGAAAGTAAGAAAATTGGGTTTGTATCTTGATAGTATGCATGGTGAGGTGGGTTTATGTCGCGACATCACTTGATGTGCTTGTAGAGTGAAAAGTCTCTAATACATGGCAATATAATCCTGGTAAAGCAAAGAAAGTCGGCGACGTACGTACCAGCTCCTCTTTACAAGGATATATATAAAGATTATCCTCCAAAACCAATACCAACAAGAACAACGAAACTAACAAAAACCTTAAGAATAAGCTTCACAGAATCCAACAATCTCTCATTGTCTTCCGGCGGATCCACCAACAACTCGATTTCGATTTATGCGCCACTACAACGAAAAGAAGAATTCGAACACTGCAGAGCAAGAGCAAGAATGATGCAATCGAAAGAATACAATGATATTCCCGATCACACATGGTTGTATTCCAACAGTTTGGACTAGAGACGATCTTGTGGCTTCGATAGACTCTTCTCCATCCACCGCTTTTGATAGTGTGGCCCGTATCCGACTCGATGAAACAGGTAAGAGCACCTTTGAACAATAGAGAGAATGAGTAATGTCGACTTGCAGTTGGGCTTTGTAAAGGGGTTTCGTGGAATGGGAATATCAAGTGTCGGTGCCGGTGGCTTCTTGAGGTATTTCTCGCTTGAAGTTCGCAGCTGAAGCGGAATTGGCGTTGAATATAAGCTTCCTTCAGGCAAGACTAAAACACAACCATGGTGATCACATATTCGCAGCGGTGAGGATCACCGATAACTGTAATGCAATGATATTTACTGTGCTAATCAATTACCTCCATACCTTTCCAGGTATACCCTACCACCACCTCCGAATCATCAATCGTCCCCAAGTTATTATCCTCCAATCGTATCCCCAAGCCATAGCTTTTCTAACCAGGTACAAAAGGATCTATAAATGATCCGAATGCAAAAGCAAAAGCTCAAATGCAGCAAAGACCAAAACACCGATGCTTTGAAAAAACCACGCGCCAAAAACTTATACAATATTCACAATTGTGTCGAAAACACGACTGATCCCATGAAGTGTGGAACCCATCGTCCGTCCTCCTGACTCGTTAACCATAATCACCGACTGCTTAAAGCAAAAGACCGAACGCAGCGGCAGCGCCGGCAACAAGAACACCAGATCCGTATTGTGCTCCGATGGCCATTGTTGGGGCAGCACCAGCGCTTGAGCTTGTGGAGACTGCGGTGGCAGAGGAAGCGCCACCAGAAGTTGGAGTTGCGGTGGCAGACATGGAAGAGGATGAAGAGGATACTGGTGCAGTGTAGTTGGCAGGGTCAAGAGTTCCACAGTTGGTGGCTCTGTTCTGGTCGCAGGTTCTCTGGGCAGCAGCATTATTGGCACCGGCAACGATACAATCGGTGTAAATCTGCTCGCAGATGAATGTAGGCAATGTTTGTCTGTAGTAGATGAGGCCGGGTCCGGTGCCGTTGGTGCAGGTACATGTGTAGTTCAGAGTAGTCTATAACCGAGTATTAGCATTGGTCTGATGATATAACGTGAGATTGAGCATACCGCATCGCAGTTGTTGTCCTCATTTGGAAGAGAAGTACCGCAAAGAATTGGGCAAGTGGAGAGTTCAGCGGCACACCATTGAGCTACACCAAAGATTAGCTTCGATCTCCAGAAGACACGCGTCGCACAATTCATGCCAGAATCGATCTATCTTACCTTTCAAAGTATCACTGATAGCTCCTGGGTTCGCAAGAGTGTAGTTGGCTGCAGCAGCAAAAGTGCTGAGGAACAGAACGGCGGCGGCAGATCTGGCGAACATCTTGTTGAGGTCTTGTTGACTTTGGAAACGGAGTCGTTGAAGCTGTAAAGATTCTCAATTGGAATTGAAGCGCAAGATGTGAATTTCTTTGGGGGCTGACGATGGAAACCGATGGTGTTGAAGATTACAAAAGAGGATGGATGATGGGGGATCTTAAGAAATTGGTAAGATGGGCAGGATCAGTTGCTGGGGAGGAAAGTACCAGGATAAACAAAACGAGCAAGGCAAGCGCCACCCAGAGACGAGACACTATCTCACGCTAGCGTGCCATTCACAGACCCTCCTGGCCAATCGGGCACAATCAAGACCTTGCCTGGCCTGAGCTTCCTGGTTTTGCCTCGAGCTTGTTGGCGTTCGCTTCGAATTCTATGCAAGCCGCGTCTCGACATTTTCGTTCTGAAGAACTTCACGATACTTCATTTTTGCTCAATTGATTGGCTATAAAATCATATATTTCACGAGACTCGAAGAGCGCGACTACTATCGTTTAAAGATCTTTCTGTCATGGTCTCAGAGAACCCCCTTTCAACGTGTGCGCCGCTCGGGGTATTTTCTTATTGTTGTAATATCCGTCCCTGGCCGAGATAAAATTGGTCTCAGAAAAGGACGTCGTGCTCGCCGCTTGCTATCTCACATGACCACGGGTACGGAGTACCGGTTCCATCAAGATATCGATCACGACGTAGACATTCGTCAAAGCTTGACATGGCTACAAACGTTGTACTTGGTTGCAAACAGCACATTATACACGCGTCACGAACGTTTGATCTGAGAATCGCGGTCTATACTCGCTTCATCCTGATTGGGAAATATTGCAACATCTTGCTCCCAGATGCCCTTGCTTCTTCCAGTTTTGGCACTCCAAGTCGTCCAAACAATTAGGAACCGAGACCTCGAATACTACACAAAGTGGTTCTCGGTCAGTACCGTGTAGCGCGAAGCTAATTGTACCATGCAGGTTTAGACCAACTTCCCAGAGTTTTAGTCTCGTACAGTATTTCTTGTACCCACGAACCTGCCGAACACCCGTCGGCTTTAACAAGCGTACCCTTATGTTCTACGATAATGTGACTGACCGTTTGTTCAAATTGTTCGAAATATGAGCTCCATCACTCACCTGGCTAAGAGATTGTGTGAAGGTCATTAGGTCACGTGCCACAAATCACTACAGCAAGATGATTCGAGCCTCAACTACCACGAGGGCAACGTGTCGAAGACCTTCGATGTAGCGTATTGGTTAACTACCACGGCTTGAACCAAGCCAAAGACACGTGATAATACCCCGCCATCTTGTCACATACGCTGGACCTCATGGACTTGTAACCAAAATGGGATCTGGTCGAGCTATACTCTCAGGCTTTATTTGCAAACATTCTTTGAAGAACAAGGTAAGGATGGCAAACGTTTTTGGTGAAAGAAGAGAAAGTGGAAAAGTAAAACTCAAAAGGGGATTCACAAATGTACGGACGACATTGGAAGCGTGAAAAGCCGAATGGGAAAGAAGAGGAGGGTAATGTATATTGGTTGCTATGGGAAAGTCAGGCTGCCTATGCTGTTAAGAGGGGAAGAATTACAGGAATCATCTGAGACAGGTGTTTTCAGGAAGGTGAGACACAGGTAAACGTGTGTCCAGTTTTCAGGAGGGTCATGATCATCAGTCGACACGTCGAAGTTTCGTGGTAAAGAATGCTTAATATTTAGGTTCTTTATATCGGCGTCAAAAAAGAGAGTAAGACGAGTGGTCAATTATTGAATTTTTAACTACCAATGCTCGCGGTTTCAACTACTTGGAACTAAAATCGAATTTAGGATTCTACGTCTGCGGTACAGTTTAAGCCATTATCGAAGTTCCGCCTCCAGAATAAGCTTCCAAACCAACCATAGAGCTATCAACACCTTCCAACCCACAAGCAAGCAGCTGCTTACCTGCAGCCGCTTCAAATTCCAAAAGCTTAAAATCATTCGCCCGAATCTCCGTCAATAGATTCACGATATAAGCACATCTCATCTCAACGACCTCCTCATCAGACATATCCTCAGAATCCACATCACCATCCCACTCGTCGCCAAAATCAGAACCAGAATCTTCTGATCCAGCATCAAACTCAACCTCACAATCCGTCCGGACATCCCCATCCAAACACCGATCATGCACCGGCCAAAACCCCGCCTGCGGATCAAAAACTTCTGAATCCCTCCCCCCTTTCCCAAGCGAGCGCTGAACCCGTTCAATCCGACCTAAACATTCAAAAGCCTCTTTCAACAACCGATCTCTCTCCAGCCTCTCCGGTCCTATCACCGAGAACCCATTTTCTCCAACCCTAAACCCACCTTCACCCAGCGCACAGGAGTCACGCATCGCATTCTCAAATCGCCAGTGGCTTCTATCGCCATGTTCGACGGCGAGCTGGTACTCTGATTTCCATCTATCGCCATCAGGCGCGGGACGCGAGTCCGCGAAGGGGAAGTAGAGGCCGCGAGCGTGATAGTTTGATGCTGGGCCAGCGAGGTTCATGTACCTCAGCAGGTCAATGACTGTGAGTCGTTCTCGGGCTAGGATAGGACCGTAGGTCTCTTCGCGCTGACGGTCGTAGCCGTCGTAGGACATTTGCCAGGATTCGTTGGCGAGTGCTGTTTGGAGTAGCTCGTTGAAGGGGACTGGTTCGATGGTATGTGCGAAATCGACGATGCCAACCACGGTTTGGATCCAAGTGGTGATTGTAGGACCGTCTAGGGATCCGGCGTGTTGACGGAATTCAACCGTGCCTTTTATAGGTAACCCGGTTCCTGGTTCCGGACGCAGATTCTCAAAGTTATATGCCACTGCTCGCATATTCTCTGCTCCGCCGACCAGCTCAAGTACCTCCTCCATCGACTCAGCGAGCAGGATCTTCGCCGCGCCGAGAAGAGGTGTAGCTGCCGTTCTATCAGGCCGTTTTCGCCGCACCACAAGCTGCGAGCCTTCGCGCATACCACTTATCATCACAGATGCAGATTGCGAGTAACTCTGGCGATCAGGCGGATGCAGGGTTGCGAGCTGTGGCGAGAACGTCCATAGCAGCGCAGCGAGTTTACGGGTTGCGTCTAGAGATAACCCTTCTTGCGTGCCGGTGCCTACGTGGACGTGCAATCCTGTGCTGAGATTAACATTACAGCAATACGTTGAGGTTAAGAGCGAACATACCTTGTTGATTGCAGTCAACGACTCGGGACTGAAGAAGTAAGCTGGCGATACCACTTCGATCCTATGCCACACATATCCTCTATCCCAACCCTCCGCCTCACATGGCGGTTTTATGGAAGCATCTCTCTTCACTTTCCACGCTGAGATATCGTCGTTCTCCGAATCGCTGGCGGCGAAACCGGCAAGTGTGAGGGTTTCGCAGATGTGGGTTATGACGGCGGAGGTTGGTCGGGGGAATATCATGTCTGGAGCGTCGTTTTGGAGGACTTGGATTTGCTCGAGTCTTCCGCGGTAGGGATCGGTGGTTTGGAAGACGGTAAATCTGGTTTCGCTGGGGTCCGGGTGGGGTGTGTTGGGGATTGTTTCTGCGATGGCGAATTCGAGTTCTACCCCGAAGGTCCAGTTTGGTGTCATGGTGGTGGTTGTTTGTGGGTAAGTATGTTGTGAGTATGTATGTTTTGTAGGTCTGTATGTTTTTGGGTAAGTATGTCCTTTAAATAAGTATATTTCGTAAGTGAAGATATTTTGTGCAAGAATTTTAATATGAAGACCGCAAATTGCATCGTGGATGTGAGATATAGGGGCTGAACAGAGTCGAACTAAACAATAACATTGTTCAGCTTCGCTAATCGACATTTCTCTTTGAGTTAAACAAAGGGATTGAGCGAGCTGTTCACAAGTGTACAAAGAACTCCGTACACGCAAGAATCAAACACAATGTCAGGACGTGACCTAACTTCTTTGAAATGCTTGATCAAGTAATGAACAAAGAACATATTTGAGAACCATACAGTGTTGGGAATAGGCTGCAGTTGTAGGAGAATGGGAAGAGCATGAACATTCTTGAGAAACTTTGAAAGTCGATGCTGCGGACGTGTTGTTTGCTGTTGAGGGTTCATGGTCTATCAGTTCATGGTGTTTTGATGAAGTATTGTAGAAGAGGAAGACAGAATGTTTGCGCTTTTGCTTTGGAATTTCCTTTTGTATTTGCTGTGTCACCGTAAGGGTAGGGTTAGTTCTATTACTAAATGACAAGGTTTGGCTCTTTCATCCATACGCGCATAAAGAAGAATTATCTCGGTTGAGCTCCTTTTATTATTAGTCGGGTTGCAGTAACTGTGAGAAGGAATGTTTGTAGATATCAAGATGGAAAGTATTGAAGCTCCTTGAGAAAAGCCAGGCCGATAAATCCATATATCCCTAACATCTCCTATCCGGTAAGATACTCGAAATCAGGCATGGTATAGGTATATCGATCTGTTAAGGTGCGTCCAACTTATAGCGCCTCATGTTTTTAGTCCCCGAGAGTCAACTGTGCCAAATAATCCTCTAAAGACGGCTTCTTCGCGTGACGATACTCATACTTCATCGTGTAATGATCCAATTCAGGAAGCCCATTTGCATGACGATTAGCAACGATCTGTCGTTGGAGATTACCCAGAGCGAAAAAGTCGGCGAAGTACAAGGTCTCGATATCTGTGAGTTCATCTATCGGTGGCAGCAAACGAAGAGCCCATTTTGACGACCGTCCGTCTGTCGAATAGCCACAAGAGTCCATACGAAAGGCCTCCAGATGTGGAAAACAGCATAGTTGGACAAGAACCTCTTTCCATGTCCCGCTCTTAAGCTGAACTTCACAGAACCATATAGAATTCATTTTTTCGTGGCTTTGCTGTATCATTGATAAGAGCGTCGTGTGGGAAATCTTCACGCTTGTGAGTTCGAGATAACGCAGGTTTTGTAGGTAGGTGGTATCGAGGACATCCATATTCAAAATGTGGGTGCTCGTTACTTGAAGAGACGACAGTTTCTCTGCCAACTGTACAAATTCGAAAAGTTGATCGGAGTAACTTTGGTTCGGGAATGCTGTCTGCGCAGGCGTTGCGGGGGTCTGGAAGTAGCGTTGACCACCATTGCCAGACCCATCGCAGACGGAAACACTGAGATATCTGAGTTGTTTCATGATTGACTTGATTGAAAAACGTGAAGAGGTTGAGCTATTTATCGTTTCCCCCTTTAGAAGAGTTGCAAAATCGCATGTGAGGGGGAGGGCGAGATGGAGTTCGTTCAGGCTAGACAATGGAACATAGCGAAAGATGTTCCCGACAAGCTCTGTGCACATTGATCGTGGAGTGTTTGGGAATGACAATTTGAGTACTGACAGACTCTTGAAATTGCAGAGGCTTGCTGGGAGGAGAGCGGCAAGGTCTTCGGTGAATAGTTGGAGCTTTGCAGGTCGATCAGATTTATATCTTTCTGTAGCCACCTCAATTTCTCGGACAGCAGTACAATACTGACTTTGCGAGAGCTCAAATAGCCGCTTTGGAGCCCAATGATTGGACATTTCACTGCTTGGGTACTTTACATGCATGATTCGAAAGAGGCGTAGTGATGCGCTCCGGCAGAAGCCTTTATTGATCAAGCGTAAAACGGAGAGCCGTTCTCTTCCTGCGGTGTCGTAGAGTTGGCACTGTCTACCGATATATTGGCTATCATCGAAGGTGGGATCTTCCACGTAAAGAACTATCTGCCTCTTGTGTCAGCGAGTCCTGGCGTGGATACGGATGTCAACCCTAAGAAGCTGCATACTCTATCATGAATTTCTGGAGGCAATTCCATCATATCTGGATCTTTAACTCGATATTCAGCGTTCAACCAAGGCAACACCTGGGCAGTTGTTAGCTGTCCCCTAGAAATTTGCACTCGGTTTAGGCAGGGTTTTCTTTTTTTGATAAGTCGCAGTTGTCGTGCGCTCCGAGAAGTTCATTCGTGACAAGTTTACTGTCGGCCCACTGAGGCATCGATAGCAAATTCTGTTGTGTGAATTAGTAGTAAGTTGCTCTGTATAGTATAAAAGGTAAATAGTAGCTCTTAGAGCGCGAGGCTCCATAGCAACCAGAACTTTGTGTAACACCACATGACTAGCAACTAATCGGGACTAGTCAAACTGCCTTCAAATAATGAAGTGACTGGATTCCGAACAGTGAATGTGGGTAACAGGTAGCAAATAGAGACAACCACTCTATCAAAAGATCGTCTTGTCTCTTGAGGGGTCTCAGGGGAGACAATGGTCAATTCTGGTCATTGTATACAAGAGCGGGCCTTTTTGCTCCTGCCAGATAATACTCTCAGCTATACGATTTTTATGAATGTAACCGAAGTGTAGATAGCTGTATCACGAAAGTATTAGTATTGCGTATTGTTTGTCGAGAGACTATGGTTTGTGAGTGCATATGAATTGAGGTCTTTAAACCTTGACATTGCTTCTCTCAAGGCTGGAGCAATCGACGCCAGAAGGCAAAACAAAAGGAAATCGTGCTTAGCATTGTATGCCAGAGTAAATATAGCAATCTGCCCGAGTACTCCAAGTTTGGCATCGAATCAGTTGGGGAAAGAGATAGAAGAATATGGAGACTCCGCTACCTTTCCTGCCCGGCATGAAATTATCGGAGCTGAACAGATACTGGATACAAGAAGTAAAAGGCAATAGGCAGCCATGCCAAATATCAAATTCGGCGATATTATTGAAACCAGGAAATGCTCCTCGTATTGGTCGAACTGCGAGAGTCATAGATGGATCATGGAGGGGCAGATCTTCCTAGAGCGGCTGTCTCATCCAGAGAGGTGATTGGTTCGGTGAAGGACATGGGCATCTAAAACATCGATGGACTATTCCCGTTTTCATTATCAACAATATCGACTGCGTCACCCGGAACGCGCGCCACATCTCGAGCTGAGTCTGCCTTGTCATGGACCATGGGTGATACTGTCATCGAGAAGTTCGACCTTGTTCGAGGCTAGAATTCAGATTGGTAAAGAATGAGAAATTCGAAAGAGGATCCATCAAAAAGCTGTCAAGTGATGTGGCATTCCAGCCAAGATTTGTGTCCCATCGAATAGCATAATAAGACCGGCAGTCAGCTAAATGCACACTTGCTGCTAAGCTCTAGTCGAAAATGCACTTCCTCAGACTAGGAAGTTAGCTGGAATCCTGGTTGATTTAGACAAAGAGTTATAATATCGAGGTGGATTCATTAGTCATGTTTCAGTAGAGAATGTCTATATCGAGTAATGTTTTAAATTGAAGTGTCGTCGTAGATTTCTTACCAATTCCCATTAAGGAGTGCACGTACCGTAAGACGGCCCGCTCTTTAGTCTTCCTGGCTAGACCCTTGAGTCAATCACCACGGGGCATGACGCGAAACACCCGCGTCTATCTCCTCCACTCTTACATTCTTCTTGTGGCAGCAGCGGCAACAGCAACAACTTTTACGGCGCCTTACCTTGTACAACGGGTTCTTTCTGCTTTTCACAATGCATCGGCGATAGACAATACCTGACACTTGATGTCTCAGAAGTGAGAATTCTTGCTGACGCGCTCATACTCCTCCCTCGGCCTCACGGGATGGACAACTGCGTCTTATCTCATCTCGACCACACCAAGGACATTGCGGGCAGAGCCGCACTTGCATATCTCCATCATACGGAAGGACCTTAAACCCGGGGAGGCCATGTGACCATTCCCTTCTCGTTGTCTCAAACAGAAAAGTGGCGCCTGCTGGTTGAATGTGGAGTAAACCTCCAAAGGCACCTCACCACCCCTGGTACATCTCATGTCTCTTCTTCACACCCTCAGCAATCTACGATGGCTGGCCACGGCGCGTAGAGGGTCGATACATCTACGAGGATGCATAACATACCACTGAGCGTCAGGGTTTGGCTCACACCCATTTCGTCCAGATTCTTCTACTGTCTCCCTAACAGGCTCGATACAACATGTTTTCCAGGATCACTGTGTGCAGCACTACACCAATCGAGCTCTTGTGTCTGCTGTCTTCCATTCACACATCTTGGATCCATACGTATCCGTACATCCATCAGAGGACACTTTGCAGAAGCCGGCGGGAGATCAACCCTTCTCCACACTTTTGACAAACTTCCCTTGAATCCTTCCAACGGCTTCGAATCATTCGACTGGACCCCCACTCGAACTGAAACCTGGTGTTTCTTCCACAATGCTATACGAGATCCTGCATTTCCCGACCTCAACTATCAAAGACCTCGCGTTGCTGCTCGAATATATGTGCGAGGATTTGAACTGTACACTTGAAAAAAAATCACAGACAGGTCCATTTTGGTACAACTGCATACGTTGATAGGTCTCATGCCTTGTCCAGGAGCCCCAGTGCAACGCCCTTCGAACGGTCAGATGTCGAAGTTTGTAGAATTTTTTTGCAACATGGGAAGTCATCACCCAACCACGGGTTCGGCCCATTCAGGACGTTCCATACATGGTACAAATCAATCAGGATTACATTCCTGCTCAGATCTTGTCTTAGCCCCTCTCCACATGCATACACGCTCATTATCAGCTGATGGCACCAATTCAAGTTTTCCTGTGTGGACTATGGAAATCTAGATTTGTTCAGGAAAACCGTGGCTAAGTTACAGCCATGTTAAGGGATATTCCCTGTTTCATCTCAGTACGAGTGTAATGAAATGCAGTCAGCCGAAAATTACCCTTTCTCCAAGTTACGCGGCATTCTGCTTCAACTATCATTCCCAGCTTGATGGCCGCCGTAACGAGGTGAACATTGTCCAATTCTCTGGTTAATGGCGATCCATATCTTGCAGTAGTGCTCTCATAATCATCTTTTTATCCGCGCATGTAATGAACTTCAATGCCTGCATATTTCGGTTCAACACAGTTGTTTTCAATGAGTTGGTTTTTATGTCAAATGCTCATTCAATGTTTATTACACACCTGCAAATGTTCAAGGGAAACCTTAGCGACCCCTCGCTTGAGAGGTTACCACAGCCATGGCTTCCTGCATCGAAGAACACCGAGTAGGGAAAATACTGCTTATGAATCTTTGAGATCTCCATCATCAACTTACACTACCGAGGGACTAAAATAGCTTCCAGGAATTTGTATCATTTTGGTATGCCTACCATGGTTGACAATGCTGTTGCTTTAACATTTCTCGACATTACTCTACTACTCACTATGCACCTCGACAGATATGTCAAGTCAGTGGGATGGACTATCTCGCTTAATCAATTGTGAAGCTCAGTCTTCAGGCCGCTCACAGCAATGCCATAACGTTAGGAAGATTGATCGTTACCATCTTTGCACGCTACTTGATGGGGATGTGAATCTGCGAGCTAAGAGCAATTGTATTGCCTTTGGGGGCGATCTCCTGCCAGAGCCATGATCATCAACAGACAACTAAAAAAATATTTCAATCCGAAGAGCTAACGCAATCAACATTTGTGCAGAACATTATTATTATTACCTAGGGGTACTCGAATGATTCCTTTAGGGCTTCATCGTCCTACACACAGCGGGACCAATATCTCCTGTGTGGTTGAGTGAAAGATCTCTGATAGGGACTTTTAAGTAAAAGTAACAAGGACTTTTTGTTTTAGAACCAGTACCTTCCATTCAGCAACCCTGGTACAAATGCTGTATCTTGACTTCAAAAAGTTCGTATCTTGCCGACCCTAAAGACTTTCTTCGAAGAAAATGACTCCACAAGACGCGATTAAAACCAAGAAGATTCCGGATTCCAATCCACAAGCACCTGCCCTTTCCCTCATTCAGAGGTCCGTACATCCCAATCCGGAACCGTTAAATTCTTCGGTATCGCAGTCATAACACGGCGCGGATAACGGGCGTTTGATCCTGAATTCATGCCTGTCAAAGCCGTGCTCCGGTACAACTGAGCAATGAGAGTCAGCAAAAGACAGTTCCAAGCTGCAGGCCAAAATACCACTGCCTCTTTTGGCAAGTGTGGAACTCTCCACGGCACTAGTCGCTGTAGACAGGGTTGAATGTATGCACTTCCACTAGGCTGATCTTTTGCAGTAACTGTCGTCTGTTCCCAAGCGAACTTTTCCTCCTTCGGCCAATCATTGTCCTCTCTTTACCTCTCCAATACAACGTAACGCTTCTCGCTGCCTCATATTCCCAATTATTCCACATCGCGTCGCATGGGAAGCTGTCAGACGGCAATACGTTTGATTAGGTATCATTGAAAAAATGACTCTGAACGGGTTTCTGGAACGTCAATCTGATTGCGCCCAGACCAGCTCAGCCCTTGCTCTTTCTCTCTCTTCTCCCACTCTCGTCTGTACAACATCTTCAACCCTTGCTCTATCTATCGCGCAATCCGAGGTCGAAATCGGACTCTTTCGTCATTGCTGATCGTCGCAGCGAAGAGTCCTCGTCTGTCTGATCATTCTCTGTGCCCAGATCTGGACGGGCGCCAACGGCAGTTTGGTCCGAGACACATGAGGGGTGTATCAAGGTAGATGCCGCGTTCATATTTCACGGTTCATACACGAAAGAGCAAATAGCCAAACCAACGACCAAATACCAAATCCTACTCTTCCATTCTCAATCCTACGCCGAGCTGCACCATCGAGGTACTGGAGGATTCCAAAAATCACAGCACTGGTCCAATATATACCATCGGTCTCATACTCGGCGGCGCGTTTAGTGGCTGGAAAGAAAAGACCTTTTGTCAGCGACACGCAGTGCGAGCCGTTCCTAGGGGCTCTCCATTCAGCCTGCAGCGGGAATAAGATACTCAACGTAACCTGGGCCTTACACGCGCAGACCAAACAATCGCTACCTTTGGGTATCTATCCCATGGGAGGATAATATACTATACCGACCCAGGAGGAAAGATAGTTGCATTTCGCAGCAGAAAGCACCCGCAGTAGTATCAGTTCATGTGTTAGCATCCCTCGTCGGCCTCTTATCGAATCCTTCTGCTGAGCCAGTCAACCTCAGTCGGTGTTGGGAATTAGCAGCCAGTCAGCGAGGCTCGGGTCGAGGACCTATCCACGTTGTGCTCCCTTGCCGTCGATTAACTGCTGCAGATTCCAGAAGCCAGACGTCGTTGTTTCTCCGGCAGGTTTGACGGGCAGCGAAGCCACCGCGATTTAGTCGACCAACCGCAAATCGCAGAAGGTTTGCTGCAAGCCATCTCTGATGCTGACTACATTTTGACTACAACTCTTGACTTGCGGGAAGGGTGCTGTGCAGGAGTTGGAAGTACAGAATCTGCAGGCCTGACATCTGCAGACGTTGGTTGAATCCTCGGCCTCGCTCGCACAGGCAGGCTCCCCCAGTTCCCAGGTTCCAGCTCTGAGCTCTTGCTGGTGGTTCTGGTGCTGCCGCTGCTTGCTTTTGCTTGTGCCCCTCATCGCTCCTCGCTCCCCCTCCATCTCCCTCGCCTCGGCCATACATTATCAAGAAGGCAGACTAGCATACCCATACCAGTCCCTATCACGACACGATACCGCGACCTCGCCAATCGCGCATCTACGGCGCGCATCGCATCGACACTACTTGTCGTCAAGCGTGCGTGCTAACCTGCTCGAGCGGGAGATTGTGAAGGCTCGAGGCAGGAAGCCGTAGCGTGCTTGGAGACCAGACTAGTCTAGTCCTGTGCTGTACTCGAAGAGAGTAAGTCGTCCAAAATCGTCTAGCAGTGTCGTAATATTGGTCGCGCTTCATACCTTTCGTCGATAAATCCCCGGCCTCGTTCAACCTGGTTGGTGCATTTCGCACGTCAGACGTCTGTCGCTTGAACCGGCGTTGACTGGCTGCACTGGTGTCTGGGTCTGGGTCTGGTTCTGGTTACGATTAGAGGGCAATCTTGCGCTTCCAACACGCTATTTTCCTGGATCCCACGCTGTTGGTCGGCCTCTTCAGGCTTCTGTGCGGTTGCTTAAATCGCTGCGTCGCCACTTGCGCCCCCCGGGAACCTGTCTCCTGCGCACCATCATCCGCCCGTCACCCATCCCCATCCCCTCCATCATCCACCATCACCTATCGCCAGTCATCACCACCCGTCACCATCGACTTTCCCCTTCATCCCATCAACCCTCCTCCGCTCACCAATCTGCGGTCGCAAACCGCATTCCTTGGGCCTCCCCCTTCCATTTCTCTTCTTCCCGCTGCTTCGACACTCGTACAGGATCGTACATCCGCTGTCCCAGACTCCCAGACACCCAGACTCCCAGCACGCAACACCCAGCATCCAGCCAAACTCAGCACCAGCCCAGTCGGCGGCCCATCACCACCTCCACCACCCCTCTGGGCAGACCAGAGTCGTTCGTCCCGCCCGCCGTGGTCCCTGCAACCCAGAGCCACTCGCACTGGCGCCCGCAGGGTTCGAACTTCGATCGAGCTGCTGCTGCGTGTGCAGAAAGCACGGAGACCGCAGAGGCCCGTTTCTTTATGAGAAAAGAGCCTCCCACTTCCCGCTGTGCATCGCCATTCCTGGGGCAACTGCAACCAAACGCGACCGTCGCCGCAGCGAAACACACCCTCTTCTATCGCATCCCATCACTGGCATATTGCGTGGCCACCACCTCCATCCCAAGCACACGGAAAAAAACTGTCCAGTCCATACAGCTTGCGCTTCTCGTCGAGTCTTCCATCTGAGTCGTCGTGAACCGCGAACCGCGTATTGTTCGGTCGCGTCGAAATCCCCCCTCCGTAACAGCCGCCGAGGCCAATCATCGTCGCATCGCCAACTCTTATCCGCGACGACCCGAATCGCTTACAGGTAGATGCAGCTTCCGACTTTCCATGTAGCAGCTGAGCATCAATCCATATACTTCTTGCGCTTCCGGGCGCAAACGCGCTGAGGCCACAGCATTTGTGTGTGCATCGCCGGCGACGTGAGGGTGCTTCACGCGGACGATCGCGCATCCATCGGCCATGTACTCGACGCAATCCACAAACGGTCTTGGGGTCAATGACGGAGGTACTATTAATCCAGCTGCACTGTCAGGTAAGATACCCATGCCGAAAGACGACAAGGAAAAGCTTCGGCCAGCGGGCACTGGATCAAATGCATCATCGTATTGGAGTTGATGTGGCGATATCGTGTTGGCCAGGCGCTGATGATCAATTACAGGAGTTTTGAGCAACCCCGGCGCGAACGTAAACCAAGATCAGATACCACGAGGGCTGAAGCGTAGTCGATCGCCGGATCAATCTGGAGATTTACAGCAAAGCGAGAATTGGGGAGATGGTGGTAAGTTCTCATTCAAGCTGTCGCAATATTACCTACCAGTGTTGCGCCTGTGGCCTGGTACTACCAGTGCGCGCTGCCGAAATCAGAATATTCTTGCTGATAATGTCTCATTTAGGTGACTCAAAGTCGCGAAAGCGAGGACGACCGATGAAGCCAACACGTCCTGGTGTGCTGGAAAGTCCGAATCAGTTGTCAATGCCTCTACCTCAGCAACAAATTATCCCACCTCCCCAGACGCCTCAAGCGCAAACAGCAAACCTACCCCCTCAATTAAGCAATGTGACGCCAACTCAATCTTCACCACCCAAGGCTACTCCTACAAAGACAGTTATCAAGGCACTACCGACGGTGCGCGATCATACTACAGACCAGCTTGGTGCTGAAGGCGATGAATACGTTCCCAGGGAATACGATGATGCTGGGGAGAAGAAGGTCACTCAGACTGGACAGCTTATGGACGGACGCGAATACAGATGCAGGACATTTTTCGTGCCAAACAGAGGCGACAAATTGTTCATGCTTGCTACGGAATGCGCCCGAGTATTAGGCTACCGAGATTCATATCTTCTTTTCAACAAGAATCGGTCTCTGTACAAAATCATCGCCACCCAAGCTGAAAAGGAAGACTTGATCAGCCAAGAGATATTGCCTTTTTCTTATCGATCCCGTCAGATTGCTATCGTCACGGCGAAGTCCATGTTTCGACAATTCGGCAGTAGAGTAATCGTCAATGGAAGACGCGTGAGAGATGATTATTGGGAATCGAAAGCTCGAAAGCAAGGATTTACCGAGGAGGATATGGCCGGAGAAAAACGGCCCGGTGCTGCGAAAGCTAGAGAATCTGCAGCCGCAGAAGCTACTGCCAACGCTTCTCTTGCTCTTGGACATCACGGTGACATCGTTTACAGCAATACTCCTGGCCACTATCCGACACACCCACCAGGCGCACAGACACAAGGTATCCAACAAGGCATGATCGGTCCACCAGGAAGCGCTACAACTTTACCAATGATTACATTAGCCCCCGAGCAACCGGACATGCGTCTACGAGATTATAGTAACATTCAACGTCCACGACAGGAGATTACCGGGCCAGCTTATCAAGACCGGACTCAGACAAGCCCTCCAACCGATCTTTTATCCGGAGCCCATCAAGCTGCTGAGTATAACAAGCAGGTCAACTCTCAAAGGAGCAGAAGCACCGAATTTCACGACCGACGTTGGAGACAACCACATGAGCCTCCACCAACTCTTGTGCAACAGCAGCAGCAGCCACCGCAACCGGTGGGAACCAATGATGGGCTACCAACAACTCAGACTCTTCAATCACCACGTATCGCACAGAACAATCCCCAGCAATCAAACATGCCTCAGTCGGCGCCTCAACACATGATTGCTGGTCAAAATTATTCGCAAGCCACACATCAGCCAAATCCGATTGCTCAATCTCCAATGCGAGCTACAAACCCCGGACCAATGAGACCTGATCAGCTAGGAAGATCGCCTGGCCTTCCTATGGGAACAAGTACACTTGCTCAAGCAGGAAATCCATATGCTTTTGCTCCTCAAACACAAATGTGGCCACCATCTCAACCTCAACAATCTCCAGGAGGATATTCTAACTATACCCCACATGCCTCCCAACAATCCCCTCATCTTCAGCAATCGCCGCACCAACCTCCGCCACAACTGCGACATGCTGGCAGTAATCCACAGATGCAACCGGCGTTGCAATATCCAGGAATGCAAAGTCTTGGGCCAGGATATCCGGCTCCCGGACGAGGTCTTTACCAGCAAGATCAAAGTCCACAGCAATACATGCAGCCCACTACATCCGGACCTCAGCCAGGCGCTCAAGGTTGGGCACAGCAGCCACCTCCAGGCTCTACAACCTCATGGGGCTGGACCGGCCAAAGCCAATGATTGCGTTGATGTGACATTCGAAGACATATGCTGTGCATGAGTTAATGATGATGCGAACACGCGATTAACTTGGATTCTCAACTCCAAATTACGGGCATCACGATCTTGGAAACCGAGCGACAAACCCAAAGATACCCCTCCCAAGATGAAGGAAATTCTAATATTGTGCTACCCTTCAACGTACCTCCACGGATGCATTCGGTCAGGTAGAGGCGTTGGCGTCTTGTATTTTCGTGGTGGACTTTCTGTCGCTTTTTTCCTGTCCTTTATGCTACCGTTTTGTATAGTATATTGGTCCTGCTCCTTCTATTTTTGAATATTGGCGGCATGGAGGGTCTACTTCTTTTTCATTCTTCTCTTTCAATGTATTTTTTTTTCCTTTGGAAATTTACACTAATATCCCCATGGCTTGTCTTTTAAGCATCGTTTTATTCTTCTCTACTCTTTCTATACCTCTTTTGAAATTGGCTTTTTCTGGATCTGGGATTTGGGCTTTGGATTAATTTGTAGACCGCTTTTTAGTTACTTATGCATATGGCATTTATGGGATTGGATTTTTGGGATTCGCTAGGGGGGCTTTTGAGATACACAACATATATGCGATGGCATGGCATTTTTACTTTCTTTTGGTGGGTTTTGTTTTGTTTTTCGTTTTTGGATTTGCGGGGATGGAGGGGAGGATGGAAGGAGGGAAGAAGAGCAAGGGGAAGGATGGAAGGATGGGAGGGAGGGAGGATCGGGATAGCATGGGATATACATCATATCATATTTACTTATACACATATTTTGAGTCTAAATATGTGTCTCGTATTGTGAAATCGTGTGGTTAAATTGGGGATGGGACAATTTATATCACCTATTGACGTGCTATATAACGGACTCGCATTCATTTTATGATATTCCACAGCAATCCCTCCTGCCCTAACCTATCTCAAATCTCGATTACACTATTCAAGTTTCTTCCGCCCCTGAATGTGCAAATGCTATATAACACAAAATGCAAACATGTGGATCTTGATAATCATACCTGTGTCATCAAATCACCTACAAACTCCAAAAAAACACGTCCACCTTTTATAATTCATAAAGAAAGCTCTACACTTTAAGAGAATTCCATCATTCATTCCCTCCCCCCCCTATAACGTTTCCCATATAATAACCCTACAAAGTAACCTTGTTTACAAGTTGATCACAATATGTGTAAGTATCACATACTGATTTATCTGTCACCATTCCCTCCACCGCTTCGAAAACAGATCTGTCTAAGATCTTTCGCTCTCCAAAACGTGTTAATTAGGTATACCTTTCCTAGCTAATAAGACGCGGATAGACGATTTCTAAAGGTGGGTGGTACGCAGTAAGTTGGATAAAATCTACCTTTGATGATTTTCAAATAATCTTTGTGATTCGACTTCTCGCTTATAGAATGGTTTAGTCGGGGTTATTTTCAGTTATACTTCTGGTGTCTAGGACTCACGAAAGTTGTAGGTGGTGTGAGGTGTTAGTACCACGGTTTGACATTGACTTCACAATATCCAGCTATCGCTAGCGACTGTAGAGTTTGAATTATGAATACATCATTCCGATTTTTCATACTTATATTTAAGAAATCTTAGGAGCATTTATCGTTGTATAGAACCCCTCTAACTTACCCCATTAATAAAATAGCTTCCCACCCACTAACTCCTTATCCCACAAAACGCCCAACTAATCCCAACAAGTGGTATCATCCTACGAATCCCAAACGGGTCCAAAAGCAGGAACACCCCTACACTCAAGCTCATATACCACCTCCCGCGTCACCCTCCTATTACTAACCACGAACACCGCCTCGGCTCGTTCGGTTTTATACATACTATACGCCAACCTGACTAAATCCCTGCGCCCTGATACCCGCGTATCAACCACCACGGCCCTCTCATCCAACTCGTTCACCGCGTCACAGATTTCATCCCCGAACGTCCGCCGTGGCTCTGGCGCACTCCAGAGGATTCGAAAGCGTGTACGCGGGAGAGAGGTGAGGGTGCCCAGACAAGGTCCGATTCCAGAGCCGGTTGTTACGACGATGATGGAGCGGAAGAGATGGGTGAGGCATAAGACGCCGACGGTGGGGAGGCCGCGGGTGTAATAGGTTGAGAGCGGGTTGTTGATTGTTCGACGTGTCCAGTCGCCTGCGGAGGAGATGAGGAGGGAGCCGCCGGAGTGATTGGGGGAGGGGATGCAGGCGAAGGAATGCCATTCTCCGAGGGGGCTTTGGGCGAGTTTGTAGACGCGGCAGGAGGGGACGGGTTCGTTGTGATGGAGGCGGATTGCGTGGACGCCGACGCCGAGACGGGAGGGGACTATGGGGAGGCGCCGGAGACGCAGCCAGGGAAGGATGATGTGGAGAGTGCTGAGGAGGAGGAGGTAGGTTGCTGGAAGCCGGGAGAGTTGGGCGCCGGGGGAGGAGGGACCGGCTTGGTGGCGAAGGGCGCGGGTGAAGAGGTAGAGTTCTAGCCAGGAGAGGGCGAGGACTGTCCAGCCGCCGAGGCGGTGGGTGTGTTCGAAGAGGTTGTGGTGGGCTTGTCGGAGGGTTGGGAGAGCGGTTATGAGGATTGTGTAGAGGATAACGAGGATGATGGTGCTGGTTATGAGGATCAGAGGGTCGGCTATGCGGTAGGCTTTGTATTCCCAGACTAAGATCCAGGAGAGTAGAGAGAACCAGACCACGGAGCAGAAGGCGGCGCCGCTGTGTAAACCGCCGTATTCGTAGGTCTTTGCGAGGGAGCGACGGATACGGAGGGGTGTGATGTGGGGGACGTGTTGGCAGAGGAAGAAGAGTAGGTTGAGGATGTAGTCTTGTCGGATGAGTACCGCGACGAGGAGGTTGAGGGAGAAGGCGGTGGAAATATCGACTAGGAGAGGGGAGTATTTGGAGCGTCGTGGGAGGGTGATTATGCGGTGGCCTTGCCAGATGTTGAGGAGGATGACCGAGAGGAAGATGCGGCGGTAGACTGAGAAAACTGCTAGACGTGTGAAGCGGAGAATGATTCCTCGTGGAGGAAGGGGAATTGAGGGTAGGTCGAGATCTTGGAAGGTGTTTGTATCTGGTGAGAATGGTTTGATGTCTTCGTAGGTGTTGTGCTCGAGAAAGGACTCGAGTTCGGCTGGGTCGTCCATGTTGAAGAAAGTGTCTAACTCAAATCCTGTATTCCGTCTCTTATTTGAGTTGTTGTCATATATCCGCCTTGCTCATCATATTTCCCAGCCCTTGCCCAATAACCCCTTTGGCGGATTGTCCTCGTTGTAAATCGACCTCAATATAAAACGATATTTCTTTCCAACACCATCACCATCCCTCCATCTTCAAACCCCGCCGGATTTCGTGGTTTAAAGCTGTATACCTCCACCCATTTCCCTATCAAAGCCCCCTCTTCAAACTTCGGAAACCCCGCCGAAAACAATACGAAGCACAAAACTAATCAAACAAGCATACCAAAACGAAGAATAATCTCAACTCCGAAGACGAGAAAACAAACTTACAAAAAATCAGACCTACCTCAGCAGCTACATTAGCTACTTATATGCCACGCTGTCCCGCGTGTGGCCCGCCAAAAGCAACGCCGTCGAGCAAAGGGAGAGCTCAGCTGAGGTTGTGAAGCGGGTCACTGATAGGCGAGGGGATTTTCGTGGTTGGTGGGTTCTGCCGGGCGGTGGGGTTGAAGCTTTCTCGTATTCTGGTGATACGAGGGTTTCTATTTTGGTTTTGATGGGGATGTGGATATGCATGATGGAAAATAGTTCGATTTCACTGGGTGGCTTGCTTTGATATCTTTTACTGTAAAGTGAGGTCTTGGAGTCTGAAAATGCATATTTACAGAAATTCATATGACTTATAGTTGGCATGAATGCTCTCAATTTGAACCATTTTAAGGTGTTTGAGGACTTCTTTTGTTTGCTCAACAGAGTGTTACAGCGAGAGTTAGTTATAGGAATTATAGTTTCTTCGAGAATTTGGAGATGGCGAGAATATCTTAAGCTTTTGACCAACCTAAAGGCGCCTTTGCAAATACCACATCTGGACACCTGAGAATCAATAGAAGGTTTAGAAGTATTATGTCGCCAGGCTTCATCTCCAATCCAAAGAACCAAGATACAAATCCATAGTGATTCCACTTGACTGTCCAAGACAGTGGTTTTAACCCTAACCGCGATTCCAGATCACCAATCCAATCCATTCGAGTCCCAGAAAGAATAATTCTAATCAACCTCTTCAACAACCCTCTCCAACCCCTCATCCTTAACACTCAACCCCTCCATCCCCTTAACAACACCCTTCCCCTTTCTCTTCTTCCTCCCAGCACCCCCAACCTCCGCCTCTCTAACCCACCTCACAACAACCGCCGCCCGTTCAGTCAAAACCTCAAACCCATCATTCATCTTCTTCCCCTCAAGCCTGCCTTCCCTCGCACGAACCGCCTCACGGAAACTCTTCTCGTCACACACACGCTCGTCTTCAAGTGCTTCCATGACAGCCTGTTGTCTCAACCTCTCTTTCCTTTCCTCGCCCGTCTCTCTCGTTTCCCCAGGCAGCGGCGCAGAGGCGCAAAGGTGCTCCCAGGTAGAAGACAATGAGATGGTAGAGGAGATGTGTTTGAGGACTTCGATCCAGTCAGCTCTTGATGGAGAGCGCGCCGGTTGGAAGATCGGGGACCCGGTGCTGAGACGGAGGAGACGGGCGGCCATGTATGCATGGCGTGAGAGTTCGCGCGGGGAGGTTTGGAGGAGACAGTGGGTTAGGAGGAGGGAGTGGAGGGCTTCGGGGAGGAGAGGGTGGTAGGTGAGAGATTCTTGGCTGAATTGGTAGTTTTGGGCTTGGCTTGTCGTTAAGGAGCTGTTTGGATATGGTGGGAGGTCTGTAGGTGGGGTTGGAGAGAAGAGGGTTGATATTGGGTGGACTTTAGGAGGTGGAAAGTTGATGTCTGTAGGGCGGGAGGATGATTGTGGGCGGTTGCGGTTCGAGCCTTTGTGAGGGACTAGAGCATCTGAGAGTTGGCCGTTGCTCAGAGAGTTGTTGGTTTCGAGGTCGAGATTTCGGTTTTTGTATTCATTTGATGACTTCGAAGATTTGAATCCATTTGCCGCGTGACCAAATTTTCGTAGGAACTCTTCCGCAACTTCAGCTGGAAGACCTGGGGTGTATTCGAATTGTTCCAGATATCTAAGATAGTCCTGAAGCGCTCTTTTTGCATGCGTTTTAACTTTCTTTCGGGCTTCCTGACGTTTCCTTAATATCTCCAAATCGGCGTGAGTCAATTCAGAAGGTTCGCTTGGAGTCCCGTTGGTGGCTGGATCTGATGCTTTGTTCTTCCCATTGAGTCTATTCGCAGCACTTTTAGGAGGTAGAGCAGCTTCAACATGTTGACAAGCAATAGTCAGATGAACACCTGCTCGCTGAAATAAAAGTTGAGTCTTAAGACTACTAGGATGATCCTCTTCGGCTAGCTTGAATTCCTCTTTCCACCTTCCATTATTCTTTTCTGCCGCAAGCTCACTCGCAAGCTGTAATTGCTGTCGTCCTGCTCCGTGTTGATCCTGAACAGATTTACATACGCGCAAAGCCTCCTTGAAATCTTCTACTGCCTCAACATATTCCTCCTTGAAGATCCTCGTCACAGCTCTTGTCCTTAATAACTCTCCTTCACGAGGTCGATCCCTAACAAGTTGGTTCAGAGGTTCCAGACTCGTACACTCAGCCAGCTGACGCGACGGAATCTTTTCATGAAAGAAATGAACGTATTTTGCATCTGCGTCTTCGGGGTTTCGTTGAAGCACCAGATGCGCAACGTCTTCTAGCGTAGAAGCGGATTGCATGGTTGCAACACTACAAGCAATCTCATCTAAATGATATGCTTTTGATAGTTTCTGCGTAGCCTGTTCGCGCATTTTATGTTTCCTTTCCCTACTCAATTTCGCATTTCCCCCTCCCCCTCCTATTCCAATGCCCAATGCCGCGCCGCCGTTTCCAAGTAATCCATTTCCAGCATTTAAAGAGTTTGTGAGGGTAGAAGATGTTACGCCGTTTGAGGCTCGTACAGAGAGGTTCGTGGCATCGTCGACAAGCTGGCGGATCTTGAAAAGATCAAAGAAGACCGCCGGATCAATTGGTCGCGGGCGCGGGTGATTGTAATTATTATTAGCTAGGCTCTCGAGCACTTCTGGTGGTAGTTGTAGCCATGGGCCGTGGAAAGAGGATATGTAGCGCCAATGTCTGGAGTCAATTAGCTATGGTCGTACATTGTTTGCGCCAGGTTTCTGGCGTCCATTGCGATCGCAAATATATATGCTAATCTCCGAGCACTCGGCAGTGAATGATATGAATAGAGACGATCGCGCGCACGATCTCTGTAAAGCTGGGGTTACTTACTTGTTGCGACAAATTATCAAGGCAGATGTTGAAGGTTGAGCTTGAGGCGGCTTTGCGATTTTGGGCTTTGACGTCGAAGCTGATGATGCCGTACTAGAGGGACCTGTACCGTTACCATCCTCCACCTTTGGGCTCTTCTTCTTGGTCATGGTGCTGAAGGCTAAGAATAATAAATATGCTAGAGATATTAATATAATAGCGGAACATTGGCGATAATGGGTTCAAACAATCTTCCCGAGACACAAAGTCTCTGAGCTAAAACGCGACCATAATTTTCGCGTTAAAAGCGGCCCGGTGAACATTCAAAGGAAGGAGCTATAGAACATCACCATTGATCAAAGCATTTTGCCTTTCATGTACCTAATTCTGGCACCTTTAGTCGCATCATACTAGTTTGTGGGTGGAGTCAACATTTCATTATTATAGTGTCTTCCCTAATCTTTCTAAGCTAACTGCCAAAACAACAAGGATATCAACCACCAATGCAACGCTCAATTTCACTATGCTAAATCTAGATAGAATGGCTGATAATACTATTGACATCTTTCCAAGGTTCTATGTGAGAACAACACTCCTAGGAGCTGAGCGCCAGACACGCATCAACCGCGAGACCCACCCTAAGTGTGTGAGTAAGTTTACTTTCAACATATGTGTGAGAGAGATCTCTTACCTGCCCTCTTTCTGCTTCACCACATCACTTATAAGGTCTTGGTCTAATTCTGGGAACATGCTGGAAAGAGTCTCCACGATATTAGCGTGCTCTGAACGCTGAATTCGATGAGCCTCGGCCAATTCAGCGCTAGCTTGTCGAGCAGCAGCATCCTCAGCAGTCATCCGAGAGCGAGTGGCTGGGTCGCGAGATTGAAGAGGAGGTTGAGGTAGTCCTCGGGCAGCATCGGAGCTTACTCGTGGATTGGGACTCATACGAGGGGTGCTTCCTGGTAGAGGCGTTCTTGCGGGACCAGTTTGGGATGAGCTACCACCATCATCAGAGAAGATACGTCCGATTGAGGTTAATGGTCGCTGTATAGTCCTTAGCAAGCCACTCATCGCGGCTTTCTCATCGTCTCCGCTGTACTCGTTTGACGAGGTTGACTTCCGTGGCGTGGACGATTCGCCCTCCATTGAATGACGAGGCGTCACTTCTGGACGGCTGAGGGATGATTTCTCTGGAATTCTTGGCATATTTTCTTGGATTTCATCAGCTTGATGCCTCTCGGCAATAGCAGATACAGCAGCTTCAACATTTCTTTCAAAATCTTCGTCTGATATTGTGAGACTTGTTCGATCCAAATTTTCGATGAACTGAACAGCGCCCATCTATAGGTTTATCAGCCTCGAACATCACGAAATAGCTGGCTTCTAGAAAACATACCAGAGACGAAAGGTAATATCCCGCTTCTCCACCCAACTTCTCCTGGTTTCTAAATCTTAGTATATACTGGAGATTCGACACAAGAAAGTCGGGATTGGCGTGAAGAACAACATAGATGAGTAGAGGCATAAATGAATCTGCAGACCCATCTGACTTGGCGTGTTTGAGGAGACCTGTCTGGTCAGCATATGATTCTAAAAACAAGAACAATTGACCCTACCAAATATTACTTTGCAACAGTTGAGAACACAAATGATCTTGTCTCGGGGAGCACGATAATTCCTTATCTTCTTGAGCTCTACTAAATGTCAGTTGTGACTTTGACAGCGCATTTGTCGGAATATACCTTTCTGGGCTAGCATTAGAAACTTCGCACCACTTTCTGCAACAGGCGTTATATCAAGATGCTCTTCTTTTATCCAACCATAGATAGCGATCTTCTGCCCAAGTATTTCATCACGTTCAACATCCTCTTCATGTTGTCCTCTTCTTCCAGGTCCCGCAAACCGCTCGCCATTTATACGTTTGTGTTTCGGAACCGGTTGACGAGAAGGAATGCATGGTGAAAATGTTTGCGTGTATAGTCTGTTCATTACTAATTTTTCCATACCCTCTCGGGCATTGTCAAATTCCGCATCAGAAACCTCTCGCCACACTTCGCACTGGCCCATTTTTCCTGTAATAAATACCAGGAAATCACTTATGATTTTGACTTGCTCATGAACCATCCATTGTTTCTTGCCAAACTCTTGCAAGAATGACCTCAAGAATTTAGCCACAGGATCCGCAGTTCTGTGCCTTAGTTGCTCCAGAAAACGGTGGAAATCAAAAGGAAGAGGTGGCTCAGGTTCCGGCTCAGGGGGTGGAGGTCTGTGTAGAGGCGGGGATATAGGTGTATCTGGAGCATGAATTTGACTATCTCCGGTTCTCTGTGGTACAAAACTACGTATAGATCCGGGTTTCGGTGGTACAGCTGGCCCTACATCTGTTGAACCCCATGGCGTCTGTTCTGTGGTCATGATGGGTGACGTTATTCGGAGATCCTTCATGCTTTGATTCGGGCTCGAGTTCAATGGCTCTAAGCTCGATTTCCTCGGAGGATGTTGAATCGGACTACCTAAAAGCGGTCCAGCAGCCTCTAAACGAGGAGACATGACTTCTTCATGGCCTGGGCCTTGACCGTCCTCGCTGAATTGTTCCATTATACTCTGTATTTCAGATCTCGAAGATTGTTCCCGCTCATCCTCGCTGGCCGAAGCCTTCTCGTCAAACCCGGCATCAGATCTTGTAGGAGACATCGCTCTGTCTGGAGCATCTAGTTTTCCAGGATACTTGGGAATTGCGTTTGAGGTAGATGCTGATCGCGATGGGGGCTGCGACGCTGCTGGAGTCTTCGGGGTAGTATCTCGATACACATGCTCATTCACAGAAAGTTTTCCGCTTGATCCCTCGGTCGCTGAAGTATCGTCTTCTTTTATGGGCTGCACCGATGGTTTTAGAGTTGCGGTAGAGGACTCCATGGGGTCTGGTGAGGGTTGCGTTTCGCTCGTGTTCTCTGGCTGGTCTGTTGACTTGCCCTTGGTGTCTGGCACGGTATCCTCATTTTTCGATTCTTGTGCCATTATTACTGGTATTGAATCATTGTCTTTTGACGTTGGAGACTCTCCAGTTTGCTCATATAATTTGTCCTCGTTGTGTTTCACTTCAGTGTCCCCGTCTTTAGAGGCAGTGGCTTGCGCCTCGTTCTCCCGCCCAGTAACAACTTCGTCAAGTATTAGGCTTTTGGGAAGCTCATCTCGTTGATCTGTGTTCTCCCTCTGCCATCCCGGGGAAGACATGCATCCACCAGCACCTCGAAGAGGCGTTGTTTCCTAGATTCGATGACTTTGGCGGGGTAGTTTCGTATCGCGGGTGACCACTAGATATGTCTCGGTGTCGCCAGAGGTCTGCAAGGTCTGTGAATAAATTCAAGAGAATGGACGTAGAAAGCACAGGGGTGCAATGGTTGAGTATATGCTTATTCCTTATATTCTGCTGATTTGTTGTTGTCGTCGTCTTGTGCCCCAGCACGGAGCGATCATCGACTTTGGCCGAAGAAAGCGAGGACCACCTCGATGGCGACTGTGACTTTCGACCGCAACTTTTCAACACTCCATCGATTCATCTCGTTGCGCATTCCTTTGTCGCAACACAACATAATCAATTCACGTCTCGCGTGCTTGGTTTATAAATACCTTCTGGCTATCAGTAAGATGCGGTGATCAGTTGCCAGAGCCAGCTAAAAGGATGTGTGGTATCCACGCGTCGGTTTCCACCAAGGAGTTCCAAGGACCAACAGATGGATTGAAGCAGCTACTTTGCAACAGAGGGCCAGATCATCTAGGAGAAGAAGAGATTAAGTTTGAAGCCGAAGATGGTACAACGCGATACATTTCGTTTACATCTACTGTGCTTGCCTTACGGGGAGGTCACATTACCACACAGCCATTCAAAGACAGCGCAAGTGGCTGCATTCTCTGCTGGAACGGTGAAGCCTGGGCTGTCGATTCGACTCCCGTGGTAGGTAATGATGGCAAGTTTGTTTTTGACTTGCTGTTGAAGGCAAGCTCCTCAAACCTCTCTTCTACAGAGTCAGTGGATGCTATCGTCAAAGTTTTGCGAAGCATCTCAGGGCCGTTCGCCTTTGTATTTCTCGATTCCAATCATGGCTTCATGTATTTCGGCAGAGACTGCTTAGGGAGGAGGTCACTTCTCCTCAACAAAGATACCAGCCCGTTGGCTATGGAATTATCAAGCTGTGCGGATCACCTTGATTCTAATTGGAAGGAAGTGGAGGCGGACGGAATCTACCAGCTTTCGCTCAATGTGCAGACCGGTACCGAAGAAACAGAAACTGGTAGTGGAATTCCATCGACGCAGCCCCTATTTCCTTGTCAGAGGTATTCATGGGACGCCGGTAAATCCGTAAGCAAACACTCCCCTTTTTGCGCCAATCATCTCTACTGATGGTCTCACAGGAACCTAAGCTAGGAGTGTTCAATAAAGCGATTCCTAATCAAGGATATATGCTTAATCTGCACAGTCCTTCAGTCCAGCAATTACGAGACCAGCTTTACGAGTCATTGAAGCCAAGGATTCTAAATGTTCTCGTACCACCAGGACAAGTGACAAATCAAAACGTCCGAATTGCCGTATTATTTTCTGGAGGACTCGACTGCACCGTTTTAGCTCGAATTGCTCATGAATTGCTTCCTGCTGACCAAGAGATAGACCTGCTTAACGTCGCTTTTGAGAATCCTAGGACGATCAACGCCGCCAATAAAGCGTTACAAACAGGGAAGCAAAAGACGACCCCTTCTCCCAATAAAAAAGAAGAAGAAGAAGCTCCCGGTGGTTCTCCAGAGGTGTCAACAACAGTTTCTTGTTACGAAAAATGTCCAGATAGAGAGACGGGACGAAAGGCTTTCGCAGAACTGAGAAGTGTTTGCCCTAGCCGTCACTGGAGATTTGTTGCGGTAATTTGCCCCGATGCCACACAAATCACTTTTGTTGACGAAGAATAGGTCAACGTGCCGTACGCTGAGACGCTTGCTCACAAGTCCAAAGTGATAGGGCTGATCTCTCCGCACAACACTGAAATGGATCTTTCGATTGCATATGCATTATACTTCGCTTCTCGCGGCTGCGGCATGGCGTCTACTGACACCGAATCTGCAGCGATTCAGTATCAGACATCAGCACGTATTCTTCTGTCCGGTCTTGGTGCTGATGAGCTGTTTGGCGGTTATACACGCCACACGACTGCTTTTAGACGTAATGGTTACCCTGCGCTGCTTGACGAACTGGAATTGGACGTTCGCCGGTTGGGAAAGAGAAATCTAGGACGAGACGACAGGGTAATTTCCTACTGGGGTCGTGAAGCAAGATTTCCCTATCTTGATGAGTCTTTGGTCAAATGGGCTGTCGAGCGACCTGTCTGGGAGAAATGTGGCTTTTCAAATGAAGTATTGGAAGCTTCTGAGACTCCCCAAGTGGACCCCGAGAAAAAAATCTTACGTTTGGTTGCGTATGGACTGGGAATGCCGTCGGTGGCCGTGGAAAAGAAAAGAGCGGTACGGTCAAAATCCACTGTTCTCCAAGCCCTACTAATTATAATAGATCCAATTTGGTGCAAGGACAGCCAAAATGGAGATCGGAAGAACCAAAGGCACAACTTTGATTACCTAATTTCTACCAAGTGGTAACTCGAAACTTTTTTTCCTGGCAATGATGATCTTTCAGATACTACTGAATTGTATGGATGTACCTCTGGGAGTTCACTTGACTGCTCGACGTGAGTTTCTGCTTGACAGTAACCTGGGAGTAGGAGAGTGCCAAAGGAATCATATATTCTGCAATATTGAAGTCGTAAAGGCAAGTCTGAGCCATGATAAGAAGAATCAACTGGATTAGCCACAACATCGAGTTGATATCATCAAATTACCCAACCAAGTACATACATTCCCCACAGTCACAATATGAAGGAAATAACAGATGTCATTTTCATTCCCGTAAAACATAGCAAGCTGCTTGAAACATCGATCTACAAGAAGCCGTCCTTCACACATATCCTACACACCCATCCAGTCTCTTTACATACCGCTCCTTCTGCCTCACCTATCTACACTCACAATCCCGACTTATCAACCCTCACCACCCCATCCCCCATCCCTTCACCCCAAGCCCCCACCATCTCCTCTCCAACTCCTTCCCACTCCCCTCCCCCTTCTCCTTCCCATTCCCATCCATCGTTTTCACCATCCCCCACCCCACACAAAAAGTCACCACACCCACCAAAACCAGTACCAACGCCCCTAATGCCACCATCTCCCACACCTTCTTCCTCCTCTCCCGATCCCCGCCTCTGATCTCTCCACCCCCTATATCCGCTAACGCTTGGTATTCCGTGTGTTGGGTGGCGCTGAACCATTTCGTGGGTATGTAGTTGCGGAGGGGAGATGTGGTTATGGGACTTGAGGGGTCGGTGTAGGGGGAGAAGTTTTGGGGTGAGGGGAGAGACGGGGAGGTGTCTAGGGTGAGAGTGGTTGAGGGACGGGGTGAGATGGGGATTTCGGATATGTCTTCGGAGGAGAGGAGGCGGGATTGGACGCGGGAGGCGCGGAAGGGCATTTTGAGGTTGTAGTAGGTTTGATATGTTGTTTTGAGGTTGTAAATCGAATCTGAAAGTTGGATGCTTGGCAATTCGTGTAGATCATGAGTTGTTTGGTATGTTTGCAGTAGAAAGTACTTAGATACTTGGTTGGTAGCAGTTATCAGTTATCATATTTCTTTGTCTCAATTCCAAAGCCCATATCCAAATCGGGACTAGAAAATGGAAGAAATGCCATTCTAGAATAAAGAGCCAAAATTGAATGCATATTCTGTCGCTACGACATAGCAATTTTCCTCTTCACGTCCTCATACTCAACATTCCTCGCCCACTCCGCCCTCTTCGCCTCCAAAAACTCCCCCTTCTCAATCCACCTCGTCTCCAACCACTTCGCCAATCCCGCCTCATCAAGCGGTAACTCCTCTAGCGGTATCCTCCTCACATCAACATGGAACTTGTAACCTCTCCTCCCGCTTAAATCATTCAGACTTAGCGACTCCCAAATCGACGGCGCGTTCAGGAATTTGTTGTCGTGTTCGTACGCAATGGTCATGTCGTAGACGGCCTTGACATGCGGCGCTTTGCGCAGATGCTGGACCGTCGTCACGAAGCCCTTTGTGCGGGGATAGAGCAGGTGTTTGGGGAGGGGTCGGTCGTTCTCTTTACACCATTGGCGCGCGACTTCGTATTTCTTGGGCGTGTAGCGCGTTGCTTCGCTGAAACTGATGAGCCCTGAAGGTAAGACAATTAGCTTCGCCCTCCCCGCATTTTTTAATGGGAGGTCTTACACGTCGGCCATTTCTTCACGATGATCCCAGAGAATACGCGGTCGAGCTCTTTCTTATCCTTCAGCCAGTTCCGACTCACCATCGGCATCCCCATCGCCCAAATCCCCCACCCGAGCAACGGCACCCAGCGCAGCTCGATCTTCGAGAACCAGCGACAACGTCCTAGCATCCCCGCGCGGACGGCCAGCGCTTGGATCATGTAGAAATCCGTCCAGCTGACGTGGTTGGAGATCACGATGGCGGATTCGCCCTGGGGGAGCACGTCGCCAGAGATGGAGATCTGGCCGCCGTTGAGGATCTCGAAGATGCATTGGATCCAGTTCCAGTTGGTGAAGGCGACGAGCGAGGAGGCCGAGTAGACGAAGTTCGGGAAGAGGAAACTGAGCGGGAGGAGGAGGGAGAGGATCAGGTCCATGATTATGAGGTAGAGCGCCCATGGTGTGGTTATTAGGAGGCCGCGCGCGAAGATGAGGAGGTCTCCGGCGGCCATTTTGGGCGTGTGTGACGGGGATGAAGAGAGAGGATAAGGAGATGCAGATGCTGTGATGAGAAGAGAATTCAAAGCGGTCAGACGGTTGTTGGTGTCACATGGGATTGCAAAGGTAAATTGTTTACCCCACTACCAACAGGTACTCGAGTAGCGCATATCAGTAGGTCGATTCGCTCGAGTCTTACCTGCTCTACCTGATCACACCCCGCTTATCTGGTCAATCTCATGGTTCTGAGAACACACGGTACCTCTTAACAGAGTATGTATTGAATATAAAGAAATGCGACAAGAGCTCTGCCCTTGCGACGCACAATAACCTGGGCAGTCATCCATCGATAGATCCTTCAATTGATAGCCGAGGTGGGGAAAGGGGTCCTTGAACTGCGGCTCTAAAGATAAGGTTATGAAGGGTCCAGGCCAGGCACGCTAGACTAGTGTTTGGTCTCAGTGAAGAATCCCGTCCTATCCGACTCCGAGTGGAAACATCGGGCACTTATTGCGATGTCTGTCCGATTGGGTGTATTGCGCACATATCGAAAGGGCTTCGAATCTTGGAGACATGGACGTGACCGTTAGACTATATCTTTTTTGGGAACGGAGTTTCTCCATTTATGCAGTATCTGGTGGGGAGGAGGATAAGATGGGTACTGTATGGAGTTGAGGGGTAGAGATGCATGGCAGAGGAGGGGAGGGGATCCTTCGAGGGAGATGAGAGTTATTTTGAAGTGATAGTAAAGATTTAATGTTGAAGGTGTTAATGAGAGAGAAAAGAGAGATGATAGTTTTATTGCTTACGAGACACTACTGTAGTATAATTTGATGTCAGTGACTTGCTTGTACAAAGTACAACCGTTTTATCCCCAGCAAGAAGTCTGACCATAATCTGTACATCCTCCTTGGCTTCAGGCTCAAAGACTCCTCTTTCCACGCCCTCCCACCAGTATCTCTTCCTCTCCTGAACTTCTCTTCAATTACATCTCACGCCGAAACGTCACATCGGAAAACAGACCCCAGTTTCCGTCTCACAACATCCAGGTGTCGGGTATCTTCTTTGCACCGCCCCAACGTTGATTTAAAACGTTCCAGCCGCCTCTTGATGCTGCAGCTTACCTACAACGCTTTTCCCAGAACCCTCTCAAACTAGTCGTATCGCACATTATTAGCTCTACCGGTTCGCGCCCGTCACCATTACGAATCTATCACCTCTCATTCTCAATACACCATAAATCTGCGTCGCGATACTGTATTGTCTCTTTAAACCCTGCAGCGATCCGGATATTTTATGCGCTGCTGGCCCCCATTCAAACACCACCGTTTATTCCAAATACTCTCCACATCCCCGCGCTGCGGCATTGCACGCGCAACATCACAACGAATTAGCCACCACAGGACGTCAAGAAGGTATTCAAATACTTGTCCCAATTACTGGACCAGGTACGTCATGCACACCCTCCCAGAGCTTTATCTTTCAGTTCCATTCCTGTCGAAAAGGCGTCTCTCCCCGATGGATCTGACTTGACGGAAGCAACCTGCATGGGGCGATCTGGCAGTCAATTGAACATGGCTAACAGAAATCGGACAAATCAGCAGATATCCAGTGGTCCTTTTTGGTCGAGTACGGAATCGTTGGATCATCGAGACATGTCGCTCCCGTCGCCCGTTGATCAATATGGGAACAAGCTGAGTGGAAGTGGATATGGGAGTAGCGGGCAGTCGGACAGTGGGAAAAGTCCGCTGTCAATGAGCTTGGGGTTTCTTAAGAATTTGACGGAGAAGAAATCTACTCGTGGTACGTTGGACCATATATGGATACGACCTCTGCTAACCTACATAAGTTGATGGGCAGCCACCGAAGAGGAGAGGCCCAAAACCAGACAGCAAGCCAGCGTTGACTCGTCGACAAGAGCTGAATAGGCAGGCACAACGGTAGGACGCACTGTGCCGCTGACCACATGATGCTCATGTACTAATTACAAATAGAACTCACCGCGAGCGGAAAGAATTATACATCAAAGCACTGGAGCAAGAAGTCATCCGTCTCAAAGAAAATTTCAGTATGGTTACTCGCACTAAAGATTCGCTCGCGGAAGAAAATCGACAATTAAAGCAATTGTTAGCTCAGCATGGTATTGCATGGAATGGAACTGGAGGAGTCGATGAGTTGAATGTACAAGCCAGCGCGGGTTACACATCAAGTGGTAGCATATCTGGCAGCTACGCACCTGGTTCTCAGTCTTATAGCCCACCGCCGACGCACGCAAATCCTCAGTTCCAGCAATCTTCGCAAGGTGTTAGCAGTACAAATGGCCGGAGTACGACTCAACAGCAAGTCCAGCCAGGGGTAGACTATGATCAAGCTGGAATAGATTTTGTGTTGGGGTACGATCCTTCAAGAGCCTACATGTCGCCTCCCCCACATAACTGACGACGGCATCGACAGGCTCGAACGACCATGCATGGATCACTTGCAGTATCTCGTCGAGCTGTCAAGTGATGCTGATGGGCCAGCGTGTGGCCATGCTCTGATGGCTTCTTGCCCTCCAATGCCAAAGGTAGAAGACGACATACCTTTTGGGCACGGCCCGAGACAAAACGCAGATGCACAAAAGACGTGGGATTTATCGAAATCCGACCTAGCGAATCTACTCGATCTAAGTAAACGACTCAATCTCGATGGCGAAATCACTCCAGTCATGGCTTGGGGAATGATACTCGCCCATGAACGCTTCTCCGAGCTGAAACTTGATGACTTTGCGAAGATGTCCCAGGAACTTGGTGGTAAAATACGGTGCTATGGGTTAGTTGAGTTCCTCTTTATTCGCTTGTGTAACTGACATGAGATAGTTTCGGCGCCGTGTTAGAAGAATTTGAGGTCCGGGATGCCTTGGCAAATGTGTTGCATTGTGAGAACGATTTTGACATGACCTATTAACTTTAACCTGGATCTTGGGACTTGTTTGGATAAGGCGTTTAGCAGTGATACCTTGGGAATTACTACAAATTCTGGAGCGGGGAAAACGGGACTCGTATGCATGCTATGGTGGATGGCTGAATTATGTTATGTGGCTATTCAATCAGCCATGTCTAGGGACATGTAAAATATCAAAGCGAATCAACCTTAATCTACATCTTGTTATTTCAAACAGGACTTCTAATTTGAGACATGGCTATATTTGTTGGTATTCTCACTAGAGATCTTGATACGATACGATTTGCTTCCAAACTCTCAGCCCAGAATAGAGTATATGTTATTTCTTGGCGCTTTAAATCGAGGTGAGTCAGGTGATCGGTAGGCCGAACGCTCGGACAATTTTGACCACCACAAATCTGAAATATTCGCGACCCCACCAGATTTGTTGCCAAATTCAATCATCTCTCTCGTAAACACGCCGCAATCATGGCACCTATTTCTCTCACAGATATCATCTCGGCCCTGCCGTCAGAGGATTCATGGGGCCCCCCAACCTCCACGGAAACCACATTAAATGGCGTACCATACGCCCCATATTCCAAAGGCGACAAGTTGGGTCGCATGGCAGATTGGACAACTGAGGGCAAAGATGGAAGGGATGGTAGAGGTGGACGACAACAATATAACAGAAACTATAGAGGTTTGTTTGCCCCTAGTCTGGATACTCTCAATTTTCTGTAGAAAATGCGCAAGAAAGGAAAGTACTAACCCCGCGATAGATCAGCAAGTTTACGGTGCTGGAACTTCTTCCCTTTTCGCAGTTCAACTGGCCGAGGACGAATCGTCCTTCTCCGTCGTAAGCAATGTTCGCGATTCAACAAAGACAAGATTCGGCCGTGGTGGTGGATTTGCAAGAGGTGGACGAGGTCAGCGAGGAGGGCGAGGGGATACCAGAGGCGGTCGTGGACAGTTCCAGAGAGTTGGTGGAAGAGGTGGCCAACAAGGTTACAACAACTACAACGATCGTGGAGGACGAGGAGGTGCTCGTGGTGGTAGAAGATTTGGCTGGAAAGATTATGATAAGCCACAGCGAAACCGCGATGCGTCTGTCAATATTAAACCCGACTGGAAAATGCTGGAGGAGATTGATTTCAACCGTCTGGCTAAGCTAAACCTTGATACCGACGATGGAGAGGATCTCGATAGCTACGGTTTCTTATACTACTACGATCGATCATACGATAAGCAGGCTGTCAAGACTGCCGAGCGGAAACTCAACGTTGTTGATCGCGCTGCATACAATGTCACAACCTCCTCAGATCCTGTCATCCAAGAGCTGGCTGAGAAGGACGAGGCAACAATTTTCGCCACAGATAGCATTCTTTCAATGCTCATGTGCTCACCTCGTTCAGTCTATCCATGGGATATTGTTATTGTTCGACAGGGTAACAAGGTTTTCCTTGACAAGAGAGACAATGCTACCTTGGATATGGTTACCGTAAACGAGAATGCCGCAGACGCACCAATGGACGCTTCGGAAGGAAGCAAAGATGCTATCAACCAGCCAAGCGCTTTGGCTGAGGAGGCAACATATATCAATCACAACTTCTCAAACCAGGTTATGTTGGAAAATGAGAACCAGAAAGTTGAGATGGCTCACGAGAATCCTTTCTACAACCCAGAATCCGAGTCTGAGCCACCTGCTAGCAAGGCGTATAAATACCGTCGTTTCGATCTCTCGCTTAATGATGAGGATCCAGTTCACTTGATTGTACGAACAGAACTTGATGCTGTTCAAAAGAATGCTATCAGTGGTGAGGATCAATTCATTACTGTCAAGGCGTTGAATGAATTCGACCACAAGGCACAGGGAAGCGGTGGTGCTCTTGACTGGAGAACAAAGTTGGTCAGTCAACGTGGTGCTGTCGTTGCAACGGAAATGAAGAACAACAGTTGCAAACTTGCAAGATGGACGGTCCAAAGTATTATGGCTCGTGCTGATGTCATGAAACTTGGGTATGTGTATTATGCTCCATTTTATATTGACTGGCTAATTATCCTAGATTCGTTTCCCGAGCAAACCCAAAGACCAACGACAAGCACGTTGTTCTCGGCGTTGTCGGATGGAAACCACGCGACTTTGCATCTCAGATGAACCTGAGCTTGTCAAATGGATGGGGTATCGTCCGTACAATCGCTGATATGTGTCTCAAGCGTGACGAGGGTAAGTATGTGTTGGTCAAGGATCCTAACAAGCAAATTTTGAGATTGTACGAGGTACCGATGGGCAGTTTCGAGGATGATGGGGAGGGCGAAATTATTGACGAGGCGGCTGAGGAAGAGGAGTAGATGTCATACCTATATGGGAGAAAAGCATAATGATAGATGAAGCTCGTAATCGCTCATGAAATGAATTGATGAGAGAGGTTTCAAGATGATAATTCTGATGATCTGTTCATGTGTATTTTCCTAAGGGTTTTTTGGTGGGTATGAAAGGTATTCCTCTACATCTTGAGATACAACTATTTCCTTTCGATTTGGCAACACATCCTCTCCTCGAAACCTTACGTCTATATCAAAGCTAAGCGTGCAAGTGCACCGAGCTCTCAAAAAAATCCTCGAAATAAGCACTACTATCCCTTCTCACTCCCAAACACAAGTTGTTCCTCTCTTTCTCTCAATTCTTTTCCCAGGGCTGCCCTCCAGAAACAAACCAACAGGCAACCAACTCATCCCACCCCGGATTGGTCACGTCGTACAGCCCACATTGCGCGTCCCTCCGTCACACTTCAGCCTCACTTTTTCTTATCCCATCTCTTTATTTTCTTATTTTCTCAGCACCTCTCAGCCTCATCCTCTGCTCTTTCGAAAATCTCTGCCTTCTCTCAAAAAGATATCGTATAAAACATGGACGCAGACTCAGAAACCGGCCGCTCCAGTCCTCCACCCCTCTACACATCTCGCGCTCCCTCCATCCACACTCCCCTCCCCAGCGAGCGCACCCCGTTATTCGCACCTCCAAGATATTCCTCTCGCGCGCCTAGCATCCTCGAAGAACCGAATGAACGAACGCCGTTGTTTGCGCCCCCGAGGTATACGTCGAGAGCGCCGAGTCTCCTCGAGTCGCCAGGACAGTCGAGTATACGTGATTCTATCCCTAGTGAGCGCCCGCCGGCGAGGAAAACGTTTAGAGAGAGGTATGGGGAGGCGAGACGGAGATACGCGGATTTGAGAAGGGGGTATGCGGGGAGATTTGGCGGGGTTAGGAGGAAGGTTGGGGGGTGGGTTGGGGATGTGAGGAGGAGGGTTGGGGATAGACGGGTGAAGATGAAGGGGGTGAGGTGGGTGGTGACTCTGATGAGGTGGTTGTTTTGGGTTGGGTTGGTTGTGGGGGTTTTGGGTTGGGGACGGTGGTTGTTTGGGTTAGGTAGGGAAGGGGGGAGGGAGGTTAGGGTTGGGATTGTGGGTGAGTTTAATTTTTTATTTTCTCTTGATGGGTGGGGAAGTGAAATGTGTGGTGAAGGGGATGTGATATTGGAGCTTCAAGTATTGTCGACTTTGAAGTTCGACCTACTTCCTATTCCTTAACCACCACACTCCAACCTCATCAACCTCCTCAGATTCCCAACTTCCTCGCATCCAACTGACACCCACAGGCGCCGGCCCCGCAGGAATAGGCGTCCTCCACGCCCTCTCCCAGCAATTCCCGACCTCCAAAATCAACCTCAACATCACCCTCTTCGACTCCTCCCCCACAATCGGCGGCCGTCTCACCTCCCTCTCCAACTCCCCCATCAACATCACAGCCTCAGAAATAGCGACAGGCTGTCTATCCCATAACACCCATTTCTTCCCCCCTTCATCCGTTCAAACAATCAAAACAACCACCAGCTTCACAAATGGCTTGTCCATGCCCCGTCCCAGATCCGCGCTCCCTTTCTTCGCCTGGGTGAAACTTCTGTTTAGATATGGCTTGAGTGTGGAGTATGCTAAGAACTTACCAACTGGGACTATGGACCGCTTTCGTGGCCTTCTTTCTGATATTTCAGAACCGTATAGAACGCCGTTTGGAATTCTCCAAGATATGACTGATGCGACATCCCTCCCGGCGTCCACTCGTCTGGGTAGGAATCACATCCAAGGGGCCTACGTTTCCGAGATCCTGGCCCCGAAGGTCCGAAGACAGACAGGTTGTTCGATATCCGAGTTGAGTGATCTATCGCTTTCGATGGCGGTGGAGAGGGAAGATTCCGGGTTATGTACCGACGCGTTATCGTATCAGGTCGTTGCTGAGAAGAAGGTGAAAGGGAAAGCGGATGTGAGACTGGATACTAAGATCACGGCTGTACGACGGAGTGGTACAGATGCCTGGAGTTTAGAGGTCCTAGGTGGAGAGGTGGAGGAGTTTGATATTGTGGTTTTGGCTATGCCGTATAACACGACGCTCCTAGGACTACCGGATCAAGAAGATGAGGAAGTGGTGTATAAACCCGCATTTCTAACATTCGTTTCCACAACGGAAAAGGCACCAGTTGTGAATGGGAAGAACAGTCTATTACCGATTAACCCTCAAAGTATGATCGCAAATTCCAGCACCGAGATGTACGAACTCACATATCTACGTCCATATATATACAAGATCTCCTCGAACGCGCAGATCTCAGATGAGCAGGTGAGTGAGCTTTTTGGCGAGGGCGTGACGGAGGTGGTGCGAGAGGAGATGGAGTTTGCGTGGCCGGTTATGAGTGCCAGAAGTGTGGGTGAGTTTGGGAAAGTGGAGATTGAAGACGGACTGTGGGGGATGGGCGGGAGCGAAGGCGTGGTTAGTTCTGTGGATTGGAGTTTTGTGGTTGGTGAGAATGTGGGGAGGATGGTTGCTCATAGGATTGTTACGGGGAAGGATTGAGATCTGAAATCCGACTGTCCTCTACCACAACTCTATTTCCTGAAATCAATTCACAAATTCTCCCACACCTTTTATCAAAATCGACACGCCGTTGCACACAGTCGACCACGTCAGAACACCCAACTTCCATACCGCCACGCCACATCCAACCACGATGTACAAAATAACCAATATTCCGCCGAATTGGAGCATGATAACCAGACTTTGGATGAGGTGGCTGATAAAGTACCAGGATAGGAGGTATTTCAGGTCTGTGAGAAACAACGCAATAGCGGTGGGCGGTGGTGGCGTCTTGCGGTATTCGACCGGGAATATCCATTTGACAATTGGTTTCTCACCCGGGATGAGAGAATAGCTGTAGAGGACTGCGAGCTTTTCGGCCGCGGCCCATTCCGCGAGGGTTGAGAAAGTTTCGGTGGTTGAGTGGTCTGGTTCGGCTCCGTCGCTCTCGAGTCCGTTACTCTCGTGGTCGACGATGTAGTATCGGCCGTCGAGGTCTTCGATGTCGACGCCTTCTGCTTCGCAAAATTCGTAGATACGTGCGTAATGAGTTGCTGACTCGTAGTTACTGGGGTCAAAGTCGTCGTCATCCGAGTCGTCGGAAGAGAGGTAGAAGTCTGAGTCGTCGAAGTCGCTGTCGTCGTCGTCGGTATTGGGGCTGTCGTAGTTGGGGCTCTGGTTGTCTGGGCTGTCAACGTCGCTGGTCTCGGTGTCAGAAATGTCGTTGTCGGAGTCGTCCATGTTGGGGTCGGTGATATCGGAGCTGTCCATATTAGAGGTTTTGATATCGTAGTCATTGTGACTATGTCTGGTCGATATAAATGGATGAGATTCCTTTGGAGAATCGATATCTCTTAGATGGAGAGACATTTTGAAGATGGTAGCGATGGTGAGATCTTTATAAAAGTTGGAGATAGTCGAGATAGCTAGTGAATTTCGTAGGTAGTAGAAATGATACGTAACTGCTCGATGTGATAGCTATATTGCAGATATGGTGTAAGAATCTCGAGGATGGCCTATAGAGGCTGAAGATGAAGTATCTGGCCGCGATTTTGATGTGAAAAGTAATCACGCAAATCTTGTATATGGTGCGTAAATGTCGCAGATCCGGAAGATGATGTATGTGTCCGAGTTGTCGATGTGAATAGCAGACACTGGGTATAAATGCGGAACCTGTAAACGAAATTCGTAAATGTAACTCTTAAACCTTGAAGATCTTGAAGATGATGTATATGTCCAAGATGTAGATGAGAATAGCAGGTATTGGGTATAAACGTGGAACGTATTAACGTAATTCGTAAATATACCGTTCAAATGCTGTAGATGCCGAAGACCGCGTATAGATCTCTGAAGTGTTAATCCAGATGGCCAAATATCGCAGATAGTTCGTGGTGATGGTCGAGGTATTCGATATTTCTGAGATTGCTATAGATGGTAGGTATTATGATGTCTCAGATATAGTGAGATAGTAGAGGGGGTAGAAAGAGGTGATTAATATGGGTAGAGTTGTGTGAGATGGTAATTCTGGTGACAAAATAGTATGTATGTTAATATAGCAAAGCTGCTAACATATGGCACAGATAACTAAGATGGGCCAGATGTTCGAGAGGGTCGAGATTGCCGAGGTGATTGATGATTGAGATATTGGATGTGGTGAAGATAGCTTGGTGTTCCAGATAGCTAGATGTCCCAGATAGCTAAGACGACGAAGACGACGAAGATGATCATTGATGATTAGAGGTGGCAGAGATGTCGAAAATAACGAAGATAGCCGAGATGTTTGAGATGACTGAGATGACTGAGATGACTGAGATGATGAAGATGGGTGTAGATGGTCGCGACGTTTGAGATAGATGATCTGAGTATAGATGACTGAGATGTTTAATTTCGCAGAGAGATGGTTGTATGGCAGAGGTAACTGAGACGAATTTGAGATGGAAAGAAAAGAAGAAGCCCAGGAGGGAAGGGGGACGGCCATTGTAAAATACTTGAACGTCCAAGCTAAGCCCTTAGTCTGGGATTGGAAAATTCTTTCTTCGCCAGACTTTTGTGGTGCAAACTCGCGATGTCATAATGAACTCCAAGAGACTATGGTCGACAACGGTGTCGCGGGAACTAACCATTTTCTTCGCAACCACACACACTTCGCGAATCAGAATTGAGTTTCCATTGTCTACGGTCTATGATGGTCTGGAAGTAAGTTGATGAAGCCACACTGCGAAAAGGTATGAATCCCAATTCTGGTATCGCTCTGTATCTGCAGGAAAGTTTCTTCTTGGGGGAGATCTCGATTCCTTTCACCCAAGGTGAGAAATTTTTTCGAGGGATTGTGAGAGATGCGACCATAGATCAGCACTTTCATTGTCTTCTCTTGTGCGTAATCCAGTCGTCCTGAAATGGCTGGACTCCTCGAAATTTTCCAGCGACGAAACGTAGGCTTGGCCTTGGGTTTTAAACTTGACGAAACGGCGACGAGAATCGCGCGAAGAGGGATCATCGAAACATGTATATCGGAATTCTGGCTCTCGGATCTCTATGGTTTGCTTGCAGCTGCGATACCTTCTTCGTGATGTTGGTGGAGACTGGTCTAATTGGCCAGGCTTAGGGATAGCGAGCTTCGACTTAGAGATTTCTGGGCCCGGGTCTAAAAAGCTTCACCCTCCTCCGGAAAGAAAACTTTGGAGACTTACAAGCACACTAATATTTAGGTTGTTCTTCGATCGTTCTTTCTCTTGCAGTAGGCAAAACGTTCGCAACATGCCAAGCAAATGGAGAATTGGCACGTGATTCACCCCCCTCTTCAACATGAAATTCAAGATACAACTTTGCAACCATAGGTAGCGGTGTACAAGTGCTGTCCGAACTTGGCACTAACTTAGTTTCGATTGCGAGAGTAGTCTGAGTGTGTTCATGATTAACTGCTCAAAATCTGAAAATGTTCGCAAACTTGCTCAAGTGCGCTTGTTACAGAATAGACTAAGCTCCGAGACCAAGTGTTTAAAAGCAAAGTTTCTACATTCTTATTCCAATTTAGAATATAACTCATTATCTCTATTGAGAATAGATGGCACTCACAGTTCTCAGTAAAGGCAATATGAAGGCTACATTCTCAAAAAAGAGCAGCCAGTCGTACTATAGCGAAATGGTCGCAGAGGCGCCAACTTCTAAAGAAGTGCAGCCATGTATCAATTCAAACACAAGTCCTATGGGGAAAAGGGTGTGCTCGATATCTCTCCTACCCCCAGAAATCCGCTGCAAAATATACAGTTACTACTTCATATCTCACTCCTCGATACCGATCAAAGACTCCGACATATCCAATCAAGATACCACTCAACATTTCTTCCTCACCCACACATCCCTCGCCCTCTCCTCGCCATACTTCTTCTACGACATCCCCATCTCAATCTTCCTCACCGCCTCAACCTTCACATTCACAAGCAGCCTTGCTCTCAAAGCACTACCTGCCCTCCTCCCCAAAGACCTCAACCACCCAATTCGCAAAATCAGAATCCAATACCAAGAGAAGAAAGATCAGGATTGGGTATTCTTGATCTATGAGTCTTTTGCGGAATTGGAGGAAGTGACCTTTGAGATTGGGAAGGAGGTGTGGAGTATTGAGTGGTGGGAATCTGTGAAAGATGCTGTGAGAGAGGGATGGTGCTGTGGGTGTGAGAAGGTGGGGAGGTTGAGAGGGGAGTGTGGGAGAGGCGTTGGGATAGGGAGAAGTCAGAGGTTGATTCTGGGGGTTGAGTGTCTGGATTGGAGGTTTCGTGAGACTCTGGTCAGAGGGGTATGATGAAGTGTATATAGACCAGAGTGTGAAGTATGACAAAGGAAAGGGGATGGTTTTAATTGGTTTATTGAGTTCGAGATCATCAAATCTTGTAGTCTACAGCTCTGTTACCCATCTATCATTATGCAAAACGCCATCATAACCATATATACACAGCATCTCTCGACGCTGATGCCATTCCATCAACATGCCTGTCCCATTCTTTCATCCCAGTAATCATTTGTTGTGTATGATAAAGTTTCGTAAACTATCCCAGTGGTCGCTTTGTACATAGATATAATCCATGCTACTTCTCAGCCCACTCTGTACCGTTTCGGGATACCATCTGAAAAGCCACATCACAGAGCCCCAACTCAGCGCCGCAAAGACAGGCCATGCATCGTGTGAGATTCGTTTCGATAGCTCGTGGCTCTTAATAATACCAGCCCCAGGCTGTACTGATAGTTTCGCAAGCGATAAGCAGACTCGCGCAAACACTGTCCCAGTTAACATTGGCTCTCGGTCAAAAGGAGGGTCCAACTTACCGAATATCACAATCTGCTTGCTCACACTCGAGACATGTCCTCTCTTCGATCTCCGTCCAAAGACAAGGTATCCTCCAAATAATCCTGCAAAAAAGGTGTCGTATGGTCCTTCTTTGCCCGGATTAGATCCCATATGCTTCAACATCAACATCGTCAACTTGTATACTGTAGCATATTTTGCTAAGTTTCGCGCATGCGTTTGCGTCGCTTTAAGTATGAGGCTTAATTTCTCTTGTACAGTGCCCGAGCGGAACAGAAATATCATACTATATCCTCAAGCGTTAGCAATGTAATAATATCTGCCGCAGACAAACTATCCAACTTACACCAGTGCATGTGGAAAACGAACTTTGGCGCCGTATACTGCGCCATTGCGAGCAGCTTTCACCACCGCAAGCAAATCGGCATATTTTGGATTTAATATGATACTCTCAAGCGCTTTCTACCAGAAGACGAATTAGCATATTTACCCAACGTATGTTGAGTTCATTGTCCATACCTTTGCTACTTCAACTGAAGACATCTTGCCCGAAACAAGCCTCGGCAATTTGATGCGACAGATTCAGACGTGCAACGGCACTGTTGGGAGAAGAGCAATTTCAAACGGTTAGTCCCATTTAACATTGAACCATGCTGTAGATATCGTGGAACTAAAGATCAAAAAGGTTGTGCATCAAGTTGTGAAGTTGGCAGCTTGTGAAATCCCGAGGAATGGAGATGTTGTTTTCGGCATTATGATACCCCAGATTTCCAGGATGTCTGATGTCTGATGCGCCCGCCGGACCAATTTGCATGTGGGATACGCAGCGAGGAAAATATTTATTCCGGGTGAGCCTTCTAAGAGTCCGTGCGCATGTTGCGCTTCCCTATCGATTGCGCCCCGCTAAAAAAGTTCTTGTGAGGAAATCGAGGGCCAATTTGCGGTTCGGTTTCATACAGTTCAACATAGCAGAACCAAATACTTCAATATGTTGCGCCAAATGTACGAAATCTCCCTGCAATTTCAAATCGATCAATTCTACCTAGGTACTAATAAAATCGTAGAAAACCTCGTAATGCCCGCAGCAAGCGCGCCCTCGATAAAAAAGCTCCCAAACCAACCGAAAACCCCAAAACAACACTTTTCCTACGCTTTACAACATGTTCTCAGGTAGTTCAAGACGCTTTAACTGACCTCCACCAACTTCGGATACCTCTGGCCAAGAAGTTTACCAAGAAAAATGCAATTCATCCTTTCGAAGACGCCGCCTCATTCGAATTCTTCTCCGAGAAGAATGATGCTTCAATCCTCGTCTTTGGGTCTTCCTCAAAAAAGCGCCCACATGCAATCACATTAGCGAGAACTTTTGGATACAAACTACTGGACATGTTGGAATTGTACCTAGATCCCGATAGTTTCAGGAAGTTAGCGCAATTTAAGAACAAGAAATGCGCTGTGGGGTTGAAACCTATGCTTCTGTTTGCGGGAACTCCATTTGAGAGTCCTGTTACGAATGAATATACTCTCGCGAAAAGTTTCTTCACGGATTTCTTTAAGGGAGAGCCAGCGGATAAGGTTGATGTTGAGGGATTACAGTATATTGTTTCTATTAGCGCCAGGGAAGAAGTCGACGGAGAGGAAACGAAACCCAGTATACATCTCAGAGTATACTTGATTCGAACGAAGCGGAGTGGGCAGAAGTTACCACGAGTTGAAGTAGAGGAGATGGGTCCAAGGATGGATTTCCGCGTTGGAAGGGTTAAAGAGGCGGATGAGAGTATGCTCAAGGAAGCACTCCGAAAAGCACGTACTAGCGCCGAACGGCCGAAGAAGAACATCTCTACCGATATTGTTGGTGACAAGATGGGTCGGATACATCTGGGCAAGCAGGATCTTAAGGAGCTGCAAACGAGGAAGATGAAGGGACTGAAGAGAAGTAGGGATGTGGAGGACTCAGAAGGTGATGAAGATGTCGAGGATGTTATTAGCGAAGACGAAGCGGAAGCGCCTCCCAAGAAGTCGAAGAAGAAGGAGTAGGCTTGTCTAATTGAATGATCATCTGTATGTGGAGTTTGGAGTTGGTCAGAGGCGCTTGGGAAGAACATCTTGTATGCGAAAGGTATTGCCTGGCAATGTTGCACACGAGAAAACCAAATTCTTTAGCAAACTCGCTTAGAAGGCTAGCAGCTCTATTGAGTGACACAAGTGTGAAAGTTGCTGCCCTGCTCCTGCAAATGATTTCATGTGTATCGAGTTGTGGTGCGCTTAGAAACTACGGAGGTGGAATTGATGAGTTCCTCATCATTGCGACTTTTTCAAGAATTTTATTAGCTGCGAGTAAAAACTTTTTGTACATGATATGGATTATCAGATAGCATCAGACACTCATTACAACGTCAGAGAACACCTTGAGGGCTCTATGAGACCGATTTTTGGCCATGTCGCCAAGAGATTCAATCATCATATCAAGCTGAAGCTGACTATTAAAGCGGCAGTAATTAAGTATCTTAGGTACAACGTATGAGATGTGTATAAGCCAGCTAATCCTCATGTGACGTCTACTATGTTGTCCTCACATCTTTCCTACACGTCCGGTATAGCAACTAGCCAACCATTAGTCGGACCAGAAGTTGAATCTTCTCACAGTGAGCTTAAAGGTCACAAAAGTGTATGTCTCCAAATTTAGGCCCAGTAGAAGAGGAATATTGCCATAGCACAGGGTATAATTCCATTAATCTGAAATCCTAAAACGCCCACCCTCCATGTAGACTTTTCCCACCCCCAGATACCCTCCGAATCGCTCCAATAACTGCATTCAAGCCTTCTTTCCCCGTTTCTTCGCGCTCTTCGCCGGCGTACCAGACGTAACGGCATCCTCAATCGAGCTCTCCGCCAAAAGACTAGCCCACTTATCATCCATACTCCTATTATCCTCCACCTCATCGACCTTCTCCTTCTTCGCCGCCACAACCACATTCTTCGGGTCCGCCTGTCCAATAAGCTCCACATTGGTCGCCAACATCTGCTGGAACGGTCTCGTCACAAAGTGGCCCGCGGCATCAAACCATCCACTGAACGCCTTATCAACCTTCTTAGTCGTCGACTTGCCATCCTTGGTAGTCGTGATCACGGTAACGCGATACACAGCTTTGAATTTGTCTGTTTTAGTCTGGACTTGGATTTTGGTGCCGCTGGTCTTGTGCGTGCCGACGTAGACGGTGTTTTTCTCGACGCCCCAGATCCAGAATGTTAACGCAGTGTTGAGGATCGTGTAGACGGCTACGGCGATGGTGGTGTAGAATTTCGTGGAGTCGAAGCCGTAGGTGTAGTCCCAATAGAAGGTTGCTGCGCAGAGAGCGAAGGCTGAGTAGCCTAGACCGAGACGGACGTCGGTGAGGGTGTGGGATTGAACGAAACCCAGGGAATTTAGGTAGACGGGGAGGGCATCGTCGGTTGTATTCTTGAGGTCTGGAATATTGTTAGTTAAGGCCTTGTACATGGGGATTCATACGCAGAACATTTGCGCAAGAGGATTAATTTGACAGTCCTAAAACTTACCAGCTAACGAGTAAACGCTTATCTTTTCCTGTGAGACTGCCATGTTTGCAATTTATCTTTTGTGGATGTTGGAAAGACAATTGCGCTGGAGGGAGAACTGAAGTAGTCGCGTAGGATTTGGGTGAACGTGTCTTGAACGAGCTCTCGGGAGGAGCCGAGCAAGCGAGAAACCTCATCTCAACATCGAAGCTCGCCCGTGCCATCACGACCTTGAGCATTCAGCTACCCCCCGATCAGCAAAGATGGCGCAAGTTCCTGTTCAGACGATCCACAGGGATCCTCAGCTATTGTACGTCTCGTGTGGAAAGTATGTGTTGTGTTGGAAAACTAATCAAGCCATAGTTACTGGATTCTAATCCCCATCACAGTAGTAATGGTAAGCCACCCTCTCTCCTCGTCTCAAACTCAACCTAACATTTACAGATCCTCACAGGAGTCCTCCGTCATTACGCAACAGTTCTCATGGCCACAACGTCCAAGAAACAAGACCTCCCCGCCATCCGCGAACAACGAGCCCTCCTCCGGGGCATCAACCTCCGTATGAACGCGAACGTCATATCTGCGCCTTCTTTCCAAGCACGCAAAGACTACATGGTGTCTAACTACGAAGCTGGAACTTTCTTGAAGGAGCCAGAAAAGAAGGGGCAGGCTGCTCCTAATCCGATGACGGATCCGGCGGCTATGGAGGGCATGATGGGGATGATGAAGGGGAATATGGCGATGATGGTACCCCAAACGTTGATCATGGGGTGGATTAATGCGTTTTTCAGTGGATTCGTAATTAGTGAGTATATCAGCGTAATTTGGGTGCGAGTTTACTGATTGGTGGTAGTTCGATTACCGTTTCCTTTGACTATTAAGTTCAAGAGTATGTTGCAGGCAGGAGTGGGAACCAAAGACATGGATCCTCAATGGATGTCTTCCATTTCGTGGTATGTGCTGTGTATCTTCGGATTGCAGTCAGTGTTCAATTATCTTCTCGGAAGCGATAATGGTAAGTTCTCCGTCCTGCGACTAAGAACCATTGTTGATGTAGTCTAGCTGCAAGCCAGATGGCACAACAGATGGGTCAAATGGGCCCAGGTGCCGGAGCTTCAATGTTTGGACCTGGTGTCGATCCGTTCAAGCAGTTTCAAGCTGAGTCCGAGAATTTAGCAGTCTTGGCTCATCAGTATACTTTGGAAGGTGTTGAGGACAGACTTTTGCAGACTGTGAAGGTGTAGGTATACAGCTAGCTATATAAAATACAATAGATAAGTGTACAGTACATCAAGCAATAAACTCGAAAGCTAGAAATTGTGCTACTGACCCAGCTCCAAGGCAAATATCGGGATAATGAAAGCTCGTGGCATCTAATGAGCACATAGAGAGCCTGGTTTTCTCGTCATCAAAATTTCAAGGTCATATAATTTATAGATCAGAGAGTACGGCTCCACGTATCTTTGCAAGCAAAAATTCCACCTGCTCTTTAGTAATCACAACTCCACCAGCCCTCAACCGCCAGCCACCTCTCAGACTCCAAAATATGCCTCTCTATTTCCCAAGAGTCTAAGTCCCACTAAACCTGATAGGAATGCCCATACATCTTCGAATGACTACATAGTTCTTCACCAGCCGCAACCCAACAACGACGACTCAGAGCTCCATTCAAGTAAGATTAAACCAAGCAATCTTACAAGCCGCAGCTTTCGATCTAACCTCTCTCGAAGGATCATTCAACGCAACATCAACCTCGGCAATCAACAAGAATTTCCTAGCAATCAGCTTTCCCTTATCAACATGTGCGACTAGCGCTCTTAACACCTCCAACGCCATGACTCTGCACTTTGGCGAATTGTCTTTTGGATATCGGGTCCGTAAAGTCATGCGGTTTATGATGCTATCGAGATGGGACACGATTGTCTTTGGTGCCAGAGGCACAAGGGTATGGATGGTCTGGATGAAAGTTGCTTTTGCCCATTCGTCTGAGACAATGTTTGTTCCTTCTAAAAATGCGGGGAATACGAGGTCGATGTTTTCGACGAGTGTGGAAGCATCGATGTATGCTACTATTCCAGCGAGTGCGACGAGACAATTGGCTTTGGTTTCTGGAGAGGACTCACTCCTCCACATCTCAATAAGTCTTTTGCCAGCCATGTCGAATAGACGGCCTTTACGGAGAGGACGGATTGTGCAGAAGTGTTGCTTATTCAATATTGGTGATGGTGCTAGAAGTAGTCGAAAGCTTTGAGCTACTTTTTGACCGTAGTTTGGCAGCGTAACGCCCGATAGCATGCGCTCGACGAGTTGCGTAGCAGATTCTGCTGAGTAGGCGGCTAAGCTTGCTGCGGAGAAATACGCGAGAGTTCGGTAGATGTTTTCTACTTCTTCGGATATGTAGTTTATCTTCCCACTAGCCTGTCCATCGACTAGATCAAGCATGATCTGTAGGACAGAGATATCACCTGTAGACGGATGTTGGCTAGCGGCTCCAAACTTGTTAACTAGTAATTGTAACAGTGATAGCATGGACACCTTTGCAAGCCTAGATTGGCTAAATTTTTCGTTGCGGCTGATTGAGCCTTTAATCATGGCCGCGGCGACGTCACCAACATGAATCCCAAGAGGCAATTGCTTTTCAGGAGTCAGTAATCAAGATTTTGTGTTGTTTGAAGGACTTACAGATTTATCTTTTGGATTGACCCCGGCCAATAACGCTGTGGTCAGGGAGGCAGCGCGAACCCTATCAAGTGGCCATTTATCAAAATCAAACTGCGAAGCAAAAGAGTCTTTAACAATGGCCAAGTCCTCCTGATTTCGAAACAGCGTTTGTAAAGCTGACGGTGTACCCTCTGGTTGTGATCTATCAAAAGATTGAAGGATGTTCTCGGTCTTCTTGTAGGTCATTTCCGAGCTAGTCTGATCCAGCTCATAAAATTCAGAAGTCATTGATGTGGTGATCATCTGTCCAAGCATATCAACGGTGAAATCATCGAATGGCTGAGAATCGTCGAAACTGTTTTGAAGGCCGATATAAGATCCACTCCCACTGGCTGGCTGTGATACACCAATTATGCGGTCTAGAAAAGGAAATACGATATGTGCATAAGGTCCACGTCTTTCGTCTAGAGGATTCGAAATCCGAGCATCGCAAGGGCTTGTAGGGAGAGAGGAATCAAACAGACCTAAAGCACGACGTGCAGCTGCAATCAGGATGTTGAGATAGGTCAATTGACCTTTTCGCGCCCGAGTCTGGTCAAACTTTTTGATCAGCGCGCTCTGAAGCTCATCGTGGTTTTTCAAAGAAGTGCAGCCTATGAGTCCGAGATTTTCTAAGTACCTCATGGCAAGCTCACTTTCTGGCTTAGGTACATCTGATTGGTCTTCTCCGATGATTTCTTCTGGTAACCGTTTGATAAATTGAGGTAGGGTAGTTTCTTGAAATCCTAATGGGTCAAAGGTTGCAATTTCGCGAATTGCAGACAAGGTCGTCGATTGTAGGTCTGCTGAGGTTGAATCGTCCAGTGTACTCTGATTGAGTATCTGTAAGATAGACCTCTTTTCTTCCTCGAAGAGATTTGGTACGCGGATGAGTAGCACTAGCCCCTGGACCACTGCAGTGGCTAGAGCAGAATCCGTATCAGCATCGCTCTTTACTTCTGATATAGCTCCGAGGTACAAGTCGCTCAGTGGTTCTCGGAACCGTATCATGTCTTGCACCAGGTTATGTTCGTCCTGAGCTCGTGATTGAGGGGTTTGGTGGAACTCAGGGCTCCCCTCTTGATAAGAGTTTTCATAGGTTCGCGCTTCTTCGGCAAGGTCAACTCGTGCTTGTAGAATCGCATTGAATACACTGAAAAGCGACTTCTTTGATACTTTTGCATGATCATCCTGCGCCATGCTGATAATTCCAGGGAGTGTTTGCTTCATAACAAGACGGAGCGCCAGAGATGACGAGGAGCCAATTGCTAGTAGCATACGAGCACTTCCAGCAACATACCGCTGCATGTCTGATAGACGATCAAATATTTCTTTCACGACGCCGTCGATGAAACTCGAGAACTTTGTGCTTTCATCCCAAGACCAGTCCGATCTGCTCAGCGTTGAGAATAGACCATTGAGGATATGTAATGCGTCGGCAATGAACTCATCATTTTCGCCGTTCCATATCTCGAATTTGATAGTGTCCCAAATCTTTGACGACCACTCAAGCAGTGTCTTGATAGAATAAGTGCTCACACAAGCATCAAGTGTCAGTAAGATTTCTTTCTAATGGCCACGTCAGAAATCGTTCGACTATGCATTCGTCCGTAACAACATACCTTCTTATTAGCTCCCTGATCAGCATCAATGTTGCCGAGAAGAGTCTCGAATGCAGCTTTGCCGAAAAAGTCGTTGGCCGTAAAACATTGTCTTAACAGATCTTTCAGCTCTTCTGGTTTAGGCTGATCGTCTTTCTGGCTGGCACCAAGTGTTATAGGGAAGTATCGAATGAAGCAATCCCAGAGTTGTGTATATCCATCGGGCGTCAGGCTCCAGGCTTTGCCTATTTTGGAGTACAATGCAAATAAATCCTTCAAACATATAGCAGACTTCTCCAATTCGCTAAGCTCCACGAGACCACCAACGAAGGAGTCTCCACCCATATCACGAAGGAGTGGTCGCTCATAGTTTTCAACAAGAACCCAGATTATCTTGTAAAATTTCAGCCGAGTAGAAGGGGTAAGATCGATAAAGGTGTTTATTTTGCCTGCAGCGAGGGAGAATATCGATTTTGCAACCACTACTGAGTCGCTGGGTACGAACTTTTTCCATTTTGTCAATATCAAAAGACAATCTGCAATCTGATCGAGTCCGTAGCGGAAATTTGAGACTTCGGACTCATTTTTGAGACGTAAACACAGGTAGGTAACGAGAAGTTGAACTGTTGGTATTAGCATTGCATATATGATTACCACTGTGAGCTCCTACCATCTTGTCTTGTTCGTGGCTCCGCCTTCATGTGGTCTAGTATGAGTGGCAGCAGTGCCATCCCTGAATAGTGTTAGACGATAAACAGAACCGACAGGAAGCCTTTCTCACCTCGACCCACAACGACGAGGTCTTCTTGTTCCGTTCCCACATACGGCTCAAGGTCTTTAATGAGTGTAGGGAAGTCGATGGACCCAGCATCACACGCTAAAGGAGACTTAGTGTCAATTTTCTACGCCATCATAGATGTCTTACACTCTGCTACTTTGGTAACAATGTCCTGTTCTGCTGAATTCCGGTCATCTTTGAGTGAGGGAGCGACCATCCATTCTTGGACTCCAGTATTTGACATGATAGTCCTGTAGGGCACGTGGATTAGCATTCTTATTTTCCACATTTTTGTAGGGCAATTGCAAATCTATGGACTTTGTCGCTCGTATAGATATTTCTGGATCGGTTTTCTCTAGGTACAGCGAAATAAAGGGGCTTTCTTGAATAGCGAGGGACGACGGCTAGTTCTGATTTTCGAAAATAGGGTCCGTCCCTTGTATATAGAGTTTCCAACGAGCCTGTGTCGTCGAGGAAATGGAATCCCTCAAAATGGATACTCGATATCTTGGAGCAATATACCCACAGAGTAAATGCTTTTGAGATAAAAGGAAAATATGCGATTGACCAACAAAAGGAAGCAACGGGTGATAATCCGAGGATCAGACATAGTGCAACGAGTAAGAACCATTAAAACTGAGAACAAAAAGAGTAGAACGAAGTAGAACTATCTAAGATTTGTCCTTTCATCGCACGTTCAAAGTGTCTTCCTCTAACAAAATAGCAACTCACAATACTCATGAAAAAGAGGCGAACCCCCACCACCACAAGTCGGAACCTTCGCAGAAAATGAGCGTGGACGAAAAAAGTATCAAACTATAGAAGTCAGTGCTTGAGCCACGATGAATAGTTTGATGAGAGTTTTTACTCACGGGATATATTCTGAGTCGTTGCCTGGTTAGTATTACACATATGGTGGTTTCTGAGAAGCAATTGATTACCGGAGATGGAAGAGAATCAGAGCTAGGATCGAAGAAATTCTGCCAGTTTAAAAGTGGAGGCAATACCCAAAGAAGAACTTTGCGCTTCGACCATCGGAAATACACCGCCTTTGGTGGGGTTGATATTGGGAGAGAAGCAATGAGGGATGACATCTCGAGACTGATATTCAAGCTTCGTCCTATTTTAGTGATTGTAGACATATCTTTAGGCCTTGGTCAAAATCTCTACATGTTTATTCTACTTTGAATTATTGTTTTCATCCATCAGCACGCAATACGAAACCTTTTGCCCCACATGCGGGGTCCTTTCTTAACGAAGCTTATCGGCATCCTTATCGGCGGGATGTTATAATTTTTTTCTCCAGACTGACTTGCTCTCTTTGGGTGTGACATACACCACCGAGCCTTCGAAATCCTGTTACAAGGCATCTCGTAAAACTCTTGATCATGGCGGCTCCAACTCCGGCGAATCATTGCAAAGTCGTGCTCGCTGGCTCGATAGCAAAAGCTCTGCTGGCAGAGGTTGCAGAGGGGTTGTCGAAACTCAATGAGAAACCAAAATTGGTTGGACTACTTGCCAACGGGGATCCTGCTGGTCAGATGTACGCAGATTGGTCGGCGAAAACGTGTCGAGAAAAGTGAGTAAATATATTTCTTCTATTTTACTCTGCTTTTTGAACAGGTGACTTCGCGCAACAACTACACGTTTGCAAACGCCAAGCAACAAAGGACGCGGAAGCTATCAGGATCACCAGAAATTCCTAAGTTGGTATGATTAAATCGGTAAGCATGGACGGACATTGAACCGTTTCTAAATATAAATCACAATGGCGTTTCTAGATCTTTATTTACGTTAAGTGTGCGGTTTTGAGCAGCTCCTAATATGCACCGGATCCTGGGCTACACTTTCGACTGAATACATCACGCTTTGGGCCCGAAATTTATTACTTTCCCACTAATCTAGACTTGCGTTCAAGCGTCCTTCTCATTTCACAAACTCAAGCAATAGCTAATAAAGATAACAGTGGCTTCGATTTCGACCTAAAAGTCATTACCAAAGAAGAAATAGAAGAAGCAATCCTAGCCGCCAACGCCGACCCAACCATCAACGGCATAATAGTCTACTACCCCATCTACTCCTCAGGCCAAGACTCCTACATTAAAGAACTCGTCGACCTCACCAAAGACGTCGAAGGCCTAACCCACAAATACGTCTTCAACATGTACCAAAACACGCGCTTCCTCGACCCGCCAACCAACAACCAAAAGTCTATCCTCCCCTGCACCCCTCTCGCCTGCGTCAAAGTCCTAGAGTACCTACAAATCTACAACTCTATCCTCCCCTACGGCAACCGTCTCTTCGGTAAAACCATTACCGTTATAAACCGTAGCGAAGTAGTCGGTCGACCACTCGCTGCCCTCCTCGCTAACGACGGCGCAAAAGTCTATTCCGTCGACCTAGACGGCATTCAAATCTTCACTCGCGGCGCCGGGATCAAGAAGAAACATCACGAAGTCGAAGAACTACCAAAGACATTCTCGCTTGCCGATTGTCTACCATTAAGCGACGTAGTTATCTCCGGCGTTCCAGGTCCAAAGTACAAAGTCGATTCTTCGCTTCTCCGAGACGGGTGCGTGTGCATTAATTTCAGCAGCGAGAAGAACTTTGATGGCCCGGCTATTAAGGAGAAGGCTAGTATCTATGTGCCGGCCATTGGGAAGGTGACTATTGCGGTGTTGTTGAGGAATTTGTTGAGGTTGGTGCAGAATCAGAAGGCTGTTGCTGCGAGTGCGGTGGGTGGTTCTGTGGAGGGATAGGAGTGTAGTTGATGGATAAAAATAAATCGTTAAACGATTTTTGGAGGCAACTAAAATTAGATCGTGATGGGTTGTTGGGATGCGCATAACTGGTAGACAAAAGGAATAGAGAATATACCCACTTCATAGACTTTTTCCATACTCTACTTTGATCTACCATTCATATTTCCCTTTTCGCTAGAGGAGTCGCATCCGCCCGCTCTATTGAAAAAATCGAAGTTCCAGGGCTCTTATTTGTCAACTCGTATAATGTTGTTGGTTCTTAGGCATCCATTAAGACTATGACGAAACCAAAGGAAGTGTGCTAGCCTATAACGGGATAGCAGGTAGTAAGAAGAAGGTGAGACTTGCCAGTCGCATTTTGGGAGCAGAATTTCGATTTCGCTAGTGGGTATGAAGAAGATGTTGCTGAATCCGAACAATTAAAAATAATGCTTCAGTTGGCTCTTTTAAAAGAAATTGTATGGAACATCTCGTCTGTACGGGTTTAGATCAACGACTCTACCCCTAGCCGCTCAATAATACTATTCATATGAGCAAATGACATCCTTCACTCAATTGAGCTTCCAAGAACGAACTCCTGTTTCAGTCCCTGATATCAAACACCACCAACTGCCTCCAGCCAAGAGTATAAATCCAATTCCTAACCACCACTATTGCGCCCGCCCCGTATCCTCAACTCCTTCGACTATCCTTATCACCAAAGGTAAAAGTCCCACCATCAACACTATTCCCATACCGATCAACCTTCGGCTTATTCCCCAATGCTTCTTGTTCGCGGTCGTATTTTGCGCTTGGATGTTCACCCACTGAGGAAAGTAAAGACTTTGTTTTCTGGAAGAGCTTTTGGGATTTTGAAGTTGATTCGTTTTGGGATGTGAGGATGTCTGATGTAGATTTCTCTTTATTGGAGGATAGAAGCGGCTTTGAGGAGGAGTTTGAAGCAACGGAGAAGATTGAGGGGGTAGAGTCTTTTTTGGGTGGTGGAGACATGGTGATTTTAGCACTCGATAGAGTATGAAGGAGAGAAATGGAGACTGGAGTGGTGTATGTGGAATTGTGAGTTGCTTACAAAAAAGCAATTGCTTGGCTAAATGTATAGATATATATACTCCTGAGGATAACTTCCACATTCCAGGCTGCAGGTAAGGACTTAGGATGGAAGAGGACTTTACACTTGTAAAGATCCATCGGCCAATCACGGAGAATAACGACTACCGGATTTAAACACAGATCACTCATTCTCACTCATGGCTTGCGTAATTGGAAGTGACACTTGCGAACAAGCATTGTTTGATGCCGCTTCTGTTCGTGGCTGCCTTCGCCGCATGGAAGCTCATAACCTTGAAATACGTTATGCATGTATCTCTTCTCGCCCGATGACTCAAGCGCCGCAGTGAGCGGGGATGTTTACGAGCTTCCAACAAAGACGCCAACGCGCACTTGCGAATTGCCTTGTCTTTGGAAGACTGCGAGAGAAAATCGGCGCGTTGCTCTGCAACAATAGGTCGAGCAGATGAGATACTTCTGATATGCAACTAAGAGACATGATATTCCGCGACATTCAAGTTCTTAGTGGAGCGCTAATTGGCATTGATAATTTGTTTGGGTAGAAGTCGAATTGAGGCTTCTCATTAGTCGAAACAATCTTTTGTTCTCACCGACTTGAGGTGTCTAATCGTCGAATCAAGTGGCCTTGTCAGGACGTCAAACGTGCAAAATTGGGATATTGAGGCGGAGGCCAGGATCTTGAGTTTTCTCGCTAGAACCTCGAACCTCTGCAAGGACACTGTTGTTGCAGATATGGCGGAAAACTTCTGCGGTTATCATGGTCGTACTCAGAATCGTTCATTGATCATTGATTATTTTTGAGTAGTATGCACAAGCTACGGTGGATGCAACCATGTGTAGCCTGCGACAGGAGAATCGTCTCGGGGTTCTGGAAGTCCCCTACAAGATAGAGTATTTGAAATTTTGATCGCTGGCCTCCCTAATAGTATAGCACGGCCACTGGGTCAGAAGTAAGGTCCGGTCAAGGTAGAAGGATGAAGTACGCACGCGTACGCATTGCGGACAAGCGATATCCTCAAGTTATTGAGCGGGACTGCAGATCAGGAAACAATCAGGCCTCTGACTCGATAAGAAAAGCGAACTGCAACAAATGAAGCGAACGACCGAAAGCGGAAGGTGCAACAATCAATGTGACAAAAACTAACAGGAGGGGAGAAGAGTCCTTGACTGGCCTGACTTGTCACTCAGGCTGTCCTTCTAGCCAGTCCTAGCGACTCATAGGAGCAAACTATGGAGTTGATGGTTAGGAAGATGAAAGGCCGGTAGTACAGGACTCTTTTTCTGCATTGGAAGACTATTCCTGCGTTCTAATTTCCATTCGCTTGAAGCTGTCAATCGAGCTGATATAGCTGTAACCATTCGCGTGCCATTGGAGAACGTTGAACATTTCGGTGATTTGCAAACGAAAGATGTCTTTCCCCTTCTCTGTTCGTCAACAACAGTTGAGCTCGGTTAATGAGAAGGCGGCGTCGCTTCCAGGCCAAAATAGGCATGCTGCTCTATCGAAATGTCCCAAACGATCCAAGTAAATATCACATGATCTAATCTAATCTTTCCTTTTAAGGTTACCAGTACTTATCTTGACGACGGGAGTCGACGCCTTTATCATTTGGTACTTGTTGCTTAATTTTCGCTGAAAGATCTCAACTGAACACGATCCCACAATTCAAACACGATGGTTTTCTCATCCCTAACAGGAGAAGGATTGACATGCCTTCCTAATTCGTTTATCCGCATTTCAAGATATTTCAGGGAATCAGGTTGAATTGCAGACTGATAGCATGACTCGGCGCCATCGATATTAATTTACCCACTCTATAGGAGACGTTGCTGGTCTATAAGAGTGGGTGAAAGGGTATACAAGATGGAGTCTGTATATCCCGAGCCTTGCTTTGCTGCTTGGCTGTTAAACCATAGCTACCGTCTGATCAAGCTTCGCCAAGAAACTGCAACGCAGAGATGCAGGTACTAAAGAGTTTGAAACGCGTTTTAGTGCTGGCCACGGTATTTAGCGAAGTAGTTTACGCTTCAGCATTGGAAGTGATTCAAGCTCAAGTCCCGCCGAGGAAATCCTTCGACGGTGCAAGTTGCAAGCAAACAATTGTAAAACATGTTTTTGCAAATAGTTACGGGGCTCCATATGTTGGTGAGTTATTCTCCAAAAGCAAGAAATAATGATGCTAATTTATTGGAGGCTTCTACAACCCACCGATAAATTGCTCCTTCACAACAACGATATTTAATCTCTCAGTGACTTCGAGTGGTCGCCAATATGACCGTCTCGCCCTTCTCTTCCTTGGAGATGTTGAGGTCTGGCGAACCTCAACAGCTATGCCTGGTGGCTACGAAATCTTTTACTCATACCAGAAGGATATGACAGTATTTGATACGCTTCTCCGGAAAGAGCAGAAGCTTATATTCGATCTAAGTAACGTTTTCTCGGAGCTGTATACTGGAGCTTTTAACGTGACTCTCGAAGCTCTTTACTACAACGACATGTATAAGTCAGCACTCAGTCCTCCGAGTAGTATATTCCCCATCTCTACGAAAGCCTCTTCACAAAATACATCATCTGTAATGTCTCTCCCGGACGGCAATGGCACGGTCTCGATCAAACTGCCTCGAAACATCAAGACCGCAACTGTGTCGATACTCGCCTCAGGAAATGGCCAAGAAGAGTTTTGGTTCACAAATGTTCCATCTGAATATTTGTACACATTTCCAGAGAATCCTGGATGGTTGTTTGGTTACAGTCCTTTTCGAGAGGTACAACTCTTGATAGACGGAAAGCTCGCGGGTGTTTCCTGGCCATTTCCTCTTTTGTTCACAGGCGGTGTCGATCCCGGGCTTTGGCGACCTATTGCTGGTATTGATTCATATGACTTGCAGCCCTTTGACATAGATATTTCTCCCGTAAGTTTTTCTGCCTCTTCTGCCATATGAGGAGGCTCTGACCTGATTTTAGTGGCTACCACTTCTATGCGACGGTCAAGCACACAACTTTCAAATCAAGGTCGTAGGCTTCGATTCCTCTATAAATGGAAGCATCGGCACTGTTGGTTCGAATTGGTGGGTGACTGGAGCTGTATATGTGTGGCTTGATGAGCATAGCAATGTGACGACTGGCTCGGTATGAAATTCTGATTGGGTGATGGTCAATTCCATTGCTGACTCTAGCAGAAAATACTAAGTAAGATCGGCCATACCTCTTTTAATTACAGACCTTTTGTGTCGACAGTGGAAGCAAATAATGCAACTAAAAACAGCTCTTTCTATTTCTCGCTGGCAGCCCATCGTCAGCTTACCATATCTTCGACGATTCGTACTTCATCTGGTCTTCGGAATGCCACATGGTCACAGAACCTGTCTTTCAGCAACATCCAGAATATGACCGATCTAGCCTTCAACCAATCTCTGGCCATGGTCACCACTGGCACAAATTATGATTCGATATCTGGCATTCAGACGACATACAAGTACCCGCTCAATCTCTACAGCTCTTACATAATTGCAGAAACTAAGGCTACTTTGTCTTCAGTACTCGCTCTTGTTGACAGAAGTCTGATTACAACAGGTGTCAACATTTTATTGTACCTTACGGGTACAAGAACTGGACCAGAAAGTCTGCGTACAAGACAAAGCGCCATAAGTCAATACTCGTGGAACGCCACAATTGTTGAGGGTATGCTCACGGACACAAGTTCACTTGAACAATGGTTCTCATACGCAGGACACTCGGGCTTAAAAGCGGGTGGGGTTGAGCAGTTCGGAAGATACCTGAAGGAGTCCGACGATTTCACCACCGAAGACAATGAATGTTGGTCCGTGATAGAGGTTCCCGGAACAATTCCGCTACCTCCTGTGGACGGCATGCCTCACGTTTAGATGATGGGAGAAGATTCGTAGGCTTCACTAGCTCGCGGAGGACAAAGCAAGTGTCAGTCACCTGCCCACTAATCTTTAGATTAAATAACGACTTCGAACAGAGCTTAAAAGGTATTATTTACTTAAAACAATTGACAGAATATACTACATTGTTCTAAATCAATCCACTAAATATACGATATTTCGTCAACTTAATCGAAGAAATATTGTGTTTCGACAGCCACTTATTTTGTCCACCGCGAGAGCAAAACTCCAGGAAAGGCCCGTGGGCAAATATGCATATTTGAAAGATGGCGGATAGACCATGGGATTCACAAACCACTGTCCAACGCGCTCGGGGAATGTGATCTGAATCTTGATCTCCTGATATATTTGCAGGGGCTAGGTTCACCATCGTGGCGTCAAACTAGGTGTGCTTGAGATTTTGCCCGAATTTGTCATACCAAAATGCTATTTTCATTCTATTCCAGGTGAATATGATTCCATCATGGGCGAATCACTATAGTGAGTATTTATTCATGATCTTTTCTATTGTCTGCTTTCTATATAAACCGGCACTCTTTCGTTCTTCTTTCTTCTTTCCCCCAATCCAAACTTTATACGACCACGAGGCAGATCTCATCCCTCGCCTTCAACAGTAGCATCCTACCTTGTTATCACTGGCGATCTAAACCATCACTACAGTACTGTATACATCTTACTTCATATCATGAAGTTCCTTCAGCGGGCCGTCGCCTGCATCTGCTTAGCCTCGCAGGTCGTTCTTGGCCAAGGATACTTTCTGGAGCGGATCAAGCATCAGGGTCTCGCTCCTTTCAATCCTGGTGGAGCAGGATACAATGTGTTCATAAACGTCAAGAGATTCGGTGCTAAAGGTATGTCATTTACACTTGCAATGATTCGGAGTCCGATCACTAACCTTTCTTCTTTAGGTGATGGCGTTACCGATGATACTGTAGCTATTAATGCGGCTATTCGACAAGGTGCACGCTGTGTTGCAGGTCCTGCTAACAATGGTGGATGTGCCTCTAGCACCACCAGTCCTGCGATTGTCTATTTCCCTGCTGGTACCTATGTAAGTCTATCGTCGTCGAAGATCCTCTAGCTCGCGAAAATTCGATACTAATCTCACATGTTCGACGTTAGATCATATCCTCCCCAATCATCCCATACTACATGACAAATCTTCACGGAGACCCAAGTAACCTCGCTGTTATTAAGGCTTCACCTAATTTTAAGGGAGCTGCTCTTGTTGATGCCGATCCTTATGACTCGGAGGTTCAAGACTATGGCTCGACCAACGTCTTCTACCGACAAGTTCGAAACCTTATTATCGACACCACTAGCATTCCAGCAAACCAGGGTGCTACTGGGTTGCACTGGCCGACCGCTCAAGCCACTAGTTTACAAAATGTTGTATTCAAAATGGCTGAAGGTGCTGCCAGCCAGCATACCGGCGTGTTTATCGAGAACGGTATGTTGTATAATCTTAAACCTTCAGCAAAAAAGCTAATCTTGTGTAGGATCTGGTGGCTTCATGACTGACCTCGTCTTCTATGGCGGTAAAACCGGTATGACTGTCGGTTCTCAGCAATTCACTACCCGAAATTTGACATTCTTCAAGTGAGTAGTACCATACCTTCTCTCACCAATACTTTATTCTGACAAAAGCTAGTTCACAAACTGCGATCTTTCAAATCTGGGACTGGAGTTGGACATACATGGGTAAGTGAGAAAGAATAATACTATCCCCTCAGCTGCGGTGGAAATATCACCTCCGTGCACGGCTAAACGAACCAATGAAATGAGGATTTTCATTGTAGGCTCGCAGAGGACAAAATAAGTCGCACTCACCTACCCGCAAATCTGAGACTAAATACAAGTCTACTCCGAATGGACCTTAGAAATTTATATTTACTTACAATAGTTAACGAAATAGTTATAATGTTCTAAGTTAATCCACTAAATTACGATATTCCGTCAACTTATTCGAAGAACTATTCTAGTTCGACTGCCACTTATTTTGTCCTCTGTGAGGTAGGTGAAATGTCTGGTCCGTTTAATTTGGCGGTCACGTGGTGATATTTCCATTGCAGCTGAGGGGATAAACTATAATAAATACTAACAAAAAAAAGGCCTCTCCATCAACAATTGTGGAATAGGTCTAGATTTATCGACCGGAGGATCTCAAAACCAAGCAGTAGGATCTGTTGTCGTCATAGACAGCCATATTTCGAATACTCCCATCGCATTTAAGCACGCTCGTACCGCCGATTCATCCCCCAAAACCGGAGGAAGTCTGGTTCTTGAGAATGTTCTTCTCACCAACGTCGCAGTTGCCGTCCAACAGCCTACTGCTCAACTTGATGGAAACCAACTGATCACCAGTTTTGTATCTGGTCATGCTTATGATAGCAAGGGACCTGCTATCTTGCCAAATCCTACACGTCCTTATAATCGACCAGGCTCGCTTCTTCATGGCGCTGGAAATTATTACACACGATCCAAACCTCAGTATGATACAGTGCCAACCCTCCAATTCGTTAGTGTCCGTGATGCTGGCGCCAAAGGTGATGCAGTTACCGATGACTCTGCTGTTCTTCAATCGGTCATCGATTCAGCCACAGCAGCCGGAAAGATTGTGTTCTTTGATAATGGTATGTACAAAGTCACAAAGACCATCAAGATCCCAGCTGGGGCAAAGATCGTCGGAGAAGCATATCCTGTCATCTTGGCTTCAGGTGCCTTCTTCCAAAATATGCAGGCCCCAGTTCCTGTCGTTCAAGTCGGTGCAGCTGGGGAGAGCGGACATGTCGAATGGTCTGATATGGTTATCTCATCACAAGGCCCATGTGCTGGCGCGATTCTTATTCAATGGAATCTCTCATCTCCTCCTAATGCTCCATCTGGCATGTGGGATGTTCACACTCGTATTGGGGGGTTTGCGGGGAGCCAGCTTTCGATCACAGACTGTCCTGTTGATGCTCCTCAACCACAGCAGAAATGCATTGCTGCATTTCAAAGCATGGAAATCACGCCCTCGGCCAGTGGCCTCTATATGGAAAATGTCTGGTTGTGGTCTGCGGATCATGATATCGAGGAGGTTAAGAACCGCCAGATCACGGTTTACTCTGGACGTGGCCTCTCAATTTCGAGTACTGTTGGAAACATCTGGCTGTAAGTTGTCCTATCATCACAATTTTCACTTCATCTGACATATCACAGGATCGGAACATCTGTGGAACATCACGTGTTCTACCAATACCAACTCACCAACACCCAAAACATCTTCATGGGATTCATCCAAACCGAATCTCCATACTACCAACCCGTTTCCTTCGCACCTACTCCATTCACCACCATCGCCGAGCAAAACGATCCAGACTTCGGCGTCTACTGCAAAGACAAAGATGTCACTTGCAATGAGGCATGGGGTGCTCGTATCGTGAACTCGAAGAACATCATGATCTACGGAGCTGGATTCTACCAATTCTTCAACAACTACCGTACTAGTAAGTTCCCAACCTCGTCTCAATCAAAGCGTCATACTAAGAATCCCTCAGAATGCACTGAACACTCCGGCAACGGCGTCTACTCCGCAAACTGCCAGACGCAGATCTTCGGAATCGACACTGGCGGTCCCACACCTACCAGCGGTAGCAGCGTCTACGTCTACGCTCTCAACACCGTCGGTGTGGTTAGCATGATCGAGTTCCAGGGTAACAGCATCGCCAAACAAGAAGACAATACTAATGGCTATGCTGAGACGATTATCATGTTCAGCACATAATGTTTTCGTGGAATACTGCGATCAGGATCTTCTGGATAAGGAATACCGAAAATTAGAGATATTAGACTCAATGGGTATTATAGTCTTGGGATATTTGAAGGCGTGAGTGGAGTAGAAGGCTCTGAGCTTGGTCTTGAGCTGATTCGTTGGGGATGCTGAATGCTAAGTGAATGTATTCATTTTTTCAAACGGGATTGTGGCGCGGTGCGCGATTGGGGGAGTTGTATGCGATTACTTTTAGGAAAGGTATATCTGAACGCGAGAATTATATTCCACTCCACTCTATATTTATACTTCTATTGTTTGGTCCTCGTGAGGCGTGCACAATCATAGATCTACACTTATTGATGTTAGTTGCTAGCTTGGTAGCAAACCGCTTAGTATATCTAACATTCATAACAGAATCTACACGTAACTCTTCCAACCTCGTAATGGACAAGATAAATGGTAAAACCACCTTACTATACTGCTAGCTTAAACTTGAACTTTATCTTAAATAGAATTAAAGAAGATTATATTTACTCAAAATAGTTGACGAAAAATCTTAATTGCCTTAACTACTCTAAGTAAATCGTGCTTCGGCTACTACTTATGTTGTCTACCGAGAGACATTTATCCCCTACCTACTAAAGCCAGACTATAGATACCGACGAAGTGGTACCATTACCACCGCAGACAATACATTTCAGCCAGTACAAGTTATGCAGCTGGCTCGGGATATCCTCCTGATACCAGCAATTCCACGGACTACAAACTTGATGACAACACAGTCAGTCACCTATCCACTAATCTTAGACTAAATGTGTCGACTTCGAGTAAAGCTTAAGAAATATCATTTACTCGAAACAATTGACGGAATATGTGATATTGTTCCAGGTTAATCCACTAAATATGTGATAATGTTTCAGGTTAATCCACTAAATAACGATATTGCGTCAACGTAATGGAAGAAATGTTATGTTTCGACTACCACTTATTTTGTCCCCCGCGAGGTTGGCATCTAAGCAGCAAACCGCTCGGCATATCCAACACTCATAACAAAATCCACGCATAACTCTTGCCAACCCACAATATCATAAAATCTCACAATCTATACGTAAATTCATAATCCAGGAATCATCCCTTCCACCCCATTGAGGCTTACCGGCTCCACAAAAAATCAACCAACAAGCGAATCACAGGCCTGCATCCGGGTCTCCGCCCTCCATCCGCCAACGTCTGGCCGCAACGTCACGAAACATCGCCAGCGTCTACACAACCCGAAATGTAGAGTACATAAAACAAGGCCATTTTCGTGAGCGCTTGCTGAAGACAACGTCGGCGGTAAGGTATCACGTTCATTTATTTTGTTTATCGAGATTCGGAAGAGATCTGGTGTTGAGAAGCAGAATCATCGACTTCTGCTAAGGAATCCATGAAGTTGGTATCCATCTCACAATGAGCGTCAAAATCTCACTGCGCAACCTCGTCATCCTAAATCCGGCTCCATCATCCCGCTCGAAAATCCATGAAAATAGCCTTCCGCCCCTGCAAGAATCAAAGCTTATCTCACGACCAACGGCCGGATGTTGGGATGTGGCTGAGACGGGAAGGGGACGCGGTTATTATGTACGCAGTACATCCAGATGTATATAATACAAGATCGCCTTGCGAGAAGGAATTTCTGGAAGGTTTTGTTCTCGGAAATGCTGATCTTCTAGCGATTCGTTCTATGAATTTCCGTGGGTTCTATGAACATGTACACTCGTTAAGTTTTTGGAATGTATTTTTTTGAGGCGTGGATATGGATCGTTTTGTGGTTGGGAATTGTGGGCGCGCAAGGTATGTTGTCTAATTAATAAGTGTGGGAGAAACTTTGGAAGTCTAACTTGAAGTAGGGAATGTTAAAAGCGTCTCGAAAGAACTGCCGGAATTCTCGCTTTTCTCGCAGAATGGAAGTGTGACGACGACGAGTGTACGGGGTCAGGTACGGATGAGTACTACGTCTTCGAGTACTACATCTCCGGAACCTTCGAAGGCGGCGGAGATTCAGATTGCGCAGCCTGGTGGACTTGTCGATTCTACTCGAAGTGAGACAGGGCAGCGACAGAATGTGACGAGTACGTCGAGTTCGAGGACCACGCAACGGGTTCCTGGGGCTTCTGATGGACCGGTTCGACAAACTCAAGAAATTCAGCCTGTTCCTCCTACAAATACACCGGCGATAAGCTCGAGTTCATCAACTTCCACTTCTTTGGTACCTGTCATTATACCACCTACACCCTCACCAGTTTCTATTCCGACCAATACACCGCCATTATCAAGAACAATCCGAACCTCACTCGTACCATCCAAAAGCACATCAACAACCTCATCTATCCCCTTTTTCACCCTCCCCTCCATAACAATCCAAACCTTTACCAACTCAGACACAACCATCCTACGCACCTCTACCGCAGTAAAACCAACATTAACAACCCATTTCTTCACCAATCCATCAACAACTCTCTTCCAGATCGAGACTGTACCATCAAAACCGTCGGCATCAACACAAAGCACGTCGAGCTCTATAACCAGCCGTCCTCCGATACAAGGAAACGTCACGCTTCCACCTCCACCTCCTCGCCCTGCGACAACGGCATCTCTTCCACCCTCCCCAATTCTGAATACCACAACCACCACCCCATCACCAACTCTCCTCCCAACAACATCCACCACCTCACCAATCCTCGTACCCTCACCCTCCCTAAACCTCACCCTCATAACAACAATAACATTCGTCCTCCCCACGCAATCCAGCACCCTCTCTATCGTCCCCACAACCGGTCCGCCCCTCTCATCCACCACCACCAACGATTTCCAATCCACATTCGTGTTAAGTGGCATCACGTTGATCCCAGCTGCCACGGGTGTGCCTGGAGGAAATAGCAGTGCTACACCGAATTTAGCGGGGCGGACAGTAGATGGAGGGATGAAGAATGGAATGAAATTCTGGGTAGGCTGTGTCGTTGGGATATGGATCATGATGATGTAAATTGTAAAAATCGCAATTTTCTGGGAAAGGAGTAAATGGATTAAGCGCTAGGCATTTACAAAAGATACCCCTCTGAATAACTGGGCATGACATGGCGTTGAAATTGGGGACTTATGCGTTTCTTGTACATAACAAAATCAAAGATAGAAAAAGGTTAATAGATCAAATTCTCAGACTACACTTTCTTCACTTCATACATCCCAGAAAGGATTCTCGTAATATCTCAGGTACTGTCGATAACTTGCCTCATTGTATGCACGACACAGTCACAGTACTCATGCTCTTCACCAATTGCTCAACTCGAACCGTTTCATTTGTAAGATGAAATCTCGGTTCTTCTGTCGCAACAATTGATCTGTTAACCACTAAGCTCATCGATCTAAAGACAGCAAAAAGCAACGCATAATCAATAAAATTACAAGAATCCCTCATCCCCTTCGCCTTCCCCCACCCGAATGAAAAGCCAATAAAAACACAACAAAAAGTGTCAACCTCAATAAACTCAACGCCAGAACCCCAAATAATCTTACAATACACATGACATCCAAGCCCCTCCCCCGGCCGACACCTCTTTGTCAAGTTATTGCCTCAAACTTCCATCGGCTTGACTCGCTCTCTACCAGTACCTTTCCACCGGTTTTGGCGGTGAAGTTTGAGTGGGAGGAGGAGACCGACGGATACCATTTTCGTTGTAGTACCCTACATGATCCATCTGCTTAAGCATTTGGCAAGCTGGGATAGAAAGATCAGGCAAAACGTCAGCAAACGTTTCTGGAGTCCATCCAGCTTCCTCCCCAAGCTCTAACTTCTTGTTCTGTACAAGTAACTCGTTGCCCCGGACGCTTTCAATCGAAGCTGTAAACCACCTATAGTTGAAACCGGAACCAGGACCGTTATAGTATGTCGCGCGGATGATACGCACATCAGGCTTGCCGGGTGGTGAACAGATATTGGTTATAAATGCAAGTACTTCCGAGATCGAAAGAACAGATCTGTTGTTACTACTTCGATGGAGGTTCACTTTGTGAAGGTAAATTTCTTGCAAAGTATACTTTTCTTCCAAATCTCTATCAATCTCAGCGTATAGTTTCGGAGATTCTTGGTTCGATCTGTAGAATTGTTAGTCTCCACGATATTTCTTCGATCAGGTTGACGAAATAACTCCATTTCGTCAATGTCTTTCAGGAAGTATGGTCATGTAAATTACCTCACATAACCTGGGTAAACTTACGGAATGTGTAGAGTTTTCTGTAGCTTGGTTGCTAGGTCTCCATACCTATCCTCCTCCTTAGTACCCGTAAGTGATATTTGGAAGTCCCAAACGCGTTTCGTTCCGTGGACATTTAATTGCCCAAAACTTTGCTGTGATGTAGAACGTGTTGTAAATTTCTCCGCATCGATTTCGATGACAAAAGGCAAACGTGTCGCTGCCTCAATAAATGTAAAGGTGTAGAATATGCGCCATTCTGAATCATTCTTCCAAAGGGATCTGCCGTCTTCTTTTAACTGAAGGAGCCCGTCAATATCAGCAGGGACTGTCGTTAAGGTATTAGTAAATGAGGTAGTAGGCCGACGAGCCCCAGGATATGTTGGGTTGAGAATTCGCTGTAAATCTCCCTCTGGTTTAGAGAAATCCTTGTTCTCCTTTTCAGCGATATGTAAACCCTTGATACCCCGAAGCAGAATTCGTCCAAACCGAGCTTGGAGCTTAACATCGCCTCTGAAACCTCTGGCACCTGTCAAGAGCTCCATAAAATTGCTATTTAATTCCTTGGAAAATGCTGGCAAGGGGTCAATATGATCAGACTGTGGTCTCGACAAAGGTAGATTGTCGGGAAGTTCTAGTCGATTGGCAAATAAAGAGCGCTCCTTTTTTGGCTTCGGCTTTTTCTGCTGCATAGTTTGGTGAAAAACCCTGGTTTGAATCTCACTTGATGACTGTAGTCTATCATTTCCACTGGGGGGCGACGTAAATGCCATTAGCTCGGCATCTATGCCACCCAACATCGGGACATCATCGTCAAGTAAGTTTGGTGGCGTTTCTGGACGTTGCTTTGTCAATTGCTTTGGCTCCAATTTCTCGGGCTCCAATTGTTTTGGCTTCACATCGACCTCAAGCTTGGAGCTAACTAATGTGGGCCACTGGTCAGGTTCCAGTGAGACTTTTTGAGCGTTTGCGTTTCGCAATTTTTGTGCAAATGTGGGGTTTGTGCCAGCTGGGGCCCCCATGGGTACCGACACACCAGATGGCCGTTGTTGTTGTTGTTGTTGTTGTTGTTGATGAGGCTGTTGTTGAGGTTGGACCATGGGCAATCTGCGATTGAGGCCAGACACTAGTTGTACTGGCGTTTGACGATCGAAAGCTCGTCCCGGGACATTGTCGAAGTTCGGCTTGTCAGATCCCATACAGATGTCCCAAGATTCTCGTTGAGCTAAGGAAAAATTAAGCTGGATGAAGGAGATATATTTGGTGAACATACCTTTGTTTGCCATCGGCTGCGTAATTAGCCTATGCGCACCCTCCTTTTGTGCTTTCTTTTTCCAATTTTCAATTGTCTTGACTTTAGTCGAGTCTACGAACTCAACCTGTTCAACTTTTGTAGTAGGCGGTACTTTGTTTCCTCTTTGAAGTGCTGCAATAGCACGTTCGATGTCCTCGAAATGTCTCAAGGAATTAGGTGACTCTTTCGAAGCACAAGAGAAACCCTCCCAGCAAATTCGTGTCTCACCGAAGTTCGGTTCCTTGTTCACAATAGTGACTTTATTCTTGACAGCAGCAAAGCTTCCTTGCTCGGAGTTATGAATAGCACACCTTACAGTGATGAATTTCTCGAGATTGTGTTCAGAGTTGTGTATATCGTACAACTTATCGAGATCATCAATAAGGGTCGTCTCGAACATACGCTTTTTTGCTATCTTCACATCATACAAGTGTTTGAGCGAAAGTTCATAATTGCCGGTGTCCTCGGTGTAGAAGCTGTGCGAGATGTATTGAGATGGTAGCTGGGGGAGCATTAGATCGGCAGGCACTTAAATTCAGAGTACTCAACTTACAGCGTATTTGGCCAAGTTATCGAGTTTCAAGATTGCTAGATGGATGCTTTCTTCTGAAGTAGAGCCGACGTAGACAACGTTCTCATTGAGCGATTTGACTATAACGCAGCTAGTGATGCTAATTAACTGTTTCAAAGTCTTGTTGGGCAATACAATATTCAGATCGAGCTCACATCGCCAAACGTACTTTTCATTCATGGACAGAATTTCGATCGGGTATTGATGTTTCGAGAAAGAAGCAGTGTCGTCATCGTGATTAGTGGCTTGGTTGTAGCGCTCCAAATATTCTGGAAGGCGTTGAATCTTAGAACTGACCATCTACAACTTATTAGCTTAGGAATAAGACAATCGAGAAGGGAACGGACAGGTTTGTTATCGCCGTTCTCGGCAACGTATTCGTCAGAGAATTCACTTGCATCAATACTCGGTTCATCATCCGAATCGCTTTCAGAATCGCTCTCGCTGGTGTGATTTTGTCTCTGGTTTTGTTGACCATAGATACCGTTCTTCTCCTCTTCCTCCCGGATGAGACCTTGGAGGGCCTGCATGAAAAGCTGCGGGACGACTTTTGAGTGAACAGGTGGGCAACTGAGTAAGAAGCATTGCTTTCCTGGACGCCATTGACAGCTCGCTGTAGGGATCTATAACAAGATTAGCCATGGTGGACCGTATTGATCTGTGGATGTTTTGTTGGCTGTCTGGAGAACACAAAGACGAATCGAGGGGCTCGACACACTTCATTGCCGATCCATCAATCTCTACTTTCTCAAAGGTTATGTACAGTCAAATTCCTTAATGGCAAAATGAACAAGGGCATATGCAATACGCCCCCAAGACGAAATCCAAACACAAGAGGTGAGCTAGGCATAAATCAAACGCAACGTTGCTTGCAAACAACACGAAAACCCGGACACTTACGACTTGCTGTTCTTGCTCATGGCAGAGCTTCTCGAACCTGGCTTCTACATCAATGACTCCTTCATTGTGTATCCACCAGTCGGATGCAATGATAATCTTGCGATTACGATTTCGAAGGTGAGAGGAAGTTTGAGAGGTCCCGGCAACTTCAATTGTTGGGGCGGTATGACTCTGCGGGGTCAGAGATCGAGAACTCTTTGGACTTAGAGATCGTGAGCTCTGTGCAGGTGGAGATTGTGACATGTTGGACCATGTAATCTGGAGTCGAATTGAGAGTTGAGGAGAAAACGTGAATCCAAGGCGGAAACACCAATATGGCGTGGTGTTGTTGTAACGATTGATGGATGTGTATTGTGGGTGTTGGTAAACAAAACGGATGGAGGAAAGTGTTGGTGAACCTCAAGCGTGTGGTTCGAGGAGTAGTTGCGACGAGGAAGGTGCGATTTGCCCCACTTAAATTTGATGGAGGGGGACAATGGTCGCGTAGAATACCTTAGGTACCTCTGGTAGGTAGTGTCTGTAAGCGGCTAGGTGTTGAGACTATACTGTTATGTCTTCTGAGTAGAGCACAATGTTAAGAAGGGCATCGAGCCACAATTAACAATGCTTATTGATTCCAATATGAGCAGTGCACGAGTTTCTATCAGCGACGAGGTGACGAATAGGAGACCACACTGGGGTATCTCCTCTTGTTCGCAGAATGGAAAACTTTGTTTGGCACCATACGCAGCGGCCACGCTGCTAGACAATACAAGTTAATTGTACGTCTTCTTAACAAGGCCTCTCTCGATCTCGTCCTGACTCTTGAAGATGTTTACCTCAGCAACCACTTGCAATCTGCCTATACCATAAAAACTCAGCTACTGACTCCTCAATGCTATTCTCAAAAGAAAATTCCAATGTTCTGGAGATCGTACGATGCATTCGAGGCAGATTATGGTTCCTGTGGACACAGCTAAGAGTTCAAGAGAATAGGAGAGACAAAGCTGAGGGTTGGAGAATCTGTAAATACGTCAGCCAGCTAATCAAGACAGGAAATACTACATTACTATTCCAGACAGCACACTGATCCTTAGACTTGTGTAACTTTCGTTGCGGGGCCAAACTAGAGGGGGTGGCCGTAATGTAATTGAGCTTTGCAGTCAGACAATCGGGCATCTTTCGTTTGAACACTTATCCCGAGTTCTATCCTATATGGGAAAGGTTTCCGTTAGTTTGCGGTTCCTCCCAGCCCTAATAAGTTAGCAAAAGTTGATATTCATCCTACGGGAACAGCTCTGCCGTCGTAGACAAACAAACATTACTGAAGCTTAATGGGAGAGCAATCATGCTTGGACAGTTAATAAATCGTGTTCAGCTAGTTACTATAGTCAGAAAGTGGAACATAGTTTGTACTTTCCATTATCTTGGTGAGGTTGTTCGAGGTGTTGCCTACATGAACAGTCCCACTCCTATAAGCCAAGAATCAGAACCATCAGAAGGACCGATATGTTGTGAGGCAAGGAGAGCTCTTCAGCTCATGATTGAATCTGAAAAATTCGGTGTCTGACAAGCTAGTTGTGACTAGTGCCATGAACTTGTATTCTTACAATAAACTCCAAATCTTACACGTCGACAAGCAGCAGGTATCTCCCGCCAGTGACCCGCAATGACAGAAGCAAATATGGAGGTATATACGCCAGAAACTCCTCCGGCCCCATGCTGAAATGCACAAATCCAATTCTTGCCATGATGAAGCTTGGACGCCTGCGAGAAATAAAACAAGAATCCCAGTGCCGTCTATCCAATTTGCACCCCCATAATGCAATATTAGTCATGAGAGTAGAAGATCGATTCTGCTGACCCCAATGAAAGGGCCAGTAAGAATGACCTCAAAGCGTCGTTAACCGCCCCCATCCCCCAGATAATGCGACTATACAACACGAACGAAGCGTCTCCGTTATCAGGGGAGCCCAGGACAAAAATAGATCAATTCAGCAAGCAGAAGTCGAATTCTAAGTTTGTTCTGGGGGTTCGCTTCTTAAATCTCTTTTGACAGCGAGCGTCCATCTTAACTCTCCAAGCGTGTCTGTAGCCATTTTCGTAACCTCGGTGCAATGAGTTTCCATAGCAGTGGCGTCGGCTTTGATCTTTGCTAAAGATTCCTCCTGGAGCTTTTTATAGTCTTCGAACTGCTGCTGAATAGCGGCTTTTTCTCCAGCGAGCTTCTTTAGTTGCTCGCTCTGTTGTTCACAAAGATTGTTGAGCCTTTGTATCTGTACATCATCGTTACGTCGGTCATCAACAAGGCACTTGATTTCCTTCCCTAGCCTGCTCACAGTTCTGTCGACTTCAGCACCTCTGTCCTTCCAGTGATTCGTCATTGTGGCGACCATTCTTTCCTTATGTTTCGCCTTCTCCTCCGCCATCTGCACCTTTTCCCGGCAGCTGTCTTCGTTGTCATCATGCTGCTTTTTCCAGTACTCCCCCATCTGTCTAGCCCGCTGCGCTTTTTCTCTTTCTCCGTCGATTTGAGTTTTTAACTCCTCTACCTGCCTTAGCTTGCGCTCCAAGAGTGATTTATTAATAGACGCTTCATGTAACCTTGCCTCATACTCCGATGCCTGAGCGTCCATCCTCTCTTCAGCCATGCGAGTTGCCTTCCTGCATTCATCAGTGTTGAGTTGAGCAAGTTTTAAATCTCTTCTAAGCATATCTCTTTCCCCCGATAGCTTTTCTATGACCCTTCCAGACTTCCCTACGTTGGCGCGCCCAATCGCGGCATTGAATTCCGGAGTGCTGTTTCCAGACGACAATGTCGGCGAGGTAGTGCTACTACTAAGTCCTATCGGACCATCCGATACATGTAAGCCGTTGCCATTATATTTTGTGTTCAACCCATACTCCGTAGATATCGTGCGTACCAGTCCCTTACTAACTCCAATTGAGTTTGAATTCTGCCACGACAGTGGAGGACCAGAATGCGAGCTCGTAAGGGGCGGGGGTCTCATGGCATGCGGCATAGCTGAATTCTCGCTTCTACTTATCGTACGCTTTCCAACTCCGTTCGAAGGAGACTCGAGGGTAGCGGGTTCGGCGGCAACGGAGCGAATGGTCGCAGTATTACTCTTAGGGGTATTATGTTCTCGGGATGGAGATGAGGAGGTGCTCGAAGCGTGCATGGTGTTTGGGGCGATAGTGGAAAGTGCCCGAGGCGGCACGTCGGCCGTAGAGGTAGTTATCTCTCGTGAACGAACTTCCCTTTCGTTGTCAGTCAAGGTTTTCTTGTCTTTGCTTTTCCAGGATATTCTTGAAAGCGGGTCTTGCGGGATGTACGCAGCTATTGCATTCAGAGTGACGGACCGCCTCAGACTTGAAGCAGACGACACTGGTACCGCGATATTTGAACCTCGCTCTCGCGATGGTAGATATGACGGTGAAGGCATTGCGTGACTGTGAACGTTGTCTGCCGGATGAGAACAATCCCGAGTCAGCGGAACTCACTAGAAGAATCCTTATGAATGTGAATTTGGAGTAACGATGAATCCGATTTAGGATGTGGTCCTCGAACACTCATCGCTCATATCCATGCCAACGCGGTGAGCCTTTCCCCTCTGCGACTCGAAATTCGTTGCATATATGGGAAGTCGGTGAAGTTGGAATACTGGATGTTTTGATGTAAAGCAAGTACTTCCGGCGTGTGGTGTTGGTACAGGAACTGTCGCGTGTATAAAGTGATGCTGCAAAAAATGTCCTTCTGGTTTGTCTGAATAGAAGTGTTTTGGAACTTAAAGTGGAAGTAGGTGGTTGTGGAGTTGGTCTGGTCAAAACCAATGAATTTGCATTGACTCTCCTTGTCTCGTCGATGGTGTCGTTGCCAGCCTTATTTTCCAGCACTTGGCATTCGATAGTGAGGACCCGGACCCTGGACGGGTCTTATTCAGAATGCAGGGAGGGCCCAGAGGCTAGAGCAAATGCGATCTCGCTGCCCCTGCATTAGACCAGACCCAATATTGTACGGAGTACTTCGAAGTACAATTGGACTGCGGGAGTTAATTGCTGTGGGATGCCGTACTGCGTCATGATGAAACACATTTGGCAGTGCAACAATTCCTGGGCGAAGCGCAGCGGCTCTCCACTGCAGATAATGCGTCTCAGAATAGCCCTTGAGGGGTCGAGTAACACAGTACACCGATGGGATTCTCGCTAATCGAGGAGCCGCTCAACAGTAGATACTGGCAATGGTTGGTTGATTCTTTGACAGGCGGCTAGTCCGTCAACTCGTACATAAAGTTTCGTCGTTGAAGGGCGTTTAGAATTACGGGAAAGGGTTGCAATATCGTAGCATACTAACCCACCTAGGTAGGCAAACATCGTTAGAAATCGAGGTTCATGTCACTGGACAGTCGTATTTCAACTATCTCTAATGCTACAACGCTAAAAGACCAACTTTAGATGTCCAAATATGCACCGGTATTACCAAGTCCAAGTTTACATAGCATACAACAATGCACTCTCTTGTCATAAGTGCTGCTTTTGCCGCCATAATTAACGACGCCACCCTTGGTATACAACCCATATAACGCCGCCCAGTGATGTTGATTGTTTATGGCACTATACTAGAGTACAAATCCACGTTATGTTGTAATACCTTGCGGAGTAGCGGGTTTTTCTTCTTCTTTATCCTTCAGTCGATCCGCAAACCCGGGACGCCATTTCGTTAGATATTTGGCTGCGATGGGTTTTGCATCCTCGTCTAGACGTGGTCAGTAAATGCACAACCCTACAGACGTTTCGAAAAATGCTTACAGGTATTCCAGATATCCTCTACCGCATCTAGAGCAATCTCTCTGACCGGAGGCCTCATCAGCACCAAGTAAAGCAAGCTAGTAAGTGCTAGGTTGACCATAGCTGGATCTTTACACAGCTCTTTCACCTTGTTAAGCACTTCTAAACTCAGGCCGGGGATCTCGCTCAAGAATCTAGTAAGCACCTTGTCCCGCGTATCCAAGTAGGGGATTATGCCGTCCAGCAATTTGACGACCCACTTCTCATAATGTAAAACCGACTCCTCGCCAGCTTTCATTTGGACTTTATCATTGTACCATTCCTCACAAAGCCAAGCAACTGCAATATCAATTCGTTTTCGAAAATCCTCCAAAATATATAAGTAGAGCGAGTTTCTGATAGTGTTGCTAAGGGAGAAGGGGGTTACTGCATCTGGCTCGGTCTTGACCGTATCTGTTTCCTCTAATCCGGCCACTGAACGAGTGGCAAGCCTCGTGATTATTGTGATCCAGTCGTCACGATCGCAGCTACTGGCCGCAAGTCGATTTAGACCAGCTTTCGTCTTTTTGCCCGGCTCTTCTAGCGTATTCATGACCCCAAATACTCGTCCGACTGTTCCTTGGCCGACCTGCTCCACTTCCTCTAAAGTCATGACTGGTGGTGGTGGAAGGGTATAATTTACTGGAGCTATATCAGGAGCTTTGACTGCCATCTCTTCTTCAATCACGGGTGGTGGAGCGCTGTCGAGTTTGTTCAGGATCTGCTCAGTATCTTCGGCATTATCAAAATCCGGGTCATAATCATCGTCGTCTTCTTCAACGCCGAGTGGAAACGTTGAAGGGTTCAGCTGCTGGGGTTGCAATGCTTGCATTGACGTATATCGTTTTCGGACGCCCTTGGAACCGACGTTAGTACAGTTTCCACTTTATGGTCTGCCTTTCTTACCTCAATAGCTTGATTAAGGATATCGGCATTGAGCTTTTGTAAAATGGTGATGCCTATTTGAACCACAATGTGTTCGGGCAGTATGGACACATCGAAACTTTCCAGCCCTTTCTCTGCAGATATTGTGAAGAGTTCCGCGATTGTATGTGGTCCTGGTGTCAAAGGCGGGACATTGAATCTCGGGACTGGAACAGGCATCTGTGCCAGCTTCTGTCTTTTTGCGGCATCTAGCCCATCAGTTGGCTCTGGCGGACCACGCTTTCGTGTTGCTTCGTCAAAGATTTCGTTGCGAGACCGCATCATTCTCTCGACATACTGCTGGATACGACCAGCGAGTGGGTTTTGGGGATCACTGCCAATATCAGCATTTCCTGATCTATACTTGGGTACATATCGTTTTGCCATACCGCTTATTGATATTCACAAGTAACAGCCGAGTAGTTTTCTCCATGGATTTGATTTGGACACGGGATTTTGGTGTCATGGGCGAGTTGGCTTGTTTCAAGGGATTAAAATTCAATATAACGTTTATAATTCTATTACCAACTTGCGGGCGAGCACGAATCAAAATGGCAAGCGAATTAAGAGTAGCATCGACTAAAACAGCATCACTGAGAGGGTTAGCATACTGAGAACGAAATGTACATGCAACTGACCTGATGCTTTCTTGGAAGATCCCAAGCATCCTGTCCAACAGGCCGGAAGCTTCTGCCTCTAGATTTCGAGGGATGAGCGAAGAATGGTTTGGAGGCACCATGCCGAGGGAGACTTCCATAGGATCACCTCGCTATTGCTATTAGTACGTGCCCAACAACAATGTGATCAATGTATGTCCCTACCATTGCGTTCGCCTCCGGGCCTACTGTCTGGCATAATACAACCCGCTGGGCAAATTTGATGCAACATATTCTTACACCTGGGGCGGCGGTGTCCCATATCTGTAGTATTCTGGTTTTGATTGCTTGAATCCTTTCCCAAGACTGGTTATCATAAGAATTGTTGATACTAAATCACAACAAAGTTAGACAAAAGAAGCTGGGTCTGATCTCGATTCGCGTGAATGTCCAAGTGATTCTCAACAGTATCACAATTGTAGGTTAGACAGCGTTCGTGGGGTCTGTGGGCATGGGCAGAACAGAGAATAATCCTAAGTCATAGCATAAGAAGTACTTACATCCATCTGAAGACCAAGGGGTATATGCTCGCAGCAGTCTGTACAACACTTTTCACGACTGCATTGTCCTGATTTGGGTCATCAAGCATAGATCTTAGTGCCTCAAGCACAGTCAAACATAAAGTCTCCTTCTGCTGTGGTGGTATGGCAGGACTCGCAAAAGTCTCTGCCAAAAATTCGGCCCCCCAACGTTGTAGTTCGACCTTGGAAGCTGTATCCCTTTGAGGTTCTCCTTTCCCGCGTGGATCGATGAGTGGGAGGATACCCTGGATAATCTGCTGATAATAGTTCGGATCATTCAGTACGACCCTTCGCGCTTCCTCCAAAAGCTTGATCTGCTGGTCGACGGACATTGGAGCTGCCATGATGAATATGCTAGCTGCAGACGTTTACAAAGGATTGATAGTTTTAGGCTTCACTAAATGTACGTGATCGAAAGGTTAGAACTGAGCAACGAGTCCGGTCGCTCATCCTGGGAATGCCGTGGAAGATGTCATAGAAAGGTGATTCAAGGCCGGTTTGTATTTGTGGTATTCGTAGTATTCGTAGTCGCTGGTTCTGGGAGACGCGCCCTGAGCATCATCTCGAAATGCGCGAGGCACAGGACGCTTTGGGTTTAGCTTAAGCCCCACTTTTAAGACGTGCATTATCCACATCGAAAGTTCGAATAGTGTCAGCTCCCTCATACGATGTGACCACCCAGACACAATGGCAGTGTAAGTAATTCCTTGCATATTGTTCATCCCACTTATCTGATTACTTTGGCAGGATACCAAGGTCGTCGTACTATGACAAGAATTACAAGCAATCCGCGGCTCTGCTCCGAGCCAGACGACCTTACCTCGTCAAAAACAGCTTGACAGGGCTAGGACTGCTCGCATTCTGTATGGGCGTCTGTAAGGTCATTCTTTCCTTGCTCAAAATCTGTCTTATTAATCAATTATAGATACGTTTACTATTAAAGCTGTGTCCCAAGACGAATTCGAAGATGTAAAGGTCCCAGAAGCTGTTCAACAATCGCCACAAGCCGGAGCGAGCACAAGAACAAACGGCCCAGTTGTACGATAAAGGCAGGAGCTATTTAGGAATGAATGCCTGGAGTTTGTTCTTTAGGAACCAGTGGAGAAAGGGTGTACATTAGATTGGGACAAGATCTTCAATTAGAAGTTGAAATGGAATTCGATTTACGAAACTCTATTAGTTCATGACTGTAAATTGATGAGGTATAATCTACATTTTGGCTGTGGGTCAACCAGCTACCTCTGTCAAAATGTCTTGAGGCGTCATGTATATGACAAATTCGCCAAACTCCATGCTTAATTCGCGAGTGACGCGCCGCCGCCATAAACGCCACGCCATATGTTCCTTCATTATATTCATAAGAGGAGAATACATCAAAAGCCACTTATCGCTGCAGCAACCTGTTCCCTTCGAATTTCCTGGGGAAAGTCTCGTGGTATCTCTGAAGACTTGTTCGGAGGAGAATGCTGCTGCGTGCCATTTGACTTGATGCCAGTAACTGGAATGGTCTTCTGGCGGTCCGGATCCACCGGTGATAGTGATGGCTGCCGACTACCTAGCGGGGAAGGCGCAATCGCATGAGCTGTAGTCCCAAGGGGGTTATGAGGGGAGATTCGGCCACCTGAGATGGCCAAGTTTTTTGAGTGTTGTAATAATGTTGAGGGTGAGTTTGAGAAGGTGCCAGATATTGGGACCCCATGCTGGTGTGAGTGGCGTCGCTGTGGAGCCTGCACTTGCGGAAAAGGGCTCTTCGTCCGAGGAGACTGTTGTGCTGAGGCCTGTCGTTGGAGGAGATGAGCATGGGATGGGTGCTGAGGGTTTGCCCACGGTGTCTCTTTAATGTACTGCTCTTCAGCAGGCCTAAATCGCGTTGTTGAGCTTGCGGTTCTTAGAGCAGCTAACTCGTGATATGGTAAACTTGGATGATGAACTTCACGAGCAATCCTTGACCGCTGATAACAATTAGTTGAGTTCTGTTTCAATAAGAGTATCATGACTTTACCCCCATCTTCTCCATATCCTCCTCCAATTCTGCAGCTGTGGCAGAAGCCATTGCTGGGGCCGCGGGGAATCCGACGTATTTAGCGATACCAGACAGGATTGATACTTCGTTGCTATACGCAACTTGATTCATTATCTGCTGTGACCGACGAGTAGGAAACTTCAATGTGTAGTCTGGCACGC